GTGGAAGATGAACACAGCAGAGATGCTGGACCTGCTGGCATATGAGTGCCATGGTTGTGTTTGTGTGGATGCTTTGGCAAATACCCCTCAGAGCTTGCCTTTTAGGAGCTGGATTGTGAGTCATCCCCTAAAGATGATGAACCCAATCTAGATCAGCCTAGAGCCCCAAGATACCTAGACCTAAACTTGCCCTTGTAGTGGGGGCAAAGCTAGGTCCATCCTGGGCATGGCATGGGGGTGCACTCAACTGCACAAGAAAAAAAAGAGCATGGTGTGCAAAAGCCTTTCCTCTTTCCCCTCTAATCTATGCACTGTTGCTAATTTTGCCTCTCCCCCTGGGAAGAAACTACTGATTTACTTCCAGCTGCTTTCATGAAGTCACTCTTCACATGTGGGACTGGGGGTGATGGTAATGGTTACAGGAATAGCAGGTGCTGCTAATGGTTCCCTTGCAAAGCTTTGTGTTTAGGGCAGACTTTCCTAGCCAGCCCTGCCAGCTCTCCCCGCCATGGACAGTAGCCATCAGTGCTGCAAGGGAGAAACACGATGCGTGAAGGTGAGAAAGATGATCCTTCCGCTTCCAGGCTGAAACACTGTAATGTGAGTGTGTGCAGTAGGTGGAGGGGTGTTTTTGCTGATTTTAATTTATAATGAGCTTTTGGTTGGTGGCTCATCTGTGGGGTGGACTGACTAGTAATCATCCCTAAAATGTCACTGGCTGTGATTCTTGATGTTTTCATATGACTCTCAATGCTGACCTGCCATGGCCACAAATCTTAATCTTGTTTTAGAGGGAGAAAAGGTTCCCAGCTTCTTCACAGTGCTGTTTCTGTTTCTTCTGTTTCTTCTGTTTCTGTGTGGGTCTGATGCTGTAGCAGACTGAAAATCTTGGATTAAAAACCAGAAATCCTGGGAGGTGGAGGTGGCATGGAGTGAGTGTCTTTGACACCAGTCATGATGTGAGCCTCCCTCCCCTAAATCCCTGCCAAAGGCCATCACCCTGAGGAGCGTCCCCATTCTGCGTCGCAGCCCTGGGCAGGATTTGTCCCTGACTCTTCCCGCCCTGCTCAACATTGGCCAGCCTCCCCAGGCATGTTAGCATGGGTCTGTAATTTTTGGTAGGAAGTGGAGCAGAAAATCTAAGCCTCTATTTTTCTCTTAATGGGGGGTTGCTGGTGTGATGCTTATGGCTCTCCAGAAATCTGTCTCTTTGGGCAGTTCCTAAAAGACTGCAAGATCCTTGTGTGGGACATGTGCCCCCTTGGATTGCTGGAGGATATTGGTGGTGGTCTGCGATTTCTTGCTCAAGTCATGCTTTAGCTCTCGAGCATGCAAATGCCACAAGACGTACTTTTCCTTTGATCTCCTTTAGTGCAAAAAGCCCTTGAGGCATGGATGTAACTTTTGCTGATGCCAAGTGTGCATTATGCACTGTAGGATGCCCCCAGCAGAAGCTGCTTGCTATTGAAAGGCAGCAGACCCTTGGGGGTGTTTGGGTTTGGGTCCATCCATACATCTCTGGTAAAAGTGCACCTTTGGGTTAAATTACTGATTTTGGTAATTTGCCAGTTTTTAGGGCTTTCTGTCAGGCTCAACATGTCAGAGTAGGGAGCTGGGTGGGGGGTGATGGGTGAGCTGAGGATATGATGCTATTATGGCCTCCCCTAAATAAGCTGCTTGGGTGTGAATTAGAGCCCTATGCCTGCTGCTTCCTTGCTTCTGGGTGCTTGTGGCTGCCTTGCGCAAGAGCTGGTGGCTTCCTTTGGCCTGGGGGCTGAGAAGTACTTGCACACCCTCCCTGTGACGGTGGAAGGATGAAGAGCTGCCTCTCTGGGCTATGACCACTCTGGTAGGACTTGTTTGTCACCCCTTGATCTTGTTTAAGTGTCAACTCTGTGCTGGGTTGAAGTAACCCATTTGCTGCTCCAGTTTGGAGCTCTGTGCAAGCTTCCCAGACCCTGATGGCCCCTGCTCTGAGGGACAGGACACTGCTGTATTTGGTAGGTGACCCTCTTGGCTGCCTTGCAACAGGCCAGGGGATGTGTCCCTTCAGGATCTGGGGCCAGCATCCGCAGGACAAGCTGGAGTGGTGGAACATTCATGCACCAAGTGGCTGGGGCTTTGCCTTGTGCTCCCAGCTGCGGTGGCAGTGACTGTGAGTATTTGCCAGACTCTGCTGCACGACCAGCTTGTTCAGAGATGGGGATGGTTATCTCTGCCCAGCAAGGGAACTGCCAGTCTGGACTGTGACACGGCATCAAACCTTGCCATAGCTGATCTGTGCTCAGCATTGGACCTTGACCATGGCATTGCCTTCTGTCCTGGGATGGACATGGCATGGAAAGCCCAGCAGAACTGCTCAGTCCATTTAACAGCTCAGCCAAGGGCAGGTGATGTGACTCCAAAAGAGGGTCCCCAGGCAGGAGGACACAGTTCGTGGTCTGGAGGGAAATCTGGTCCATGTCCCATCCCCTTCAAGCTGCAGGTGTTGTCAGGAAGCTTCAGTTATTTATGGATTTTGTCTGTGTTGTCACCAGAGTAACAGGGAGGCTTCTTCCCCACCAGAGGTTTCAGCAGGTGGCAAATACCATCTCTCCCCTTTGGTGCAGGAGCTGGGCCTGGTGCTCAGAGCAAGGAGAGACTTGAGGAAGTATTAAATAGCTGCTGGAGGTGTCACGGCAGCAGTTGATCCAGGGCAGTGAGTCACAGCCAGCCTGCCAGTGCCCCAGCATGGAGGATGGCAGCACAGGGCCACCCCTCCCCTCCCCACTTGCTGCTTACTTGTGTCTTGGGTTGGGGTTTTTTACTGGTGTGTCTGTGCACAGCTGGGATGAGCATCCCCCTGGCTTTGGGTGAGAAGGAGCCAGAGGGTCAGGTTCAAAGTAAAAATAAAACAACTGTGAGAGTACCCCAGCATTTTCTTGGCCTGCATCCAAAGGGATGTAAAGCTGCTGGTCCCTATGGACACCTTGGTGCTTCATGGATGGCAGGCTCATCACAGCCTGCTCTCAAGAACTAATGCAGTTTATTAATCATGAGTTGTTATGACCCTACCCTCAGCCCAAACCCTGACACGAAAGGCTGGTCTTCTGGATTCCTTTCACTTTAATTAAGGCTTTCTTGGAAGCCTTCCCTGTGGTGCTGCTCTCCTGCCACCTGGCCCTGTAGCCAGCTCCCTTCCAGGGGGTGGATATAGTGAGGGAGGCGAGTGAACCTGCAAAAATGGGTGAAACAGTGCTGGCAGGTTGCCCATCTCAAAACCTTTATGTTGGTCACAGATGGTCCTTTTTAGGAGCTGTGGTAGAAATGCTTGGGGTGCTTTGGTATTTGGGTTGCAGCAGTTCTTGCTATTGGGTGAAAAATGTGTGGGTTTTTTTTCTGAAACAGATCTTTATTTTGTTATTTTTCTAATTATTATTCCTGTGTGTGGTAAAATATAATAGAAAGACTCCTGCAAAGGGCTTGCAGTCCTTGGCTGGAAGGTCCTGTCTCAGCTTCTGAGAGACCCCATAGGGGACACAGCAGGTGGCCCTACAAATCAGGAGTGGTCCTCACTTCTTTGAGGAGGGTGACTGGCCAATTTTCTATTATTTCAGGTCCAGGGGAGATCACAGCAGCCATCAGGATGGCAGTTTACAGGAGCAAGATGTGCATCCTCCTGTACGTGCAGAAATACTCCTTCATCTCCACTTCCTTTAGCCTGACACTTTCAGGGAGGCTGGGAGACAGCAGCAGCAGGAATCCTAAAGCTGCAAGATCTGAGATTTTTAATTTTAATTATTTTTTTTTATTGTCAGCATTTGAAATTCTGACTTTCAGTTAGGAAATATGTTGAAGTCATGGTATGAATCATCCCTACCCTCAATTTTAGGACCCATCACATGGGGAACGGGAACAGAAAATTAGTCATTTTGTTAATCTGCTTCCAATAAGCATTATTTAGAAATCCATAGTGGGGAGGGGTAAGAATAAAATGAGTGGCCTTAGGGAGCAGCCATCATGTGTCCTTGCACCCACAGCCACCTGCTGGCTTCCCTGGTGTTTTTCTGGGGCAGGGCCTGGCAGCTGCCTGCACTTCTGGTTCATGATCAAAGCAACCTCCTGGGGCAAGTACAAATAGAGGCAGCTGGAAGCCCGCCTTCTGCTGAGAAAGCTCTTCCCCAAGAAAAGTAATTCTTGCCCAAAAAAAAGCCCATTATTTCTCCTACCTGGCGGTGTAATGAAGGCACCCACTATTAATGCAGGGGGGTTGGCAGGGAAGCTCATTAAGATGGGGGTCTGTTTGCAAGTGGAGCAATGAGACACCCCCAGCTGTGGTATTGAGTGATAATAAAGCACTGAGTGGGGCACAGCAAAGGTGAATGTTTTTAGGTTTATTGCCTGATGGGGTTTTATGGTAGTTTGTTTTGTTGTTGTTGTATTTTTCCTAACTAGGCTGATGGTATCATGGTGGAGTATTGGGGATGAGATGCTGAGTGCAGCCTGTGATGTCCCTCCCAAGCAGGAACCGAGGGGTTCAGGGAGCATTGCAGGTCCCCTCAGATAAGGATGAGCCTTCATCCTGTCAGCTCCCTTGTGAGGCCAGGGATTTGGGGGAAGAGGGCCAGGCTGGTTTTGAGTGGGAGCTGACCTTCCACAGAAGGCAGGGGGAGGGCAGGCAGAGAAGGGAGCAGCCCCCAGCCCTCTCCAAGGGGACAGATAACATCCTGCACCTGGCAACAAGCTGCAGACAGCACCCAAAACTCCCAGAGGTTACAGCAAGGACCGCCTGTACTTGCAAGGATCTATGGAAGCAATAAAATCCATTGGATTTTGGGGTGCTGGAGAATGTGGTGGGAATTATGCCCTGGCTTGTTTTTGCGGGTTTCTCTTACATGAGGACCAAAGCTGGCTGCCCCTTTCCCAGTTTTTGGCAGCAGTGCCACACGCTGGGCCGCTGGTAAATGATTGCCTGGAAGGCTGGCCAAGGCAGGGCCGGAGGTTGGTGCCTGGTTTGAACCCGGACAGGTGCCTGGGACCCGTGTGCCAGCAGCCATCCTGCTCCCACAGCGCTCGGCAGACGCTGGATTTTGCCGGCAAGGTGAGACTGTTTGGTGCCACTCGACAAACTGGGTTATTTTTCTTGTTTATTCTTAAGCTCCTGGCCCCCCTTACTGGGTCATGCCACAAGAAGCTGGATTTGAGATTAGCTTGGTCCCTGGCCAGGAAAGAGGGGGGACAGAGAGTGCTCTGTGGGATGTGTTGCACTCCAGTTTTGGTGTTAGGGTGCTGCTGAGGGGAAGGCTGGGGGGTGGGGAACTACAGTGGTTTCAGGGCGAGTTGGGTGGTGCCGCAGTGGCACCTGGACTTTGCTCCATGCCGGGGGACAGTTGAAGCCTTGAATACACAGGACTGGGGAGCGGTGCCAAAATGCAACTTTAAATTTAATATCTTGAAAATTTTAGTGGTTTGGGGCTTACAGGGAGGTGGGCTAAGCCCAAGGTGTCCTTCAGCCCCACAATTTTCCCCAGTGGCTGAGCCAAGGCAAACATGAGCTCAGTGCTGAGGTATTTGTGACGGCTGCTCTGTGCCCATGTTTTGGAGGTAGGCAGGGAGGTGGCACCAACAGGACCCAGCACATGCGCAGAATGTCCTCACCAAGCTGTGTCTTCCCTGGTTTCTCCTTGCCTTTCTCACACCATGATTAAAATTCCTCATCAGTGGAGACAGGACCCTTCAAGGCCTCTCTTTGATTACTCAAGTAGGCAACAAAATATAATGAAGAAGTGGAGTTTAACCTAAGGTCAAGCCCCTTCTCACAGCCTGGCTCCAAACTTGGGATAGCTGGAGCAGAGGGAGGGGCTGCAACCAGCCAGGTGAGGCTGGGAAAGCAGTCTGTGACCCCCTGGATGGAGGGCCTGAAAATTCTGTGTGTGTTGCTCTATCCAGGGCTTTCAGACAAGATTAATACTGTCAAAACCAGTGTTTATAGCAGGAAAAATATATACATCTTTGCACAGTGTTTGAATATTTGAGTTCTTTACAGCTTGTGCTTAATTTTTTTTTTTTTGTGTATGATGGTTGCAGTTGTTGAGCTGCCTGAAGAGTCAGGCTAACAAGTGTTGTTTTAAGGTAGTAGTACCCACCGGATGGGAGTTGAGCTGGGCCCTGGTGTTGGTCAGAGCCTGGATTTTGTCATGGGTGTTTATGCCTGGCTACCCCTCCCAAACCCTACCTTCGGTCATGCTTTTGTTCAGAAAGAGACTTTATTTTAATTTCTTAATCCCTGTCTGACAAGTTGAGATGGATGTAAATATGAAAAGATTAAAATGTGCGTTATCTGCACCTTCCCTCTATATCATTGCAAAAGTGGGCAGCCTGCAGTTCATCTGACTTTTCCAATGTTATTTAGAAAATCCCTCAGTGCCACTCTGTCAAATTTTCAGAAAAATTGCAGTGAAAGTCCAGCAAACCCATCAAAAGTCTGTCCTCACAGCAGAAATAACCTGGGCATCTTTTGGGTGCCACACAGGCACATAAACCCCATAATTTCCCAGTACAGGAAGATGTGGACCCCACTGTCCAGACATGACGAAAAAAATAAATATTTTCTTTGCAGATGAATATCAGTGTTTAATAACATCGGGAAAAGTGCAATCTGTGCGTGGGGTGGCAGCGAACAACTTCTTTGTCTAGGATCTACCCCATGGGATGATGATTTAATGACACTGCTTTTAAAGCATCCTGTATTCCTTGTTAGTGGCTTGAGATGGAAACCTGGTTTCTTTTTCCCCACAGGCAGCCTGTCCTGCAATGACCCAGAGCACCTGAGGCCCTGCAGCCGTGGGGATGGAGCTGAAGGTCTGGGTGGATGGGATCCAAAGGGTCGTGTGTGGAGTCTCGGAGCAAACCACCTGCCAAGAAGTGGTCATTGCCCTGGCACGGGCCATTGGTGAGCCATCTCCATCTGCTGCGGGGATGCCCCATCTGCAGGTTCTTCCTGGGAAGAGGAGTCCTTGGGTGGGTGGAGGTCTTGCTCTGTGGTGGTGGAGATGGCACCAGCACTGCCTGTGGGGCAGCAGCCGCAGCACACCCCGCTGGCCTCTGCTTTCCCAATCTGATGTGCTCACCTCCTCTGGCAGGTCAGACGGGTCGCTATGTGCTGGTGCAGAAGCTGCGGGAGAAGGAGCGGCAGCTGCTGCCTCTGGAGTGTCCCTTGGAGTCACTGGCCAAGTGTGGGCAGTATGCCAACGACGTGCAGTTCATCCTGCGGCGGACAGGCCCCAGCATGGCCGAGCGGCCCTCCTCGGAGGGCGCTCCCCAAGCTCCCGAGAGGACGTTCATCCGGGCCAGCTTGCCCATCAAGCCCAGGCTCACGAGCATAGATGGACCCCGTTCCAGGGAGCCAAAAAAATCCATGACCTTCAACCTGGGTCCTACAGGCTCCAGCGACCTGTTCACCGTGGGCCGATGGAGGCATCAAACGCGGGATGGGCTAGACTTAGAGGGTGGTGGTGTTGTCCAGCCCTCCAAGGAGGAGCTTTTTAGGAGAGTGCTGCAGCAGCAGGAGCAGCTGCATTCCTTGGAGGTCCATGGAGACACCCTAGAAATGGACCTACGGCTCTGGGAGCGCAGCCGGCTTGCCGGCCAGGAGAATGAGATCCTCTATCTGGAGCAACTGGTGCGGAGGAACGAGACAGAGCTGGGTGAGGAGGAGTTTTGGCAGAGTGAGCTCCGGCTGGAGAAGGAGTGTGAGCGGGAGCGGCAGGAGCGGGTTAGGAGCCTGCGGGCCAGCCTGGAGGAGTACACCCAGAGGATCTATGAGCTGAGTGTCCGGACTGAAGCCCTGCAGGAGGAGATCCAATGGGAGATGGCCGAGAGGGCCAAGAGGGGGAAGGAGATCTCTATGCCCAGCCCCATAGAGCTGGAGGACATGGCCACCAAAATGAAAAGGGACCTGGAGGCCAAGGTCAAGCAAGGCACCCAGCTGGAGAGCAACCTGGCCAGCGTGGAGAAGGCCCTGGAGGAAGCTGAAAAGAACCTGCAGGTAGATAGGGCTGGGTTGAGCCACCCCAAGGGGTGGTAAGAACTTCAGGAGGGGGTAGAACCAGCTTTCCAGACACATTAGACCAATGGGTTGAGTGGGGTTGGTTACTCTACCTGCCCAGTGAACTTGGGGCTGGGTACACAGCTCTCAGCAGCAGTGATCACTGACAGAGGTACACCACCACTCTTGCCCCACTGGCACAGGGTCCCACACCCATTGCTCTCTGCGCAAACTATGTCTGGGCTAATGCTTCTTCTAACTGGTGCACCCGGAGTACAAGATCACCCTGCTACAGCACAGGCAGTGGTGCTGGAGCAAGTGGTCTACATGTGGGGTTGGTGGCAGTGGTACAAGGGTTGATGTCTTGGATAAAGGAGTCACAAAGCAGATAGCACAGGTCCCCATGGTGCCTGTACACAAAGTCTTTTGACCACGCAGGGCTCACGGTGGGGGGTGGGGGGCTATGGAATGTGGAAATGGGAATGAGCTGTGATGTCCCCCCAGATCGCCTGCTGCTGCCTCCCAGCATCAGCGGTCAAGGGGCTGCGTAATTCCCGCCTTCCACCCACCGTGTCCCCTTTAGTGGAGCAAAACGAGGAAGCTTTTATCCAGCCAGGCCTTCCCCAGGCTGTCTGTGCTTTCAGCATCTTTCCTTGAGCATCTCATTTGCCTTTGGCATCTCCCAGCACAGCGGCGGCCGCCGTTTGATGGCTGCTCGCACCCTCTTGTGGAGATGCAGCAAAGCAGGACTGTTCCCAAACCAACGCCTTCTTCGTCCCCGTTGCCTGGGCACCTCCCTTCCTGCAGGCCCTCAGAGAGGGGCAGCTGAGCCACAGTACCCCCGAGGTCCCCTCAGGGACCGGCAGGCACCAGCAGGGTGAGCCCCAGCCGGGGCGTAGCCCCAGGGGATGATTGCCAGCTGGCTTGGGGCACGGGGGGAACATGCGGCTCACCCTGTCCCCCCCCTCGGTGTGTGTTTTGCAGGCCCAGACCCAAGAGCTGGAGGAGTTAAATAAGGAGCTGAGGCAGTGTAATTTGCAGCAGTTTATTCAGCAGACGGGGGCCACGGTGACTGTCCTGCAGGCCAGGTCCGAGGAGGACGCCCAGCCGGAGCCGAGCCCGTGCGAGCTGCCAGCCTACCGGAGAAACGGAGGTCAGCACGCTGCCGCTGGCTCGGCCGCGGGGGCTGCTCCGCGGGACCCCCGCCCGCTCCCTGCCTCCTTCTCCGAGGGGTCAGCCCCAAAGCTGACCAGCTCTCCCCTGGCCACTGAGGTTAGGCAGGTGGGGGTTTGTGTGCTGACATGGCAGTCACTCACTACTCCAGGGGGTTTCAGAGATTCATCAGCCCTGGGGCTCCTTCATCCTCCCCATTGAAGCCTGGGGGCTGCTCGTAGACACGCACAGGAGTTGGATCCTGCATTGCTGCTTTTGGGGCCGAGGTGGCTGCAGAGAGCTTTCCTTTGCAGCCTTGCTCATCACCGCTGCAGCAAAAGGCAGGTGGCTGAAGGCCAGCGTCAGTCCCCAGGGGCCGTGGGCTGGTGGGGCCATGCTCTGGCCGCAAATGACCTTTCTGTGTTTGGTGAGGGAAGGGTGGTGCCCAGGGCCTTGTCTGCATCCTCACAGCCATGAGAGGCAGCAGCAGGGGGTTCTCATGGAAAGGGACCTGGTTGTTTCTCCTCCGGAGCACCCAGAGTGGGTGACGTGACTGCCCAGAGGCACTGCAGCGGCCGTGCCCAGTGAGCACAGGAGGCTCAAGCCCTGCCTGAGGCTGATGTTTTTCCCCATCCTGTAGGTTTTTCTCCCACCGCTGGTATCGACTCACCTCCCCAGGTCAGCACCAAGCAGCTCCTCGGCCATCCCAGGACCCTGGCGGAGCCCCTGGTGTCCAGCCTGAACCCTGAGGGTGCGTATGTCCCAGTAGGGCTTTGGGAGCATGAGCTGGTCTGCAGAGGATGGGTGGGGAGAGGGGAGAGGCTTTTGCTGCCCAAAATGGGCTGCAGAGAGCAAGCGTGTGCTGGTGGTGGGAAGCCAGAGCTATTTATAGATGCCATTAGGAAGCGCAAAGCTCACACTCTGGCAGTCTCTGCGCTGCTGCCAGGGGCTTGCACGCTGGCAGCTCGGATCTCTGCCCTGCCAGGAGCTGTGGAGGATGGTGCTTATCCCCTCTCCTGCCACTCTGTATCCCCCAAGGTTAAAACCTTGCTCAGTTAGGATGGGTCTTTTACAGGAGCTACTTTTGCTCCATCCTAGTGACCAGTTCATCCCAAAACCCTTTCTACCTCCCATGACTCTTTTGTCACCTTGTGTCTGTGTTTTGGGTGTAGCAAAAGAGAGCTGTGGTAGGGACACCTACCTGCTGTGGTGATGCTGCCTCCACCCTGGCATCCTACTCCCACCCGTGCCACCTTTTCCTCAGCAAAACCCTACTGCCATCCTCCCCACAGCCCCATACACCCACCCCCATCCTTCAGGACACTGCGGCAACCACATTCCCATCTCCCAGTCCAGGCTTTGTGCTCACATACATCCTGTTTTTCGCTCCCCTTCCTGCAAGTGCTCATCCACCACAGTGGGATTGCTCAGGTGTTTTTTTTCTCTTGTCTTGCAGTTGTATCAACCAGACAGAGCATCTGGAGGTAGAAGGGCCCAGGCACTGGAGGATCAATTGTATTGTATCAGTTGATTGAGGATCAAAGTGTAACTGTATAAATAAACTATATATATATATATTTTATATTTTTTTTTTACTGCTTTATATTGTGAATGGATGTGGATGGCCAGACAGAATATTTTTACAGACTGTAAAGTAAAACTAGAGACTGATGACACAAAGCAACCCTCTTCCCCTGAGGATGAAAGCAACTCCCTTCCATTTTTTTTTTTAAGCAGTTTCTATACTGAACAGAAAACAGCAGTGCATCCATTCTGCATAGCCTCTTCAAGAGATCAGTCGTGTGTTTGGAAAAGTCCTTGTTCCTTTGACTAGGGGAGCAAAGCTGCAGTGGAGACCTGTGTGGAGGTTCACCTGGATGGAACAAGTTAACAGATTTTACATCTACTCATCACAGCAAATGGGGCCATGACAAACAGCCTCTTTGCCAGTGGCACGAGAGGCCCAAAAGCAGCTTTAAGACAAATTTCTGGCCCCTCTTTTTTTATGTATATTATAAGAAACCTGTAGAAGAAACCCACTGTCCATGGTGCCACGGACCATGTGTCAAAGAAGCACACAGTGGGAGCTTGTTTTTCTTAAATTCACTTTATCTTTCAACTTCTTTTTAAAGTAAAAAATTGCAGAATGAGCCCTTCCCCGATGGTGGTGTGAGTGGGGAACAGGACCAAAATACTCTTGGTGACATTTCCCTGATATTTTTAATTTTTCTTATTTTTAACTTGATGGCCAGTAGTAACCATTTTGTTCATCTGTCCCAGTGCATCACCTTGTATTTTAATTGCAAAACCAAAGCGGTTTGGGGAGGGGATGAGCTTGTCTGGGAGATCCCCGAGCCTGTTTTCAACGTGTAGTATGCGAAAAATGTGACTTGGGCACAAGGTTCACCGTAAAGCCCCGCTTCCCCTGTGCGAATGTAAATCCTGTGCGCCGCAGATCCAATTTTCAATAAATCTTTGGGAAAGGATTTGAGCAAAGCGAGCGTGAGTGTGCTGTTGTGGCCAGAGTGAGCCGTCCCTGCTGGTGCCTGCTTTGGTGCCTGATGGATACATCCGAGCGGTTTGCGCACCCCGCAGCTGCCTCTTCCATTTCCAAGCCATCTCTTTCTATTTGCCGAATTAAAGCTGTGAGTATTTTATAACCGACTGAGTCTTAGGCACGCAGTGCCCTTTTCTGCTTTTTTCTCTTTTTTTCTTTTTTTTTTTTTAAATTATGAAGTGCTTTACAACCAGGGGATGCAGCTTGTCTCCAGTGAGATGTGGCTATCTCTGAGATGAAACATGGCAACATTTTAATAATGCACAGCAGCAGCTCGGAGCATTTTAGGACAGGAGGCAAAGGGAGTGGCGCTCGGCTGCAGACAGGAGCAGGTAAGGGGAAATTTCCCGTTTGCCTCCAAGCCCCTTTGTCTGCACCTGGATAACAGCGGCCAGGAATGTCAGCTCCTGCTGTCCATCACCATCTCCCCTGAGCTTCTGCTGGGCTCTGGTCCCTGGGGACATCTTCCCCTCTCAGCTGATTCTCAAGGTGCCACCCCAGCCCAGCAGGCCGATAAGTAAAGGATTAAAGTTTGCTTTGTTGGGAGATCCACTGGTACTGCTGTGTCTTAGGTTATGACTGGAGAGCTGCTGCAGTGGGGAGACGCAGTTTTAAAGTTGCCTTTTTTGAATTGGGGCATTTGGGATTTTTTGGGCAGGTTGTTTTTCAAGCTCCTCCTCACCCTCCTCCTTAAATCATGTATCTCAAGGAAAATTAGTTTTAAATGTGTCTGTTCCATGCAGTTTCATTTAGTTTCTCCCATGCTTGTTTGCTTTTTGGGCTTTGTGTGCTTTTTGTTTTTTGGACTCTTGCTTTTAAAGATTCTGCCTTGCTAAGAAGTGGGTGATGGACATTGTAAAGAGCATTTCTGTGCTGCTTTGAAGGAGGGAAAGCAGATTTAGAAAACCCACTTGCCTTGGATGTTGCTGGATTTCAGTGTGCTATGGGACATCCTCTACATATCCCAAAAAAATGACCTCTGCAGGTTTAAAACTGGATCTTTCATTTTTGGGGCTACATTTGTAGCCTTGCCTTCTGCAAAATAAACAGGAATAAAGAGAACAGGCTCATCACTTACGGTACTTCCAAATGGGGGCAGAAAAGTACTTTGAATGTCTGTGGGGGATTTTTTCCCCCCCTCTGTTACAATTGTATATTATTTATTGGTTTTGCAGGTTTAGTCATAATCATAATAGGCCAAACCAGCACCAGTCTTTCCTGAAGGGAGGTGTGGGAGGGTGTGGAAAATAAGGATTTAAAATATTATGTATGACAGCAGATTTTGGCGCTTCAGCTGATGCCCCTTGGCTGGCATGCAGGGTTTGGAACTGTTCCATGGGTGGAAAACAGAGTAACTCAACTGTGTCCCCCACTGAGGTCTGATAACCAGGCATGGGGTTAGCGAGAGCACCGTGATCAGGGGCTAACTGCTTTCAGCCCAAGACTGTGGCTCTTGGCAGATTTTCTTCATTTTGTGTCCTACAAACCATCACCCAGCTGCTGCCTCGGCCAGCAGTGTTCCATGAGGTAATAAATCACTTTGATTAACACCTCTGTCCCCGCTGTGGTGCACATGAGGGAGAGGTGGTAATCAAACTCATGTGTTACCTCAGGAGCTCCCCAGCCTAGGGTGACCTATATTCCTGCCGGCTCGGGGGGCCTGCGCTGGCCGGGCGAGCGCGCGGGTCCCCGCCGGTTATTTAACGCAGCGAGGCTCAATACCCGCTCCCCCGCCTTCCCGCTTTTATCTGCTCTAAAGTCTGTGTCAATAATACATTTCTGCCATTGAATATTTTATTGATGGTTTGACTTTTTTGCTGCTCGCAATTCCCATTTCAAGGCTGCGTGATTGTTCCTAATTAAAATTTTATGCCCTGGGACAAGCCTTCTTGCTACAGTGGAGATGATGCTGTCCTTTTCTAGGCCACTACGGAGTGGTAGGAGGAAATTACCATTACCCATTGTTATGAGATTAAAACAAAGCAAATAAATGATTGTTTTTTCCCTTAAAAAACAAACCAAAAGCCCTGCGCACGGCGCGTACTGGAGAGGGAACAACTGGCTCTCGGGCAAGGCAGGGATCCAAGTGTGCAGGGTGGCTCGAGGATGCTGTGCCTGGCTGTGCAGGGACTCGTGTCCCCACGTCCCTCAGGCACTGTGGGCAGCTTCTTCCTGCCCTGGAGTGGGCGGGAATGGACTTCAGAGCTTCTCTCTCCTCAGATGTTTCTCCTGGCTAGCTCCAGTGTCACCAAAAATCACAAAGCAAAGGATATACCTATTTTTCACTGGTGAGCAGCCCCACATTTTTGTTGTTTATTTTTTTTTTATAAATCTGTAGGTTCAGTCAACACAAGGCACCATTCAGAAGAGCATTTCAGCCACCTCCAGCCTCCCTGGCACCCTTTTCCTGGCTGCACTACCTGATTTTTTTTTTTTTTTAGGGTTTTTTTTTTAATATTGCATAAGAAAAATAACCCCCAGCTCCTCGCTCCTCTATCCTGGACTGTCAGCTCCTCACCATCCTCATCAGATGGTGGTCTGGGTGCCAGCACTGCCCTAGGCCAATGCAGTTTCTTCAGGATAACACTGCTGGAGACACTTGAACCATCCCCAAGTTGTGGTTACATATTTGTACTAGTTCCTGGGTGTTTGGGTTTGGATTTTTTTCCCCCTCAATTTCAGCTAGAGTGCTAGAAGCGTTTGTGCTGCCTCCCAGCCCCTGGATTTGGCAAGCAGCTTTTAAAGCACACACTTCAGCACCAGTTACATAAGGAAAGGTGTGAATGTCTGGAGGAGAAAATGCCTGTTGGTTTTGCTCCCCAAGTGGTGTACAGATGCTCTGCTGCTTGCTCCTGGCTGCACAGATTCTACTAGCATAGTTCACTGTAGATGAAGAAGAGCTGTTGGAACCGGTGTGTGTGTGTCCATGCAGGGAGCATTCTCTGCTCTCCTCTGCTGATTTTTCCTTCTCCATCTCAGAGTGCAGACTGACTGCATTCTACCTTGCCCTGGAAAAAAAACAAAACATAAAGCACTAGAGGAGGCTGGGAAATTTTCTTGTTTATGGATGAGCAAGTTTCTCTCCCAACGGAACCTCCTGCCAGCAGAAATCTTTCTTTTTTTTTTTTTAGGATGTATTATATAAGTCCCTGCTTGTATTTAACTAACTGCCTTCCTCTTAAACAATTCATGTACTCCTATTCCTCACAGGGCAGCTTGCTCCTTTGGTGAGGCTCACCTGACACTGGGATGTGTTATGGACAGGACACAACAGGCGCTTCTTAGCGTGGTGCTTGAAGGGTAAGGCCTGTTCCCTTCCCTCCATGAAGAGCTGAAACGAGAACAAAATCTTTGAGGAGCACAAAGAGTCCCTTCAGCTCAACAGGCCTGAAATTCAGCATCTTCCCCTCCTGTAAGGCACTCCCCTGCCTCTCACCAAAAATCTCACAGTTCTGAGTGAAAGCACATGACTACTCTTCTAACCAAGCTACGTACCATCTTATAAATCTGTTTATTAGCTACTGAAAAACATGAAATCAAGGGGCATTGCAGCCCTGGTGTGTTTTCTCATCACTCAGGAACACCCTAGTTCTAGGTCCAGATGGAAGGATGATGCTGAGTTTTCTGCTTGAGGGACAACCATGTCACACCCTTCTGCTCTCCTTTTCAAGCCACCTTCACTGGCCACAGAGGAAAGGAAGAGATGGGAGGAACCAGGAATGCAGTGCAATCAGACACATCACTGAGAAGGCACAGCTTTCCACTTCACCTGGTCTGTTGCCCTGGACCACAGTAATCAGCACTCAAACACTGGTTTTGCACATTTATTGAAGACTTCAGGTGACAGTGCAGCAGGTTAGTTTTGAATCATGCCACAAGAATGTTAAAAACAGGAATTGAGCTGTAGGCTCCCCCCACTTACTGGAGACATACACAAAAAAGGCAAAACCAAACAAACTTCACTTCAACCCCTTCCTTTTGCTTACTGGAGCTGAACAGGATGGTTCCATTGGTAGCAGGAAGTCAGAAGCATTCATACCATAGTGCTGCTCATGGGAACTGGGACAGGTCTTGCCAGGCGACCTGCAGAGCTGCTTCTGCCAGCGGCATCTCCCGGGGTTAAGTCATCAGCCAGCACAGTCCCAAACGCAGGGCTGTTTATTCAAAGAGAAACAAAGCACCTTCATTTTCAGACACAGGTTTATTACTTGCATGGTCACCAAAAAAATGCATTGGCAGGGGACTCTGGCCTTCAGTTTCAGCTCTCAGACACACTCATACATGGGTGGATTTTGCACCAGGTTTCCCTCTCTCCATGTGGCTACACTGTGCTCCTGCCTGCTTGGGACCAGCAGTGGGAAGATGCTCTAGGTGCAGCTAGCGAAGAAAAAAGCAATCCGGGGCTGAGACAGCCGTGAACTTATCTGAGGCCTGCCCCCTCTCCCCTCCACCAAAAAAAGGCCCATTCTGAACAAACATGAAAGCATCTTGGGTAAATTCAGTTGGTTTTCCCATCTTCCCAGGGTGTTTGAGCACTATGGGAAAACAGAGCACAGAGGGAGCCGAGTTTTCTTGTGAAGAGCAGATGGTCCTCTGGGACCCAGAGGCAGAAATTACAAAGAGCATGAAGGAGAGATAGGGACAGGCAAAACTTCTTAGAGAGACACTACCAACAGAGGACCTTGCTCTGCCTTCTGTGCAATTAACCACTTATTGACCAGAGCACTGTTAATTCCTTCAGATCAAGCCTTTACAACAGCCCAGGGCTACATGAGAGCAGCCCCAAGAGTCAGGGGAATACCTGAGCACTTTCAGGAAACCTCAGCAGCTGAGGTGAATCCTAGCTGGTTATTAGGAACTTTAGCTAACAATGAAGCTGTGCTACTCTTCAGAAAATATACTTTTCAACTACCCACCTTCTTCACCAGCATAAAATCGCAAGAGATAACATTGTAGGAGAAGCCATCTGCTTCGTCACTTCCTCCGTTTTTAACGACAGCCACCCTGGGTGGCTGGAAAAGTCCCTGCCTGGCTCGCCTTCCTGTTCCTCGGGGCCATGAAGTCAGAGTCCCCTGCATGACATCACACCACATCGGGCAAGGCAGCTCTGCAAATGCTCAGCCAGGACTGGAGTGCCAACAGAGCCCTGGCACAAGAAGTAGTAAACAGTGAGCAAAGGTGAGGGGTGGGATGGAAAGAAAAGCCAGCAACAAAAAAAGAAAGTGAGGCTCGTTCCTGCTTTTCCTTCAGCAGACTCGAGAGTCTCTCTTTAAATGTGACTCATCCAGGGCAATACTAGGCAGAGTTTCTTCTATTAACACACCCTTGGCAATAGCAGTTCAGTTAGTCACTGACCGGGTATCAAGACGTCAGCGGCCGGGATGATGCGTCTCTAACTTGGTACGAGTCCGCTAGCACTTATTTACTTTGGAGAAGAGCAAGAGAACAGAGAGGGGAACACGCCATCTCTCCTGAACAACTTTACCACCAACTATTCGCACCCACATGCCGACACGGCCCGTTCCCTGCATCTCCGCTCCCGCCGGACACACCGAGCCCCGCTGCAGGAAGTGTTCAATCTTTTCGCGCTCCCCTGTGCGAGTGCGGCCGATCCCGGGGCACTCCCTGCAGCGCAGGGGTCCGCAGAGCCGAGGATGGGGAACTGCTGGAGGCAGGACAGTGGCGACGGACGGGGGAGCCGACTGCTTGTCACGCCGGAGCCCCTCACCTGGCTGGCCGAGAGGGCAGGAGGGCGTCGAGGCTTCGAGGCGCGGGTCCGGGGAGGCGAGGCGGCCGCACCGTGATGTCCGAGGAGCAGGTTAGCCGCTGTCACACGCACAGTGGAGTCGCCGAGAGCACAATGTGCGTTAGTCAGTGGCTCACCTGCTCCTGGAGGGTGACGGGGGGGCGGCGGGGCCCGCCTGCAGCAGAGGAGACACCGGGCAGCGCGAAGGATGGGGCGCGGGAGAGGGCAGCCGCGCCGTGCCCGGGTTCCGCGGCGCGTGGGGCTGCAGCTCCGCGCTCCCACCCGCGGGACGGTCCGGCCCGTGCGGCCCTGGGGCCGGCGGCGCCCCGCAGCTCCGGAACGGGGGAATCCCTCCCCGGCGCGGCCGCCGCTCACCTGCGCTCCCGCCGCCGCCGCCGCCGCCAACTTCTCGCTCTGCCCCGGCCCGGCCCACGCCGCGCGCCGCGGCCCCTCGCCCCGCCCCCCGCACAGCTCCAGCCAATAGCGGCTCCGCGCGCCCGCCCGCTGGCCCCGCCCCCGCGCCGCTCCTGCCAATGGCGGCTCCGCCACCGCCCGCAGACGGCCGCGGCGGGGCGGGGCCGGGCGGGCAGGCGGCCCCCCCGCCCCCCCGGCGGTGACAGCGGCGGGCGCGGCGCGTTCGCTTCTGCACGTCGCTGCTGCTGCGGGGAGGAACCATTTGTACCTGTTGAGCCGCCGCCCGCCTCCCGCTCACCCCGCCCCGCTGACCCCCGCCCTTCCCGCCCTCGTCGACCCGCTCGGGCCGGCGGCCGCCGGCGGCGCCCCCCTGCTCTGCCGCCGCCGCCCGCGAGGAGCCCCTTCCCCACTGGACCTCCGTGGCCTCGCCACTCGTCTCCCTCTTTCCCCTCCGTCCCCCTTCCGCCCCCGCCGGAGCCCGGCCCATGGTACGGCCCGCCGGGGCCGTGCCATCAGGGCAGTGTCGGGGCGCACGTAGGCGGTGCGGGAGGGACGGGGCGGGGGGACGGGGGGAGAGTCGGGGTGTCCCCGGCCGCCCCCGCCACTGCCCCCTCTCCCTTCGCTGCATCAAATGTCACCGTGTCACATTAATTTTTTGTATGTTTTCCCCCGCTCCGTTGTTCTACGCTGGGCTGGGCGTGTGGCGAACCCGAGTGCCCGTCGCAGTGCCAGAGGATGGTCCCTCGGCCCCGGGAGTTTGCTTCCAGCAACTTCCCCCTAAAAAAAAGGGACGTGCGGTTGGAGGTTTTCTGTACATCCTCAGTATAACAGCGCTCACCTCCTCATGGGGCGAACTCGCTCCCGCCCATCACCCTACAAACCGCAGCCAAGCAAACGGCTGGAATGCTGAAAATTTTAGTGCACCTCGAGGAGGATTCACCAAGCACCAGAGACAGAGCTCCATGGATGGGCGCAGCGCTGGCCTGTAGTGGGAAAAGCCTTGTTTGGAGACTCACAGAGCCAGGCGTCGAGCCTGCGGGCTGGCTCCCATCTGCCCGATGTCACACACTCGCCTTCCTCGAACAGATCGGAAACCAGAGCGCATCCGGGAGAGCGGGCACGTTTGTTGTGACCCCCTGGTTCATTCATAATGCTGTTGGGCAAGAAAAAACACTTCGGGTGCGGATGTGGCCACTGACCAAACACGCCTCATCCCTGGTGAACCGATGATGCGTGCTGTCCGGCAAAAGGCACGAGCCCTGCATCCCTTGTGAAAACTTCCTCGGCATCAGCTGTCCCGGCTCCGATGGGCGTTTTGCAATCTGGAGCAAGATTTGGAAGCAAAACGCAGCGCGGGCTCGCTGATAGCTGGTGGCAGTTCCCCATCGAAAGGATTTCCTTACGTGTTTTGCTGGAGCGCTTCAACACTCATCCGTGGCTCTGCTCTCCCATTGCCGGTGTGGAGGGGGGATGGGGGGACAGCCCCTTTCCTGCGTGACAGCCCGCACAATGACAGGCTGTCTCTGTTGTCATTTTGTGTGCATGTTGTATGGGGGGTTTTTGTTTTCACCCAGCAGCCGTAGGGGAAAAGTCACGTATTTTACATCTTCCCCAGCACGGGGGGTGGTGCCTGGATTGGAGAGAAATCGTCCACGGAGCACACCGATCCCTCCACCCTCCGGGCATGAGCCAACACAAAAGAAGGCACAGCCATGGAAAATACTCCTTTCTTAAAAATAGGTATTTTTGTGGGGAGCAACATGGCTGGGTACTGCCCTGACACCTCCCTGCCAGCATTGCTGCTTCTGCCAACTGCTCTACAGGGTACAGGACACACGTGCTGTTGTGCTCCACCAAGGCCCTCTTCTTCCAGGCAGTACTACACATTCCAAGTTTTACTAAAAAAAAAAAAAAATAAAAAAAAAAATCCTTCAATCCTTCTCTTGACTGTAAGCACACAGGGAAGAAGTGTGTTTTGAAGCGGTGCTTGCACAGCTGGCTGCCGGTACAGCTGTGGATGTTTCCCGGACCTCCCTGAGCGCTGTGTTACACCATCCAGCATGGAGCAGGGCCGGCGCGGAGCCAGCTGAGCGCACGGCGGGCAGAGGATGCGCTGCTGCGGAGGGCGAAGCGCTGTCCTGCCGCCCAAGCGAAGGGCACACCTCGCTCCGGAGGTGCCATCGTCCGGGTCTTTAAAGGAACGGCGAGACCACCCGGTTCAAAGGATGGTTACTATGGCCCTGGCAAGGCCTTTGGGCTCAGGGCCTTCGCTACAGCGCTGGTGGGTTTGCCCTCAGCCCCCGCTCTCCCTACAGCTCCAAACAAGTTCGTGGCTCAGCCCTTAATCTCTGGGATGAAACGTCCTGCTGACACGGCCGGTGCTGTCCCGTGGAGAGCTCCCGCTTATCCCAGCCCTGCAGCTCTTCCCTTTGTTCCCAGCTGGCTTTCAGTCCCCGCGGCGGTGCCAGAGCCACGATGTGTGCAGTGACAGGGAAGTGCATTCGCGGATGGCGGGAGGGCGTCACGGGCTGCCCTCCGTGCCCACCTCGGTGCAGTGCCAGTGCCGCTGTGCTGCGCCCATGGACTCGGGGAGCAATACAAATGGGGGAACATGCCCTCAATCTTATCCCTGGAGGCTGGCAAACCCGGCATGAACTAACGTGAAAGTAAGAAGTTGCCTCTCAGCAGCGCAGATCTTGCCTTTTCAAACACGAGGCAGTGCCTGTTCACCGGCTGGGGCATCACCAGCGGTTTCGCCCTGATCCCTCCCTCTTCGCCCCTCTTTCAGGCCTCGAGCGGGCAGTCAACAGCAAGGCTGGCGCAGGTTTTGCTCCGCTCTGTGCTCTCTGGAAAAGGACCTTGTTTTCTCCCCGGCCCCCGTCTGATTCTTGACAATGCCCCGAGTGTCTGCGAGGACACGCACGTTAGCTCTGGGTCACGTCCGCCTGCAAGCGGAGCCTGGGCTGCGCTCCCCTTGCCGGCGGACAGCCGAGGACAGCCCGGGCAGAGCCCCACGGCTGATGGAACAGCGCGAAACCAGCCCTTCCTCCTCTACGTGCGTGCGCTCAGCCGGCGCCGCGGGAACATTTGGGTCGGGCCCAGCCTCGAGTAGTTAGAGGGGGGAAAAATCCGCGGCGGTCTGCGCGAGCTATTTAGCCCCGATCCGTGTCCTCACGGACCGCACGGGCCGGACCGGGCTGAAAGAGGATGCTCCCAGCCCCGAGAGACGGCGCCCGACTTCCCTTGGGAACGGAGCATCCCGCGAGCGCAGCCCCGCGCTGGCCTCGCAGCACGGCGGCCTTTGAGCCCCGCTTTCCCCTCACAGAGCTTGGAGACACCGGCGGAAGGATGCCGGTCACCCCTGCCAACCCTGTTTCCATGGAGCAACCGGGAGCGGCCGGAGTGGGACCGGCGCTGCCCGCGGAGACCGAGCGGTGCGGCCCCGTCCTCTCGCGGCCCCGCAGTGGTACAGCCCGCGCGCCCCCTCCGCAATGGTTCATCCCCGCGGCCTTCCCCCCCCGTCACCCGAATGGTTCGCTCCGCCCCCCCCCCGGCTCACGCGTGGTGGTTCCGCCCGCTGCCGCCCCGTGACCCGCCAGTGTTTCCACAGCGCTTCCGGGGGAGCGGCGGCCGCGGGGTCCTGGATGTGAGCGGGCGCCGGGCTGCTCCTGACCGGGATGTGAGCGCCGGGGCTGCTCCTCGGTGAGTGCCCGGGGCAGGCAGGCAGGCAGGCAGGCAGGCGGGCGGTGGATGGGTGGGGGCCGGGCCATGGGAGTTGGCGGAGCGGCCGCCTCCCCCAGCCCGGTGAGGAGCTGCTCCGGTCGCTCCTTTAGCGTTGTTCCTATAAACAGCAACGACGACAGCATATTTAGTGGGTTGTTTTCCGACGGGAGACGCCTCCGCGGGAGGGCAGCCCCGGCTCGGGCTGGCCCCGGGTGCTCCCGGGGTTCCCGTGGGAGCGTCCCGCGGGATGCGAAAAGGCCGAGCGGGCTCGGGAGCACCACGGCTTGGGAGCCATCCAGCTGCCTTCGCTGCGGCAGAGACCTAAATAAATGTACTAAGTACGTGTATAAATATAGTAAGGGTACAAAACAAAACCCCAAGTGTTTCCGGTGTGTTGTGTCCGCGCCTCTCCCCTTTCCCTCCTCCTTTCCTCCCTCTTCCCACCCATTCCCACTGTCTGTGGTGCACACACGGGAGAAGTTATCAGCTGTTTCAGCCAGCTCGGCTGACAAGTACAAACGAGGAGCTGCGTGCAAGCTTTATTTATTTATTTATTTTTAATAGTGTATTAGCTTGTCACAAGGCCACGTTTAGGCTTAAAAACTTTCCCTTGAGGGACCTGTGCTTACCGGGAGGTTCTAAGTTGTGTCGCTGGAGCCTTCCCTTGGCCGCCCCACGTTTGGTGACAGTGGGGCGTTTCATTTACACATGACATTTACATACACAAAATGTAGTTTCATTTACTGGGTTTCCTGCAGGTTGTTGCCGTGCAGTGTGTTGCTGGTGTGCTTCGGGGTGTCTGTTGTGTTATTTCCTTTCCTGTAGGTGGGTCTTCCTCCGTAGGGCCGTGCACAGAATATAGAAGTGTGTGAGCTTTTTGTTTGGGTTTTCTTGTTTGTTTGGGTTTGTTGGTTTTTGTTGTGGTTTTTTCTTTTCCCACAGTCGTGCCCATAAACAGCAGGGGAAGCTGTAGCTAAAAATGGGACTGATGATGAAAGGGAGCTCGCCAGTAAGGGTGACTCTTCTTAGGAAAAGAAGCCTGTTAAGAAAGAGGAGGATGTGCAGAGTTGGAGAGTAGTTAATTCACAGCTGGAAGCAGAGCCAGTGGCTGCAAGGAATTGGAGGCTGGGAATTCCATAGAGCTTGGCTGCTGCTTTGAATACAGAGGTACAAAATGCTTAGCTGCTCCTCTGGATAAGATGCTGTACTTCAAAAGTGTTTTGTGTTGCTTTCTTTGCATTAGGAACTCCCCAAAGAGTGTAGTGTCAGCTCCTGGGGAAGCTTTGGTGGACAGTTTTCATCCTGGAATTCAAGGTGGCTAAATTTAGGGCAGGGCTGGGATGGGGTGGCAGATAAGCACTTCCTTACCTATCCTGGGATTAGTTTTCTGTGACTTATCTATTGGGTTCTTAGGTGCTTCCACTTAAATTATTGCATAGGCAGTTCTGATTAGTGGTATTTAAGAGTTAAATTGTGTTTGGTAATTTAAACAGGGATCTAAATTTAGATTTAGGGGACTTTTTTAAGCTCCTTGTGCATGCTAGATTGGCAGTGCATGACTCTGGGCTGTAGGAGTGTCTTGTTAATCTGCATTATTTCTCTGCCAAGTTGTCTTAATTTACCTTTGGAATGTGGTGATGGTGGATAATAGTCACACCATAACCAGATTTTTTCCAACCAGTCACAGCAATGATTTTTACAATGGTTCTTACTTTCATGTTTTTGAATGTAACATATGAAATTGGAAACAAATCTAAATGATTTCTGATGTGTGACATTGTTTTTCCAGAGAGAACTTAATTATTTAGTTTATTGGGGGAAAAAAACAAAACCAGGAAAAAACACAACCAAACCCCTCCCCCCCAAGAAATCAATAAAGCAGATGTGCGAATGAGAACTGAAAGCCTGTATGTTTGAATATTTAGTAGGTTTAAATCTAGTTATAAGTTGTCTTTAGAACATCGTGGCTCAGTAGTTGCCCGTGTAATTAGATCAGCATTCAAAACCACCCTGTGAGAAACTTTTCTTTGCCTGTAAAAAATCCTGAGTGTTACCCAAGCAAGTGAAAGTAAATGCCTTCTGTAATAGCTGTTCTGTTTCTAAAAAAATGTAGAAACTACCTAAGAAGTTGGTGGAGGAGGAGGTGCTAGGAGGAAAAGTGCCCATGGCTGGGAGAAGTGCTTGCTGTTGTAGCAGCTCTATGGGCTTTGTGTCAGGTGAGATGGAGCTCTAGTGTCCTCTGCAGACTGTGCCTCCTCTTAATGGCTGGAAACCTGCGCTTGCCTTCTCCCTGGAACATACTCAAAGTACATTAAAACGCTGATTTGTGGTAGTGCATGAGGACTTCAGTTCAAAAAGCTAAATGTTTGCTGAAGTGCTTGTTTGATAAACACTTGTTCTGGAGGAAGTACTTAAATCTTCTCTGTTGTTGAAGCCAACAGAAAACCCTGTTGCTAATACAGCTTGAAGAAAGTGTTTGTAATTGCACTTTGATTGTACTGTTAAAATGAATTAAGGCATCTCTGTGTAAAAATGTAATCTGTTTTAGCAGCAAAGCCTGGGCTTACATCTTGTCCTGCAGCAGAGCCTATGCTGCCATAGGGACACAGCACTGCAAGCAAACCCAATCTGGCCTTGCTGAGGCGGTGTCTTGGGGAAGGAAACCTAAGCGGAAAAGATCTGTTGCGAGTAAAGTGATCAAACACCTGCCATGCACTTGTTGCTTCTGTGGTGTAATGTTTGCTTAGGGTATTCTAAATGAGAATTTGAAAACGGGGATGTTAAGGAGGAGGACAGTGACTGCCTTCAAACAGCCTTGTATGCAAGCTGTAATCTGGACACTGGATAGTTATGCTGTGTGAGTGGATGATGCACCTGCCCAAGGAACTGAAATGGGGCTTGCTATAAGCATCAGTGGTTTTGAGTACAAGACAAGGGATCTCTGGCCGGATCGCCCTGCATCTGTATTCTATCCTAAACTCCTCTGAACAGACTTACAAAGTGGGATGCAGAAGGGAGGATTGGTGAATGTTAGAGCTGCTTGCAGCTGAAGGGCTGTATGGAGACTACTGCACACCGTGGGATTTTCCAGGTGACCAAGCAGTGAGGGGTTGGGTACAACCACGAGGGCAAGTCCTTCACACCCCCGAAACTAAGCAGCTGTAGCTGCCCGAGTCAGATTGTCTTCAGGGATAACTGGTTGGTTTTTAGCAGTCTGGTCCTTTGTGTTAGAGAAGTGCAGAGTTAAGGTTTGCTCTGGAGAAATGACTGCCATCCCCTCCTTAACCAAACTTTTTGGTTTACACAGTAATAAAAATGTTTTTCATCTATTTTGTATTTGCTAGTTCTGGTGCTGGGGGGTTAGAAAAATTCTGATGTGGTAAGTGCTGGAGAAAACAGGGCTTTTGTACAGGTGGGTGAACTATCTGAAGTGTATCATGAATGTGTTTGTGTTTCACAGTTGCAGTTTGTTTGAAATGCCTCCCATTAAAAAAACAACAACAGCTTGGAAATGCTGCTTATTATTCTTAAAAAAAAATAGAAGGAGCCTCTCATATTAGTATACTGTCATATTAGTATAGTCCACCATGGCTTCCCTCTTTTTTTCTTAAGAGCAGCTTCCCAGTTTGGAAAAGGTTGCTTATATAGTATATATAAAAAAATATATATAAAAATACTTGTGATGTGCTTAGAAATCTTAAATTCACTTCATCGCTTGGTTTCTTCTTGTAAGTTTCCAGCTATCCACAAAACAGACTTTTTTTACTGACATGATTTGAAGACTTGATTGTTTGCTGCAATACCAGATTTTCTTTAACTCGGAATTTTGCCTGTGAGCAAAGTACAAGCTTGCATTTGCAGCATAAATATGTCAGTTCAGATTGTCAAGTCACAAGTGCTGATTTGTTTGCCTCTGTGCCTAAAGGATAGCTTTCCATGGGGTAGCAAGGCAAAAATAACGTGGGTAGTGGTTTTATTCCACTACAGTGAAGAAATGCATGCTGTTTGGAAATATAACTAAGTGTATGTTGGTCAGAGCTGTGGCTTGTAGGAATTGCTTTTTGAAACGAAGATCTTTTCCACCCTGTGCTTATTGCTTTGCTTTAAGGGACAGTGGAGAGCAGGGAAACAAAGGTAATGGCCATAGTGGAGGCTTATCCATGACTTTTACTTGCCGTGGCTTTGGTTGGCCACCCTCATCCTCAGTGGCTCAGAAGTGCCGTGGCTTGTCTGGGTGTGGCAGTGACAGGTCAGCAGGAACCTGCTCTGTTCCCACAAGGTGCCCATGGAGAAGTAGCCCAGGTTCTGCATCCACTCCCAGATCTCAGCATCCAAATGCAGGGATGGAACACGTGCCTGCCACTGCCCTGCTGGGGGACTGGTGCTGCCAGTCCTTCCCTTTGTGTGGCCTGCTTGTCACGTCACCACAAATTTTGCATTGCCGTAGCTAACTGAGCTTTTGGGAGGATATTATATAATTGAGTTTCAGTCTGAATAATTCACACATATGCACTGCTGAAACTTGAAAAGTTTTGGGTGTTTCTTCATATTTTTTCAGTTGCATCATGGAGTGACTGGCTTTTGATGAGTTTGTGTATTTTCAGCCAACATAAATTGTTTTTAAACAGTTTTTTAAACACTTCTGTTAACAGCCACAAGTTTAACTAAAAATGTAAACCTCTCTTTAGGCAGGATTCTTACTGAAGTTAGGAGAAATCTTTACAATAACTTAGTTGTGTTGAAGCTCAATCTTATTTCTGTTTAGTTGGGTTTTTTTTCCCTGATCACTGAAGACTCCGTTTGTAGTTTGATCTAGTTTAGTAGAACCTACATTTTTAAGACTGTTTGGTGCAGAGCTGTGCTCTATGGCTTAAAGAGGGAGTGTGCAAGTAAAGGTACAGATCAAGAGCACTTGAATAAAACATAATGTTTTGTTCCAAAAAATCTCTTAATATGCAAGATATGTAATGGGGAGCAGGGAGAGTGGGAGAAGAGCACCTGATTGAAACTTCTTTACCACACTTATAAAAGAATCCTTTTTTTTTTTCATATTGAGATATGACACCTAGCTTTAAGTGTCTTTTAATTATATAATTATATATTTTCATGACTTGCTTATAGAAGCTTGCCAGGGGTCTGTCTGCCTTAATGCTTTGTAGCATTATGTGTTAAAAGCTCTGATTTAATTGTCATTATGAATTTGGATCATGCAACATCTCCCAGTATCTGTCAGTTTTACTGCCAGTCTGTGCTAATGCACAGCAATTAATGTGATTGCATTAATATGCACTAAATCAGGTCTTATCTTTTCCATGGAATAATGGTTATGGGGTCTTCAACTTCTCTACTTCATGACAAGAGCTGTGCAAAGGCCCTTTCTTTAATATATAAAGGACCTAAACTACATGATCTTTATTCTTCTTTTCAGTCAGGCAAGGTGGAGTATTTTGATTTAAAACACATTGTCATCCTGTTAGGCTTTGTTCAAAGGGCCTCTGGCCCCTTCAATTCTGCAGTGAGTTGCTGGTCCATGGGATGGTTTCAGTGTTTGTAGGTTTTCTGTTGCTATTTTCAGTGAGGAGTTCTGGTTACACCTTTTGCTGTCATCCAGGAGCCCAAGATAAAGCTGAATCTCTCACTCGCACTGATTTTCACAAGCAGCTGGTTTCATCCAGCTCAGCAGGGCTGTGAAACCTCACGGAGCAATAGCTGTAGTCACAGCTGAGACTGGGAAAACTGCTCCGTGGTGTAGGAGAGCAATGTCCCTTCTCCCAGCAGGTCTCCGCAGATGCGTTGGATGCCCTGTTCCGGCCCGGTGCCAGCCCCGCTGCTGTAGGTGCCACGCTGCCTCCCTGACTCTGCCGTCCTGCCGGGATTCCGATGTCCTGCCATGGATGATGACAGCCAGGATGAGCTGATCAACAAGAACACTGCTCTGGGAAAGGGCAAAAGGCAGTGTCTCGCACTCCTCAGCGAAACAGGTAAATGTGGCCTCTCCGCACGTGCACCTTTCTGCTTCGAGGTTCCAGAACCTATTGATTTACCCTCAACAGGCTGGTAAAATTGTATTTGGGACCATTTGTCACTTTTCCCCTGACAGTTTTTTTTGTTTTGCTTCGCTTCATAGCTTGTGTGTATCAGACTGCTGGTATACTTCCCTGGAGTTTCTCCAGATGGGCAGCTTTGATACCACTGAGGAAATGTGGGACTTCATCCATAATGGCCTGATTAGGGGCTCTGTTCTGCCTGTCTGTCTGCATCAAATGGGTATTTCCTCTGCTCTTCTCTTTTTAAGAAAGCAATGGTGGAAATAGCTGGGATTCAGAAGACGATACTGGTAGTGAAGAGGAAGATAATGACACTGAGGAAGAGGGAGGTGAGGAGGACAAGGAAGAAAGTGGAGATGAAGAATTAGAAGGTAAGGTCTGTTCATATGCCTTAACAGGCATTTTTTAATAACTGAGGAAGAGCGAGATGAAAGCTGTTCCTCCAGAAACTAACAGTGAAATAGAAATCTACAGATGCTGCTGTGTCAGGATGACGCCAAAATCCTGCAGTAATAAGCAATCAAATAATAGTTCCCAATTTCTAAGCTTTTAAAGCATTTGCATATTTGAAGACTACCTGCTAACCAAAGTGGTGGAGTTGTAGTCAGCAGGAGTGAACTCTGCCCCAGCATGAGCAGGAAAAAAAGCCAAAGTTGCAGCAATGGCTCATGCTGGTTTTTCATATAAAAAGCATATTTGTTAGTTTGCTTTGGCATGGGGCTCTAAAGTGAATGTTGTGATGGGGAATTCTGGAAATAAATTATTATTGCTGTAATACCTAGGGAGGATGGAAGAAGACTTGACTAATTTTTCTTTGAAAAAGGAGTGTGGATGTTATTTGAATTTGTTAATTTTACTGAAAATATACTCTGGAGATACATGTACTTTTGAAGCTGCTACACTCAAATTAATATTTGGATATACAAAAATAGAATTTTATCAGATCTAAAGCTTGTTGAGAAGGCAAGAGCACAGTTTTCCAAGTGACTAGTTAGACTGATTTGAACACAGACTAAAAAATTGATACCAGGTGCCAAAAAGCTTTATTAATGCATCATTCAGAGTATACTCTGTATGTCCAGACAGGAGAATTCAGTAGAAAAGACAAGGGCCTCATTCTCATTAAAAAAAAAAAGCAAACAAGCAGCCCAACAACAACCACCCCCAGACCTCCCTCAAAGTGAGTAGGGTTTTAGGTACTTTTTGTTGCTTCTTCAAAACACCAGCTTAATTCAGAGGTTTTAGAGAAAGACTAACATGTCTTTGTATTTTGTAATAAAAATAAAAATACCTTTCAACAATGTGTGCTGAGTGTTTAATTTTACTCAAAATCAAGCTTCTTTAAGTGGTCTTTAAGGCACTAAGATTCCTTGGATCACAAAATCATATTTTACTGTTGAAATCTTTCATTTGCTGTTCTGCAGTAGAGTGTGTTGCTGCTGCTTTTCCTCTGCAATGTCTCTTAAAAAAGCAAAAGTTGGGTACATGGTAACTTATAATAACTTTATTTTTAATTTCATTGTTCAGTGGTAGCCTGACATATCTTAACTGTCTTGTTTAGATAATCTTTTGATTTTCTTGTGCCTGTGCTTTTAATGTCTTGCAAGGCTACTCACATTATCAGGCTTTATTTTTCACCAGATTAATCCATTGCTTTTTAGTGAAGGGATTTAGAAAGCAAGAAAACAGCAAAATTTATTGCCTTAAACCGGGAAGTCTGTGCTTGACCCCTGCAGACTCATAAAATAAGCTTACTTGGAATTTTCTGGGAACTGGAACCCTGTCCTGCCCATCCCTTCTGGCCTCATTGCTGAAGCCCTGCAGCACACACAAGCTGTTTTTTATCTCTCACTCCTTAAGATTGTGAAGATGATGATGAAGAGGAGGAAGAGGAGGAAGAAAGTGAGGCCACTGTGGAAGGAATGACTGATACTTTGAAATCAGAGCCACACTTGAACGGAGTGAACATCTCCTCTGATGAGGATGGTGAAAACTGCCCCATTTGCCTCAACACGTTTCGGGATCAGGCTGTTGGGACTCCTGAGAACTGCTCCCATTACTTCTGCTTGGACTGCATTGTGGAGTGGTCTAAGGTGAGCAGTTGTCCTGTGGCCTCCTGGTGTGCTCTTCTCTATCCCCTGTGATCATGCTGCTGTCCTGTAATGAGAACAAAACACTGTAGTATTGATACTTGCTTTCTTAAGCTTTTTTAAACAGACTTGGGTTACTGCTCTGTTTGGCAAGATTCATGTTCAAAGTTTGATCTGTTTTTCTTGTACCCATCCTCATTTGTTCCATTCTCTGCAAGCTGTAAGGTCACAAGCAAGTGGGTTTGTAGGCATCTACAGTTCTTCTGTTTTTTCAAGTTGAGATACTAATTTTTCTCTATGCTTGGAGATATATATATATATATGTTTCTCTGTCTATCTGTCTTTATCTTTTCTTGAAAACTGTATTGTGACCATTGGATTGGGATCTGTTGCAACCCTGAACATCTAAGCATAGAAAAGATGTAAATGAATGCTGACAATCAGCGGCTTGCTCTGAATTCAGTTTTCAGTCAGAGTTCTTTGCCACTGTGTAGGTCCCATATCATAATCCAGGGTGAAAATTACAACAAAACTTACAGTGCATGCGGCAGTAGCAGTGGTGATTACGTTTTTTAAAAAGCAAATAAATCACTCTTTACTGAATATATTTGTAAACCGTTTCTAGTTGCTCATTTGTCTAAAGGAAAGTAAATGCTTTAAAACATGAGCAGTCTTTCAAGGCAGTGCTTGGAAGAACTTTGATGTTGCTTTGGCAATTGAATAATAATTAAATTGCTTCAGTGAAATAAATGCTCCTCTAAAAATGCATGTTTTCTCTGATAGAACAGGTTGTTTGTAAACCAGGTAAGTCAGTTTTAAGTACTTAAAATATCAAGATCAATAGCTGTTAAAATGACTACTACATTAATATAATGCTTATTACATTAATAATTTAAGATTTCTTATTAAAAATTCAATAAAGGGATTCACTTATTAACTGTACTGGGATTTTTATTTTTTTTCCCTAGAATGCAAACTCCTGTCCAGTGGATCGAATCCTCTTTAATTACATTAACATTCGGGCACGTTTTGGTGGTAAAATTTTAAAAAAGGTAAGCCTTTTACTGTAGCAAACAAGCAGGCCATTTGGCACAAAATTGTTATTCAAAACTTTACCCTTCTAGGGGGTTTATGTAATAAACTTGCTATCTGAATGAATTATTTCTTTCCTATTTTGAATTTGCCTTTTAAGGAGCTGTGACAATTTTTATTCCTTCTTAACCTTACTTCCTGCTATATTGTGTTGTGGCATCATTTGTGTGGCAAAAAAAAGGATGTTTTTCATAACTGCCTGTTTTGTATAATGGACATTTGACTGAAAACTGTTCTGCATGGATAAGTCTCTCCAAATGCGGAAGGTGCCCTGCATTCTTCAAGTGCTGCTTGTTACAGGATGAATAGGAATAGTCTAGATTATCCATGATCTCTTCCTGGGAATGCTGTGTAGCAGCTGCGTTTGTAAGGGGAGAGAGGCACAGGGCAGTAGGAAAGCCCTGAAAGGCACTGGTTGAGTGTGCTGGTAGTTGCTCACAAAAGAACATTGAAGAGTTGTCATTGCTCTTGATATCAGATGTTGGTTTCCAGGAGACATTTAGGGGTTTGGTGCTTTGTTTTCATTGAACTGATGGTTTATTATTGTTGCATTCTAACAGAAGTGAGAATTAACACTGAAGTAATACAGGGGGTAGCGAAGTTTGCTCTCTTCTTTAGTCTCGTTTTTGGGATGTTTATTTTTGTTTGACTACTTTTGATCTTATTAGTGGATTTTTCTTCTGCCTATTCTTAAAATGCAGTTCTCTATAGTCACTGGTGTCTGACAGTAGACAAGTTAAGTAGATCTTGTCAGACATTTGATTATGCCCTAGATGTGCTGAATGAGGTAAGTGAAGGTTTGGGTGTGTAATAGCCATTTTGCTTCCTTCACTTCTAGATTTTTCTGCGGGTACTACTGTGAGTGTGACAATGGATTTTAAAAGGCACCACATTCTGCATAAAGTGTGCATCTCTGTTTTATTTAGATTCCTGTTGAGAACACGAAAACTCAGGGTACTGATGGAGAGGATGATCCAACCTTCTGTGAAGTGTGTGGCAGAAGTGACCGCGAGGATCGCCTGCTGCTCTGTGATGGCTGTGATGCGGGGTAAGAGGCTGAAATGAATGGAGCACCTGCATGATTGCACATGGTCAGAATTTGGTCCCCAGGCACTGTCTGGTTTGTAGACTGCCCCTTGCTGTTGTCTTCAGGCTCATAATGAGGCCAGCCATGTATCCATGTGTTATTATGCAGACATCCATTTCCGTTCATGTGCAGACAATGATGTGATGGATCCTTTTCTGGTCATTTAGCAACGTATGTGTGGAGAGTCCTGCACATATCAAGGCTGCAGGCCACTGACACAGATGACCATGCCTTCAAGTGATGAAGGTGATGTATGAATGGTAGAACCTTACATCCTTTATATCTCCATGAGGAGAGGATGCATTACTTGTCCAAGTGACTGGGCATTAGTGCTGTGGAGGTGAAGTGCTTAAGATTTACAGTTTTGTGAAGTGTTGAGGATTTTCTTTACAGCCATGGCTCTTAAATTATTTTCTTACTCTTGCTTCCTTCTGTCTCTGCCCCCCTTCTTGATTAATAAAATGAATGTTTAAGTAGAGTCATGAATATACTTGAACACAGCTTTGGCCCTACAATTTTCTGCTAGAATTTGAAGTCCTTGGACTGCTTAATCAGTCCTCCAGCATTGTCAGTTTGAAGATGTCAAAAGTTACCCACTGAACAAAGAGAGATGCTAGCAATGAGTATGTAAAATAACCTTTTAAAAATTATTTCTAGCAAGCTAACTAGACATCTGGTAAGTCTGGTTGTCCATACACACATAGGCACTGATTCACCTTGTGGGAAAAAGACAAAATCAGAAGCACTACAGGTAAGAGTATCATCAGAACACTGAGTTTAAAATATTAAGCCAAAACAGTGTTTCATAGATCTTATCTGAAGTCTCATCTTTTAGGTCTTTCTGCATTTCCATAAGCCTGTCCCAAGTCAGGGTATTGCTTCAGATTTTACTTTGTGATCTCCCAACGGTTACTATAATATTTTTAAAATATTGTTATTCCTAGTTTGATACAGTTGTTTGATTTTTGTCTTCTTTTCCTCAAGTTATTTATATATGCTTGATTTCCAGAGTTAGCACCTCCGGAAAGCATTTCCTGAAAAAAGAAATTGCAGTCTTTACTAGCACTCCACAGCTGAGATTAACTCTAGAAAAGTGCAGAATAACTTGCTTCAAATGCTCATAAGTACGACTACTGTTAGTACTGTGTTGGTTCTCAGGAAGCTGATGTTGTTTCCTGATTGCCTGTCTCCCCAGAACCTCTGTACTTCGCTTGCCACCATCAGTTTTGGCTCTGCACATTTCTTGCAACTCAGGTTCAAATGGCAAGTAATTCACCACACAGTGAGGGGAAAAGGCTCAGTTTTCTGAGATTTTTTGAGCCTAAAGTGGTGAAAATACCATCTAGAACTAAAGACCCTTGTATAACTATCGGGTAGCATCTTTTCTCTGCAGATTGGTAGAAGTAGATGCATAAACCTTAGTTTCAGGCTTAAGAGAATGAATCTGCCTTTTATAGCATTGGATAGGGATAAAATGCTGTCTTCCCTTGGTAAGGGGCATATTGTTTGATTTTCTTTTTTTTTTCCCCCTCAAGGTATCACATGGAATGCCTTAATCCTCCTCTGAGTGAAGTCCCTGTAGATGAATGGTTCTGCCCTGCCTGTGCTCCCATGGGTGCCAATGGTGCTGCAGGTAAGGATTTCATGGTTGCCAGTCAAAGTAAATATTTTTCTCCCAAGTTAGATAAAGTGAATCATGTGGTGTTTTGAAGACGTGTTTAACCTCCTGGTTTATCTGTTTCAAATAATTGTTTTGATAAGCATTCTCTCTTGAACCTTAAGATTAGACTTGAACTCTTGACTGATGAGAGGATTCTGTGTATGAAGATTTTCATCTACAGTTAAAACCTGTGGAGCTGCTTCTTGTAAGCATCCTTTAACCTTTCCAAGGAAATCCCAGCACCATAGTGTGACTTTACCGTGTTACATTGGAAAGAATTTATTAGTATCCTGACCTCAGACTGCGGAGTTAGCAGCAATTTCTGTTACCTAGAAAAGTGTTACACTGTGTAACAGTCTGAAGCAGTGGTGTCTGTGCTCATTTCCTTTTGAGAGGGTAATGGTTGCCTGTGGAAGTGATTGGTTTAAGAAAGGGAATGCTGATTTTTTTTTGTCTGAAATTCTTTAAATGATTTCACCTGTAGAAAGACAAGTAATCTCAGCTGGTTCTCATTCAAGATGCAGATCATGTCAGTGAGGAAGAGGTGGCTGCCCTCATGGCTGATGTTGTCCCCACCACCAGTAGGCTCCGTCCTCATGTCCGAACGCGGGCCATAGCCAGGACTCGGCAGAGTGAACGCGTCCGGGCCACGGTGAACAGGAACCGCATAACAACAGCACAGCAAATTCGGGTATCCACGGGGATTTCTGAGGGAGACCCTGCAAGAACCCTGGGGAACAGTTACTGAAATAAGTCCCCATTTCAGTAGCTCAGCTGTCTGTGTTGACTGTCCATAGCACAGTGGTTAGTAGCCGTGGAGCTCTTTTAATCTGAGATGTACAACTTGTGCGATTGGAGTACAGCACATGACCAAAATGCTCTAATTTGAGATGCTGCAGTAACTTCCTCTCTTAACCTGCATTTTTATCACCCTTGATTGTGAGAAAAATTATACTTTTATTCTTAGTGGCTATTAATACAAAGTTTGTGCACCACTTCTGGTTTTTTAGCATGTTTATTTGGCAATTGTTTATTTTCCTTTGTCCTCCTGTCTCCTTGCCCATAGCAGTAGAACATGTTGTCTGCCTTCAGCCCAACTGAAGAGAAAAATTTTGTATTTTTAAGGTTTCTGTGTTTGTGAAAATGTCTCTTGTTGGAAGAGGAAAAAAAATGGATGTTAGCGTCCTCAATAATGTGGCCACATGATTTCAAACACAGTAACAGTATAAGAGAATCTATGCAGGAAATATCTCCCAAATACACAGGGTCCCTCTCTTACTGTATTAAGTATAGTTTGAGATAGCTGTCATGAGTGAAGATCCAGCTCACCTTAAGTTTTTATCACATTTTCCCTCGATTTAAGTACTTCCCAGAATGCTTTAGCAGTTGTTAAATTCATTATGTCCTCCATAATGGAGATGATCTTGACTGCCAAACCCCACTGTCTCCAAACCCAGATGTTTCAATTTTAGCTTTAGAAGAATTAATAAAATAGGAAAAGTTGATGAATTATTTGATGCATTGTTGTTAAGCAATTACAACTGAGTATTCAGGGCTATATGTTGAAAAAAATACAGGAAAGTGTAGTTTAAAGTGAAAGACTCTGCAGGGTAACTTGTTATTTTTCTTTCTTTTCCTACTTGTTGTTTTAGAAATAGTGTGGAATCATCTTCTATGGGCGAGAGGGGTGGTGCCTCGGGAGTTTAGTATTCCATGGTAGTGTAATCCTGGGAATCCAGCAGTTCCCATTCAAGCTGTTCCTAGCTCCACTTCTCAATGTGCAGTGATGCTTATACCTAGAAAGGCACTGTTATTTATTGCCTTTGTTATTTATATGCCTTTGTCTCTGAACAAAAGTGCATCTTATTTTGGCTCATACCTTGAGTTGACTGTAGCATAATTCCACTGGTTGAAGGAGTGTAAACTGTTGTCCTCCAAGCACAGTTAGAAGCTGAGGACATGCATGTAACTGAAGGAGGCTGAAGAACAAGGTCCTTAATATGCCAGTCCGTAGATTTAAAAAGTGACATAATTGCTTAGCTGGCAGCTTGGTGATGTGAGGGGTTTCCTCATTTGAATCTCAATTTTTTATCAAATGCTTTTGTAAGTAAATGTTGCTGAGCTCTAGGTACCTGTATCGTGCAACTTCTAATCCTCCCCACAGCACGTGCCAGGATACCTCATGTCCTCTCTTCTGGATGAAACAATTGAGGCAGTTGTAGCAGGCCTGAACACAGCCATCTACCAGCGTCCTCTGGCACCACGCGCTCCTACCAGGCAGAAGAGGAAAACTGGTAAGGACATCAGGCGCCTTAGGGGAGCCTGAATCCTACAGAATACTCCGCATCAGCTGTATGCTGCCACACCTGCATGGCTATGGAGGTATCCCAAGTGCATTTCTTCTTTCCCTATAGCACCTCTGCCCAGAAGTGTCATGAAGGTTGTTTCTAAATGAATCCTAATGATGTCACTTTTTCTGCTCTGCTGTTGGTGGCACGCTGTATGTCTCTTTGAGCTGCTTTGTGTGTCATGGTGGGACGAAAAGGGGAGTACAGTGTAAAATACAGTGCCAGCATTTATCCAGATCATTGGTTTTTGTCCCATCAGGAAGGCGGAAGAAAGTAGGAGGCAAAAAAAGAACTCAGACAAAATCTGCTGCTGGGAAGAAGGGTTCAGGGGCACAGCTGAAGAGACGCAAGCGTCTGACAAAGAAGAGAAGGGGGAAAAAGACAAGAGTAAGATCACATGTGAGTGAGTTTCTACCAGTCAGTATCTGCCATTTTCAGCCCTCTGTGAAAGCACTATAACATGGGATTCAGTTGGAAGAAGTGCCACCTTACAATCATACATCTTTCTTTCTGGTGGGAGTCTGTTCAGGATGTGTCCAGGGCAGAAAGATGCTGTATGTGGAAGTGAATTGCAGCTTCCATACAGGCTTGCTGGCTTTGCTGACAAATCCTGTTACCTGGACTGTAGGGATCAGGTTGTAAAGCACGTCCTACAGGCTTTGTATCCTGCCTTGCCATTCAGCTGTAGTGTTTACTTGGTACTGATGCAAGCTCAGTTAAAATTGCCAGCACCTATTCTTTTAGGCTGTGGGTGTTTGTGGCTGTGTTGTTGCAAACCCAGCTTATCAGTTGTAGGAGCTCTAAAAATTCCTTTCAGTTGTGGGTAGTGTTGTCTTGTAAATTACTCTGCAGAGTACTCTGCACCTACTTGATTCTTTTTGTCAGCTACTTTGACTAGAGTCAACATTTTCAAGCCAGAACTCCAGCATTTAATAAGGAACCAACAATTTTGAATTGACATTATTAAAGAATTTTAGAAGCTTAATTTATCTGGTCACTTATATCTGATACATGCAGTCTCTGTTTGAAGTGACATATAGGCCATAGTTACAAGTTTCATAAATACTTTAAAACAAATATAGATAATAAATGCACACCACTTACGCTGCTGATGGTAGTAACCTGATGACTGTACACAGTCTAAGTGAAGAATTTGGGGCTTTAAACACAAATTTACCTTCCCTAACATACAAATAACCCAATCTCTTTGTCTGTGCAGGGCAAAAATGAGGTTACGACTCGCTCCCGTATTGCAAGGACCCTTGGTCTCAGCAAACCTGTGCGTGGGGCATCACTTCCTTCCATGTACAAACCAACAGAGCCCTCCCTTGGGCTGATGAGAGCAGATATTGGTGCAGCTTCTCTCTCTGTGTTTGGAGATCCATATGAGTTGGATCCTTATGAAGGGTGAGAGATCTCTGGGTTGTGATCAGGGACCTGGTAGTTCGTTGTTGAGTTGTTTGTACATGTGGCTCCATGCAGAGTGTGCAGCTCACTCTGAAGGCAGCTTTGGGTACACAACCCATGATAACAAAAAAATGGCCTGTTCTTTCTTCCCTTCTGGGCTGAGTTGCTAAACTTGAAAGGAATCATTCTCCTCTAAAGAGTTTTTCTGAAATAATTAGCCTCATGAAAACTTTCAGTAAGATGTATGGGGCTCTTGAAAGGTTAGAATCTGAGGAAGTCTGGTCCTTTGCTTTGTATTTATTTATTTTAAGTGAAGTTAGCTGACATATTTTGTATACAGTAAACACAAAATTAAATGGACCTCTGCAATCTTTCATGTTTCTTCTTTTCTTATCTTCACTTTTCCAGACATTTAAAATTCAGGAGAAATCGTACTATGCCACAGTTCATGTCACTCAAACTTTTTATTTTTGGGGAGGAGGCATCTAAAATTATTGTTGGTGAAATTTAGTTTTCCACTGAATAGTTCTTTTGGATCCTTTCATAAAAGAAAATTGTCCATTTAACATTTTAGAAATTAAAATATACATTTGAATCTCTGCTGTTTGAATCAAGCTGTTCTATTCAGGCAGAACAGCAAATAAGTATATTGCACAAATATTTTTTAATATATTGTACTAAAACATACAATGATCTCTAACCATATCTGTCATAATGGTATCATCTCTTTGATGTGAAAAACATTGCAGGCAATTTCAGGGTTCATGTGCATGTATGTTTTATCACAGTAATGAAGAGGTTCCAGCAAATCCAGATTCACCAGTGAGTGCCAAAAGGAGAGTTCTCTCCCAGTCAGCACTGAGGTCTCACCGTCCTGTAGCTAGACCCATTTCTGTGGGACTTCCCAGGTAAAAACCCATTGTTATTTTATTATTCTTAGTCATCTAATGACCCTAACAAAAGAGTAAACCTGGTGGTCATCCTTGTTTAACCCTTTTCTTTTCCTATCTTCTAAAAAGTGCATGTGTGTGTGTACTTGCATGCCTGCACAAGTGTAGATAAATAGATAATAGTTTGTGCAAGGATTTTCTTTTTTAATATTGAGGACATACACTCTTTCATCATACCTTTAACATTTTTGTTGAAATTTAAAATTGGTATTTCCACCCTAATCTGACTCTTCTTACATTCTATTTTGTGACTATTTAGTAACCCCATTAGTATATTTTATTTCCCAGTCTCATTAACATTTAAAAAAGCACTTGCTTCTTTCAGAGGGCTGGGGAATCCAGTTGCGCATCCTGAGGAGGTGAGGGCTGTACCTCCCTCACCCAGTTCTGCCGCTGTTTGTTGGTTCTCAGAAAATTCAGGAAGAGCTTTGTTTGATCCTGCAGTTTAACAGTTGCTTTGCTGCCTGTGTGTTGCAAGCCTGCCAAGGCCAGGGATCTCTGCTGGCCCTCCACTGGCAGCCACAATGAATTTTCAGGACTGAGGGGTAGGACACAGGGAACTGGGAGCATGATGAGAAGAAAAGGGATGAGGAAAATCACTGAGGCAGGTACCAACAGAGTCAGAGAAAACTGCAAGGGTGAGGGAGCTTGAAGAGAAATGAAGGGAGCCCAGCTTAAGTGGTTAAAAGTGTGAAATGTTTATATAGCTGTCCTCTAATGCATCTGACTTATGGTGAAGGTTGGTTTCTCAGGATTAAGGTGGTCTATTTCTATGATAATTTGGATTATTTGTCTACCTTTCCCTTTTCAGTTCTGAAGGGAGCCTTTCAGGAAGCTTTCCATGTCCTCAGAGTTATTTGAGTAGCTTATTGATTAGAAGATAGAACTGTTTAGCTGATACTCAGCTCTTCTAAAGGCTCCATTGGCCTGCACTACGCTTGAGTTTCCTGGTCTGGCCTTAGCAGCTGATTTCCCGTATGGGAAAATAGTGTTCCCATTTTATCTCTCTGGTATATGTTATTACAGGTATTTTGGTGTACATTATGTGAATAAAGTTTGCTTTGTTGTCATACAGAGATGAAATCTAGCTCCCTTAAAGAGCTGCGTCCCTTTGGAAGTTTGTTTTTTAGTAAACTCAAACAAAAAAAAACCCAAATCCCATCAGCACAAAAGCAAAGAAAGAAAAACTAAAATACCCAACACAAGAAACACCTTATTAGTCCATATTTCAAGAACTGAGAACTTAAACCCATTTTCGTAAGATTGAGCAAAGTATAAAGGGGAGTGTTTGTGCTGTCCCATGTGTGGGAGCAGTGCAGTGGTTTTTCAGTGTAATTTCTCTATGCCATGCTCTTAGCTGCCCCTACCAGTGGCACCTTATGGTTAAACACTGTTTCAAGCTCTGTCTTTTTTTCAGATAGAAGTATAGGCCTGAGGAATACATTTGTGTTTGTGATTTAGTGGGAGCAAGAGAGGCAGTTAGGATAGAAATATCTCTGAAATGGTAATCTGTGGTTTATCCTCCAAAAATGTATTTTAAATGCACTGGAAAATTAATCTTGATACACTCCACAGGGAGCCACCAGCATTTGCTAACCAAAAGTCTCAGATATTATTGCTTTCTTATCTTGTGTAATTCCTGTGGGAAGTCGGGAAAAGCTTCACCTTCTGTTTGTCAGAGAAAGATGGGGACTGAATGACTAGTGAAGCCAAAAGTACAAGTGAACTTCCCTGGCTGACCTCTCTTTATGCCCTTGACTCTGGTTTCTTTTTAATGTAATGTGTGTGTGTGTATAGAACAAGTGCTGTAAGAGTAAAGGAAATGTAACCCCTCTGAAACATGCAGAAGCAGTGTGCCTGCCTTGAGTCCTGATCACGAAGCAGAAGCTGCTCCTGTGCCTGATCTGTTGGGAAGTATCCTGTCTGGACAGAGCCTTCTCATGATGAGCAGTTCAGATGTGGTCATCAACAGAGATGGTTCACTGACAGCAAAGAAGGAAGGTAAGGACTTGGCACCTCATAGTGCTATTTGCCTCTTTGTTTCAGCCACATCTGCCCTGATCCTGTAGGCTGCATTGCTTTAAGCTTAGGGATACTCTTACTGAGCATTGGAATAGGTAGGATAGAATCAGTAGCTGCCAATAGTTTTATAAGATGGACATTCTGAAATAATGTTGCTTGTCTATGTTGAAATGCAGACCTGAGATGTTACAGGAGGGTTTTAGTTTTAATACATAGTTTCCTTCTTTCAAATGAACTGCACGGTGGTTTCATGCTTTGCTTTATTATAAAAAATGTAGGACTGGAGAGACCAGAGTTACCTTGGTACCCAGTTTTTCTGGCATGTGTCATGCATTGCTGCCACACCTGTGATCTGTACTTCAGTTCAAAGAGCAAGGTGAAGGACCTTAGCAAGAAATTTCTTTGCAGAAGTAGAGCTCTGAATATGTGCTGTCATCTCCAGCTGTGTTCTCCCTTGGCATGGTATTACTTGGAAAGAATCTGTTCAAATTGAAACTTGGAGCTTTATTCTTAAAATAAGTACCTCTAACATCCTCTGTTATAGTCATTTCTGTCAATCAGCAACTGCAGGATAATAATCACTAGTCTGGTTGATACCTACAGAACAGAATAATTTATTTCCTAAACGTTAGTGTTTGCCTCAAAGATTTGGTTGTCTGGCACTAAACTGTGAGTATCTGACCAAATAACAATTGGAGTTCCTAATTACTGTGTGGTATGTCTGCAAACCACAGTGGAACTTAAAATAATTAGCTAAGTACTTCTGTTAATGTTGGCAGAAAATATCTGGACATGTCCTGAAACACTGAATTGTCTGTTTGTGTGCCATAGCTCCATTTCACAGAAAATCAGCGAGTGACTCGAGAGTGGAGGATGGTTCAGGGCCTAACACCCACCCAAGTACAGTGCTCTCAGGGACCACAGCAAGTAGCTCCATGGCCAGACCTTCCATTTCCTCGGGACTGAGTACTCGCTCCAGACCCTGCTCCTCAGGCTTGTTCTCATCGCCTCCACCCTCACTGAGCAGGAGCGAGTCTGCAGCAAGCCCTGCACTGGAAAAGGCAACTGTAAAATCAGAATATTCAATGACACCCAGGTCTGTCCAGACTCAGAATACAGCAACTTTGAGCAGGCATGGCTCAAAGTTAAATGAAATGGCCAGATTTAATGGAAAATCTAAAAACTTTGTACCCACTGATTCATCTTCAAAGCCCCTGAGCTGTAACTTGAATTCTGGCTCAAAAGCTGTATCTGTGAGGCAGCCAGTAAAACCACCTTCCCAGAGAATTGACATCTTTGAGCTTCCCAGGATACCAAAGATTAAAAAAGAAACCAGCAGCAGGCAGGTGGAGCCAGAACCTGCAGGAAGCCAAAGCTGTAATATCCCCAGCTCCTGTATAACACAGCTAACTGGCAAAGAGAGCACTAATCAGCCAGGAAAGGGTAGCAGGGTGGAAAGTCAGAAGTCAAATTCCAAGGAACCACAGCAGCAGACACGTCCGAGCTCCACTCATCCCAGCGGCTATAGCGGTTCATCGCTGCTGGGCACTTCGAGGGGCAAAGGCCCAGGCTCTTTTGAGAGTTTTAAAATCAATATTCCCGGGAACACTGGACATCCCAGCAGGCTGTCTAGCCCAGGATTCTGTAATACCTTCCGCCCTGTGGACGATGAGGTGCAGCAGAAGGAGAGCCCTTCACCTCTTTTCTCAGTAAAGAAAAAGCAGGTCAAAAGTGAAATCTATGATCCATTTGAGCCAACAGGATCAGACTCAAGTTCAGCAAACAGCAGTCCTGAAAGGCTTGGCTCAGGGATCCCACTAACTAATATCACCAGGACTATTTCCATCGAAAATCCAAAAGTTCAAACATTTCAAACTGTCCGTCGTTTCACCCCTTACAGGGTAGAAAATATATTTGGGTCTGGGACTGACTCTGATGTGCCATCTGGTAACAGAGAGTCTCCTGATGATGTGACAGTAGCAAGCAGGATTGTAGAACAGATCTCTGATACAGAGGAACGAGACAGTGTGGATGAGGCAGATGTCCTAAGCAGTCCTTGCACTTCATCTGCTGTTAAGGAAATTTCTAACACAAAGTGTTTGAAGGAGGAAAGTGGAGAAGGACCTAATGTGTTCTTTAACGCTGAGGAATTGATTAGACCTAGTATTAATGTGAAAATAGAACCAGATAGTCCCTCAAAGAGTGGTGGGCAGCAGAAAGTCCAAAAGGTAGAACAAGCAGAGAGGCGATCACGTTCCAGATCCTGTTCAAACTCCAGCTCCCGAAGCAAGAAGAAGATGAAAAGGAAAAAAGCACTTGCCAAAGACCATAAGAGATCACGTTCAGGGTCAAGAGACAGAGCACATTCGAAGGACCGAAGCTCCAGATCTACCTCTTCGTCAGGTGGGGAAGAGCACAGCAAAACACACACATCAAAATCCAAGAACAGGAGGTCTTCTACTGATCGTTCTAGCAGTCATGAACGATCTAAAAAAAAGAAAACCAAGGATAAAAACAAGGACAAAAAGGCAAAAACTTCTTGGTCTAGGGACAGAAGGAAATCCAGGTCACGTTCAGGTAGTCCTGGAAGTACTTCTGATTTTTATGAAAATAGGAAAAAGAAAAGACGTTCTTGCTCAAGATCAAGGCGGAGAGACCGCTCCCGGTCAAACAGCAATGAGAGGACTAAAAGGCGGAAGCACAGGAGGGACAAAAGCTATGAGAGGTATGATAAAGAAAGTAGTTTGAAGTCAAGGGACAGAAAGAGATCGAGATCCAGGTCTTGGGAGAGGAGAAAGTGGAGATCTCGGTCTCGGTCTCCATCTCGATCTTGGGAGCACAAAAGCAGTAAGTCAAAGGAAAAAAGACTGCAATCCCGATCACGTTCCAAAGAAAGGAAACACAGATCAAAAGAGACCTTGCTTCCTCCTGCACCAGAAAAGGATCAAAAGCCTCCAGCTGAAAATGTGACTGGGTGTCTGGAGCAACCCAATTGTATGAAGCAAGAGCCAAAAGAGGAGCTAGTACTAGAAGGGCTTTCCATAACCATCCAGCCAAATGTCAAACTTGAGGAAATAAAAACTGAGACCCCAGTTCAGTTGAGGGAGGTCCAAGAAACTATAAAGGGGGAGCTCATCTGTCGAGAAGTGAGCAGCGAAACTGCATTCCCTGCACCAGAGATCACAAACATTTGTGTCCCAGTTGGTGATGTGGATTCTTTTGCTGAAACAGACTTAATGAATAGTACTGATGAAGCAGTGCTTGGTAGCTGTAGCAATACAAACCTAGAGATTACAGTTAAAATAGAAAATACTGCATTATGTCCATCTCTGATGGAACAACCCCCAAAGAAGGAAGTTATCATGCACGTTCCGGCTGAGGCTGCACCGATTCAAAGCTCATCCAAAAGCAAAGTTACAGATTGCGTGAGGGAGGTTAAGGAGGAGTGCCTTGTCTCAAATGAAAATACAAGTAATTTCACTAAGCCTGAGCTGGAAGTGGTACCTCAGGGTCCTGCCTTGAAATCAAAAGCACCAGTGAAGAGAGTTACCTGGAATCTTCAAGAGGAGGAAAGTGGCACGTTTTCTGCTGGAAAAGCTCCAAGTAAGTCTCTTTTGGAAAACAAGCAGCAGTTGAAACAGGTTGTATAAGACTGAGGGGTTTGGTGCCTGGTCAGACCTGGTTGTAGAGTAAGAGCTCTGTCATCTGAGCTGGGATGATGCTGTGGTTTGCAATCCTGAGAGCTGGCATTTTGCACTGGTTGAAATCACGAGGTGAGTTGTGTTAATGAATTGGAGAGGACCTGCTGTCAGCACAGCTCAGCCAGTGGCAGCTTGTTTGCTCGTGAAGTGCGTGCAACAAGCCCATCTCTGAACTGGCAGCCCATGTCCCACCCTTTCTGCACTTAACTAGAATGGTTGCTTTGCCTTCAGAATTTATAAATGTTTCTCAAAGCCAAGGAGAATGACAAATCTCTGTAACTCACTCGTGTGAATGCTGCTAAACCAGAGCTGCCAGAAGCAGTTTGGCTTGGGAACCTGTGCTACTTGTGTTGACAGAGTTGCCTGTGTTGTTCTTTTTGGTTACTGTCAAGAGTAAACCCAGTAGAAAGCAATTGCTCAAGGGGATGAGAAGCTCTCTATTATCAGAAGCTTTAAAATATGAATGACTGCTAAAAAAAATCCTTTTATAGCTAGTTTTGTTGTTAGATGTTTTTTATTTTCATTTTTAAAATAGAATTGGGTTTGAATCTTTGACACATTATTTTGTTCTCAAAATGTTTTCTTTTTCTTCTCTCGGGATACCTAGGGATGCCATTTTACAAACTTCAGCGAGCAAAAGAAGGGGCCTGGAAAGCAGAGGACTTGAACCAAACATTAAATCAGGTGCAGTTAAATGAGCCTCCTCCAACCAATTATATGATTCCTGAGCCTATGTTTCCTGATCTAGATTCCTCTCAGGTTGGTTCCTATTCCGGCACCCAAGTGTCGTGGAAGGCATCCCATCTCATCTGTGCCCTTGTTGTGCAACACCCTCCTCTCATGGCAGTTTGCCTTCCTCTGCGTGTGGTACATTTCATGTAGCCCATACTCCTCGGCAATCCTCCAATCATTTAATCTCTCAGATGCTCCTTACAACTGAAGAAATGTATTATCTTTTAATTCTGCTCTGTACATGCAGCTTCTGCTTTCAGCAGTAGCTTGCAGAAAAATGGTGCTGCCTGAGAAGCTGTGAGCTTCTTCCTGACTTTGATCAGGCTGTAAATGTTGGCTTGGTAGCCTTGGTCTGAGCCATCATTCTGTGCTTCCCACCAGTTAAAAGGGAACTGGGGCTGGTGGTAGGTCCTGGTGGATAAAAGGTGCTCTGGAAGTTCTGTTCTGATGTTGTGTCTTGTCAGCACAAGTGTTTACGGAGCGGTGTCTGTTTCACAGGTGTACTGTCAGAACATACCCCTGGCGCCAGCTCTGCCCTCCAGCCTGCCCCCCTATGCCCCGGTGAGCCAGCCCACGGTCCAGTTCATAATGCAGGGGAGTCTTCCAGCTCTTGGCTGCATGGCAGGACAGAGCCTCACCCCAGAGCCAGGCATCCTGGCTACAGCATCCGAGCCAGGAATCCAAGCTGCTTCTGTTGGAAGTGTGGAGGAAAAGATCAAAGCGCCCAAACCTCCAGTGGATAAAACAAAAAATGAGGAAGTGAGTGAATGCATAAAATTAATGAGCTGTTTACTTGAACTTTTTCATTTGGGGATTTTTTTAACTTTCTGTACTGTAATTTCCCAGCCCTGCTGGTTTTGGTGACTGACTGTGCTAACCCAGGAGCAACAGGCAATCCTCTTTGAATTCATTTGGGTTTTATTCCATATGATGATTCTGCTTTCTATTGGTTTGTCACAATAGGACAGAGAGGGATTACAACATCTGAAATACATTCTTAAAGTTCTGAAACTTTCTTGCATGAATATTTGGAAGGGACTTTCCAGAAACCACAATGTCCAAGTTTCTCTAAACACCTGGTTTTCTCATTTCCCCTCCCTCTTTGAAATTAATGTCAATTCTCATAACTGTCCTATAGAGAGGTAGGACTGTATCATGTTGCTTATCAGCCCTGGAAATGCAGAGGTAGTAAAACACTTTGGAGATCTTTCAGTTCAAGTCCTTTGCTGCTGAATTTTGGGTTTGCTGCACAGACCATCTGCTCAAGGCACAATGGATGCTAACACAAGAACGAAAACTTCTTAGCCCATTATTTTGCTTTGTACCATAAAACCAAACAGTAAGATTCATTTCCCAGTTAGCCTCCATTTATGAGCGAGTTTTTATGAACTTGTTTTGGTGGCACCTGTAATCATTACTTCATAGGCAACTCTGAAATATTCAGACTATCTTAAGAGCTATCTGAAGCTTTATATTCACAGTTGTGGTTTGCTGCTTTTAGAATCTGATGTCTTTTGTTGGATGTGTGTTTGCTTCAGAGCTGTTGGAAGGGAAGGAGGAGACCAAAATCAGGAAGTCCACATTGTAGTCACTTACTTAAAACACATTCTTTGAGACACAAAGCAAGGTCTCCTCATAGTGCAAACTGATAATTGTTTCAAGACAGTAATTGACAGGTTGGGGTGATTACTTGGGTTGTTGAAATTGTGAAAGGAGAATTTTCATTGTTTGAGCATTTCTAAGAAAAACAGATTCAGAAACCATTCCCAAGACAGCACAAGATAATGAAGTTCTCTTTCCTGTGCAGTACATGAAGAAGCTTCACATGCAAGAAAGGGCTGTGGAAGAAGTGAAACTTGCCATCAAACCTTTTTACCAGAAGAGGGAGATTACAAAGGAGGAGTACAAGAGCATCCTTCGGAAAGCAGTGCAAAAGGTGAGAGCCCAGTGAAAGGAAGTGGAGAGGAGGAGCTGGGCAGGTCCTTAATAAAGTGGCAATACTTGAGCTTTCACTTGACATTTCATCAATGACACACCATAACTGGGCTAGCAGATCTTTGGATCCTGATCCTTTGCAGTCCTGTGGTGAAGCAGTAGTTGCATTAAGCAAGACTGGTTGGATCCATTGATGGGAGCTGTCAGCCTGTTGCTTTCATGAGGTGTTTTCAGTGGACAAGAACATTGCTAAGCTTCAGTTGCCTGAGCTGAAATGTTACATGGTATGTGCCCTGGGTGAGAATGGTCAAATCTCCCTCACTAGGACCTTCAGCCAGAATTCTAGCTGATTCTGATAAAGTGAGAAAATACTTTGTGCATTAAGTCCTTGAGCACCTGTGGTGTCCCTGAACCTTGGAAGAGGGCCTTGCAATTTTGCTGATACTGACTTCTGTCTCGTAATGCTGAGTAGATCTTGGCTACAGAGGACACCATCAGCAAGTAAATGTTGTCTTGTGAGTGGAAGTAATGCTCTTGTGGTCAAGGCAGTTAATTGATACCTGAGAGAACTGTGTTTTCTGCCTGCTCTGCATTCTTGCTATCACTAAGAAATTCTACCATAAATTAAAATTCCCAAGGTAATGGCTGTACTTTCACATTTTCTGTGTGACCCATATGAACCACAAGCGTTTGCAAGAGAGCTGAGCAGTGCCAATTCCTACTGAAGTCACTGTGAACTCCTCTCTGAAGAGAGATAAAGTAACTTGTGTAGGGTCCATTCTTTCTCCCCTGTCTCAAAATGGGTTCTCGAAACTGCCAAATTCTTTTAATCTGAGCATTGCTTCCTCAAAAACATCCCAAAAATGGGATATCAACACTTCCTTGGTTATCATGTGTTGGGTAAAACTGGATGGATGGGTGGAAAAGCCTGTAGTAAAAATGAGTAATTTCGCTTTGAGATGCCTCTGCATTTAGTTGGTGCTCCATAGATAAGCTCTGGGGCATTTCTGGAATGCTTGAAGGAAAATACTGCTCTTGTCTTTGTTTTCTGCTTTATGTACCCTGCTATGAGCCTTGGAGGTCTGTGCAGGAATTGGCTTTCCTGGACAGCTTAGGGCCTCTCTGCCACTTGCCTGAGCTGCTGTCATTGACCAAGTGCCCTTTCTGATCCCCTGCAGATCTGCCACAGCAAAAGTGGAGAGATCAACCCTATGAAGGTGGCTAACCTGGTGAAGGCATATGTGGAAAAATACAAACATATGAGGAAACATAAGAAAACTGATGGTGAAGATACACGTGAAGTGGAAAACTGAGAGCAAGCCACAGCCAGCATGACTTGGACTGAACTTGTCCTAGCTGTGGAAACTATGGGAATAACAGACCTGCAGTTGCATCCCATTGTAAGCAGAGAAACAAGATGATGATAGACATTATCTATGGAACCTTCTCTTGAATTGTTTCCATATGGGAATGAATTTAGGACTTTTTTGGATTACCTACAGCTGTAGAACTAAATAACAATCAAATGCCTCAGACCAGCAGAGTAATTCAAGGAGAAACACAGAAGAGATTAATGTTTGGAACTCCCGGATTGCTGCAGTTTTCAGGGTTACTTTGATCACATTTTTGGGCTGTGCACTTGTCTTGCTAAAGTTTGAAACTGGACACCACTTTTCATACAGTGTATTGAGAGCTGTATACTGTTTCCCTTGTGTTTATTTATCAAATTATGGATTGTCTGTAGAAATTTCTGATTTAATACTTGAAATGTCGTATTTTTAGCCCGTTGGATGGTGAGCGAAGCTTTACTCGCTCTGGCATTTGGGGATTGCAGAAATGAGCTAACCTTTATAAACTGACTTCAGAAACACTGCTCAAGCTGTGGTGTTTATTTACATTCTGTTGGAAGTACCTTGTTGGTGAAAAAAAATGAATTTTGGGGGTGGGAGTTTGTGTTGCACTTGTGTAAATAATGCACTGATGGCTGGTTTTGTGTCTGCCTTTCAGGAAAAAGCAAAACAAAAAGCAAGCATTATCAGTTTTCCGTAACAAGCCCAAAGGATAAGGTTGAACTGATGTACAAAGCAGAAATGTGACAGAGTTTATAAAGTTATTTTGAATGGTTTTTGTCCTATAGCATGTGTCATTTGTTTGTCTTGCATATTCCTCTTGGCCTGGCTCTTGCATAAGGAATGCTGTGTTTGTGGAAGAGGATTGGAGTTGGATTAATAATTGTCCCTCCTCCTCTGCAGGAAAACTGGTCTTCCTATCAAGAATCAAAGGAGTCCGGCACATATTCTGACTTGATCTCGATTGCTTTAGCAAAACTCCTTGCCTACAGGTACTGTAGGTCTTTTAAGTGACTGAAATACAAACCCTTAAATGATATTTAGCACTCTTGAACCTGACTTAAATCATTCCCCATCAAATCCTGCTAGAGAAATTGAAGAGAAAACCAGTAAGAAACTCAGAAACTGGCTTTCCCTTCATGGGAACTGGTTTGGAGAGTTTATTTTTTTTTTTTTACTATTTAAACAAAACAAGCCTACATACCACTAGTGTTTGGACTGGCACAATCACTCACTGTGCTAGAGGAGTGGATGGATGAATCCTGAGCATTTTGGAGTTAATCTTCCTTGGTTCTGTATGCTTCCTCTATGGAAGCGCAGCCTGGATGGATGATAAGGAAGTGATAATTTTGGAGCTGCTTTGCAGATTTTTGGAAAAGACAGTACTGACTGCAGAACAGTTGGCAGGGAAGGTATAATTTTCAAGCTAAACTTGGAGCTAGAATACATACATGGAACATGGGTGTGGGGTTGTAAATACAAGCACTGCTGATAGAATTCTTGACAAAATAAAAATTCAGAACCTTTAATGGCTCTGTTGGCACAAGAAAGAGAATGTGATCTAGTTGTGCATACACTTAGACTGGAAATTGGACACCTCTGAATATCTCAGAGGAGCAATTCTGCCACAACCTGTCTGTATACAAAGTGAAAAGGGGTAGGTGGTGTGAAAAACAAGGCTTGAGCAAGTAATAGAAGCAACTACACTGTTTACCAGGAAGACAGCATCAAGTCTGTTTCATTCCTTGGGCCGTTTCACTGCTTTAAATTCTTGTTTAATGTTACCCTTGAGCTGGCAATAAAGATAAGAGCCTGTTGCAGGGTGTATTAGGAGTGCCTGCACTGTAAGGGCTGTTAAATTTGTTACCTTTGCACCTGCCATTGCCTGAGGACTGCTGAGACTGAAAACTATACCTTCTGCATGTGCTTTCTGCTGAAGTTATATGAACAAGAACCCTGGTTCTTTTATTCTGTCTGCCATTAAAATTAAATTATCAAATTGTAAGCTGCCTCCTGGGAGAGGCAATGAGAAACATACCTAAAAATGCCTCTTCTGGCACGTTGTAGAAAACAGTTTTTCTCGTATACTGTGTATACTACTTGCTTACTTTTTTTTTTCCCTTTCTGGTTTTGACCCTCTTAGATCAGATGCTGCTACCTGTTAAAGGGAAGAAATTATATTTATTCAATACATGCAGTAGTTTGGTAACAGTATAACCTCTTTTTAGTGTCCTTTCATTCCTGTGCAAGAGTTGTGATGCCAAAAGGTTGTTTAGCACAGGCAGGGGAGGGATGCTATAGCAGGAATTTGACTCAGGACTTACTCTGCCACCATGTTTGTCTTATAGGTGACCTCCAGTACTGCTTTTGGGACATAACCCTGGCCCTGCTGTCCCGCCAGAGGTGCTCAGGTTCCTGAGAGCTACTCTGAGGTTGGATGGAGAAAGAGAGGCTTGGGGTCCCTGGCAGTGGTTGGGGAGGCAGGAGCGACACACGAAGAGGAGGAAATGAAAGGGGGAGGCGAGCGCCTGGAGGATCCAGCTGGTGCCACACTGCAGGGTAATGGCCCAGCCCAGAGCCTGTGAGTAGCTGCCCTGGCTCAGTGGTCGTGGGAGATAGTGAAGGCTTGCTTTCCTGCTGGGCTTGGAGCACGTCCCACATTTCTGTGGTGATGCTGAGAAATGATGATGAGTCAGTCCTGAGCAGGGTGCATTGCATAAGGGGATGCCATGCTTGGTGTCATGGGAGGAAGTGAAACAAGGGAGAGGAAAGTAAATCTAAGCATGTTTTGCCCTGGTATCGTGTGATTCCCATCTTGCTGGCACTCTTCACCTGCAAATCTCTCTTCCCTAAACACCCTCTGGGGACATTCTCAAGCCATCACTAAGTCCCTGCCTGTGTGCCCTGTCCTTTGGGGAGCCCCACCATCCTGTGTTATTTCCCCAGTCACCCAGGTCTGGGAGCATCCCTGCAGGGAATCAGCGTCATCTGGAGCAGGGGGGATGTGAAAGAGGAAGTGTCTGAACTCACTGGCCCTGGCCTCAGTGCATCCCCATAGCTGTGGTCAAGAGCTGCAAGCGGGCTGGGCGAGTTATCTGGGGAGCAGCTGTCCTGACATTGGCTCTGCCCCTGCAGCCCGCTGCTGGCGTTAGAAAACTCCCAGTTTTGGGGTAGATGAATCTGTGGCTGGAGCTGTAGCAGGGCTCAAAGCGTGAGAGCAAATATGTTAATGTGACACTTGGGCTGCAGGTCAGCATCTGGTGGGAATTGTTCCTGTGTCTTCAGTCCCAGCCAAGATCCTTGGCTTCAGTTCCTCTCTTGAGAACAGGAGCTGTTCAAGCAGTAATTGTGGTTGCACTGTTCAACAACTCCTCTGCTTTTCCTTGCTGGCCAAAATCATCCTAAAATCATGCAAAATAAATAAATGAAAGATCTGCAATTCCAGAGAGTCATAGTCTCTTTTAACCACTTTCCATGCCCAGGTCAGCAGCAGGAGGACAGATTGAGTGAAGTGGATCTCTACCCAGAGGCTGCGTGTGCTCCCTCCCACAGTCCTGAGCAATTGCATGCTGGAGAGCCTTGACCTCAACAGGAACAAGCTCAGGAGCATCGCCAGCATTTCTAAGCTTTGCAACCTCAGGAAGCTGATACTGTCCAAGAAGAGTTTGAACTTTCCCAGTGGAAGAGTCTGGTCTGTTTGGACAGGCTTGAGCTGAATCAGAACCAAATCTGGATCATCCCAGAGCGGGTTTTCTCCCATCTCCTCAGGCTTAAACACCTGTGGCTGAACAAGAACCATCTCTGTGCCCTCCCCAGGGACCTGGCAGCTTGTTGAGGCAGCCTCCAGTAGTTCAACATCTCCAACAATCTGTTCCAGACCTTCCCACAGCCAGTCCTGCAGCTGGCACACTTACAGGGATTCCATGTGCAGAATAATGCCCTTTGCCATCTCCCCAAGGAGCTCTTCCAGGGACAATCCCTGAAAATGTTTAAGGCTAGTGGGAACCCTCTCTGGGAGCTGCCCAGTGAAGTGTGTGCTGGTGGCATTCAGCAGATCTGGAATTACTTCAACCAACTTCAGCATGGTTTGGGGCAGGAGGACAAGAGGGTCCTATTTTCCTGGGAGCCTCACTGGCAGGGAAGTCCACCATCTGCAGAAGCCTGAAGCAAGGGCAGTCCAAACTGCTGGTGCCCAAGGAAGAGCGAACAGTTGGGATAAAGATCAGTGAGTTCCAAATCAAGGACTTCACATTTCTCTTCTGGGACTTTACTGGCCAGCTGGAATACTACAACTCACCACATGTTCATCACCTCACAGGCGCTCATCATCCATCTTCACATGTAAGTACTGAGCTGGTTTGGATTCCCGGTAGAGCAGGGAAACTAAAAAGGAGCTAGGGAAACTGCACTGCACAAATTCACACCGTTTCCATTGGACCTTGAGGCCTGGTCTTCTCACTGCTGGCATAGCTGGCTCTTCCTCTCTCCTTTTTGCAGATCAACCTTTTAATCCACCAGCTGTCATCACCTCACCAAAGGCCTCTGTTTGGAGGGATTGAATAAGCATGGACTCCTTATGTGACAACTGAACCCCACCTAAAAGGACTTGCTTTCTGAAAGGAGCAAATCCCTCATCCCTCCTGTATTCTGTGGTGCTCCCTGAACATGGAGGGGGCTTCAGGCTTGGGTTTGGTGCTACAGAGGGATGCTCTCATGCACAGCAGGGTTTGACTCTGCTACACCCCATAGCTTAAGGATGGGGAACTGAAGCATGAGCTTGGATATATTCCATATCAGCTTCTGAGATCTGAGCTCTTGTCTAGCAAGCTCCTGGGACAGCACAGAGTGTGTGGTCAGGCCTATACTGGTGGAAGTTGGCTGGAGACCCAGAGGGTGAGATGTGAATTTGGGATTTTCTTTTTCTCCCTACCCAGGCACCAAACTAGTGACAAAACTTTTAAGGAGCTCGTTGGTTCTGGATCAACAACCTGTCCATGTAAGTCCCAGACTTCCTGTGGAAACCCGTGTGGACTGCTGCCAGGAGCAGGAGGCAGCAGAGAAGACACATGACATCATGGCCAGGATCACAGCCGTGCTGGCAGAGAGGAAAAGCAACTCCACTCGCTTCACCAACAACCTGGAGGGCAGCAAGGAGCCCAAGTTTTTCGTGGACCAGCAGGAGAGGCTGAAAGAGATGGGGAGCTGCATGTTAACCGTAGGGCTGAGATAACCTGGGTTCTGGCTGGCTGAGGTCACCCTGCTATCTCTGGCAGCCCAGTTTGCTACTGGCTAAGGTGACCTGGTGCATCAGGCCACTGCTACAGCCCCTCCCCAGGCTGGGGTGGATATGGTGACCCTTGGCTGTGACCTGCAGGGACCTTGTCCCTGGTAGGTGATGGACATCTCCTCCTGTGGCTTGTGGCAAGTGCCTGAGGAGGAGTGTGAGGGGTCATTTACCATCACCAGGTGATTTTCAGGAACTGCCACAGAACAGAGGTGTGAAGGAAGTGCCCTCTGAAGCTGAGCCAGTGGAGTGTCTCACCCTGGGGGACCTCAGGGCCATTAGGTCCTTCCTTTACCTCACAGGTTAAACACTCCTCTGGATGTGCTTTTGTCAGGTATGTGCTCCCTCTTTTCCAGATCTTCAGCTTAGTTGCTGTAAACTGCATGGATCACTGTGACAGCAGAAAGCTCGAGGCCACTATTTTGAAGCACGTGAAGAACAAGGAGCTCATCCCTGAGGTTGTCCAAGTGCTGCTGCCCATCCACAAGCTGCTATCGTGGCTGTTGCACAGAGCCAGGCGATGGCAGGCGATGGTGGGTGCTCTGTCACCCCTGCCAAGCCTTGCTGAGAGGAGCTTCTGTCCACGCCTGGGACAGGCTCTCTCCAGTGCTCTCCTGATTTGGGGATGGACTCTCCAGCACTTGCTGCACCTTCTTGCCCCATTTGTGTGGCAGTGGGGTCACTGCCAAAGACCTTGCAGTGTTAATGCTGAGCACACCTGAGTAGGCCATGTTGTCTAGTTTCTTGCTTTCAAGTGATGCTTTTCTTTCTCCCCTTTTCCTTGTATAAGCAATTAAAAACATCTTGCAGGAAGGAGCTCCACAGCTTTAATGCAACAATGTTTTCAAATCTACATCCTGCTAACTTTATTTAGTGGCCCCTTACCCTTCTCTAGGCCCTTTTTCCATGTGTCTTGTGACATAGAAGGACTAGCAGGCAGCTCCAGCCTCTTGCTTATTTAGCAAAGCAAATATGAGCACCACCAGTTCCCAGTGACATCTCTGGCCCCTCTGGCCACTGTAGGATTAGTGAACAAGTAAATGCTTTTCTTTTGTGGAGATAAGCCAGATTTTGTTGCCTGTCTCTCTGCACTGCTGAATGACGGTCTGAGGTTTAACTGGCAATCTGAGGTTTTCTGGCTGGAAACAAACCTGCTTCCTCAAACAATAAAAAAAACCAAACCCAGTATCAGCCTTGTTTTTCAGAAAGTCCTGGCAGGCTGTTGCCACTTGCAAGGCAAGGCTGTGGGAGCTTCAGGGCAGCACTTAGACAGCTGAGGAGAGGCAGAACATTTTTGGTCACAGTCATCAAGCATCACTCTGATGCCAGCTACTTCCCCAGGGATGGCATAGGTGATATGGAATGCTGCTGGTTTTTGTTGGCTCTCTGAAGCATCGGCCTTGGAATTCTGTGTCTGATAGATGCATGCTGAGCTCCTGCGTCTCCCTCTAGGCATGATGGACCTCCAGTACCTACTCAGCAAACTCTCCCAGCGTGAGCACCTGGCCAGCCTGGGCAGAGAGCTCCTCCAGGACATCAGGCTCATCATGTGGTATGAGGAAATCAAGCACTTGGAAAGTACCATCATTCTCCAGCCTACATTTTTAATAAATTTGTTCAAGGTGAGTATGGGGACCAGGACCATCTCCGTAGAGCCCAAGTCCTGCAGCTTTGCTGGGTTCCTCTCACTGCCACCTCATCTCTCCTTCTCTTCCCATGCAGCTCCTGGTGTAGCACCACCTGTCCAGCAGCTCAGGAGCATCTCCATGGAGACCCCGATGGGAGAACACACCACCATTAGAGACAAATCCAGCTGGTGTGGGCCTTCAAGTCAACAGCAATGCTGTGCTTTGGTGAAGCACAAGCTCTGTTCGGAAGGGATGTCGGATGTCTTTGAGGAAATCATGGGACACAGGCCTCACAGAGGGAGAGGGAAGCTCTTCAGCCTCCTGGAGCACTTTGAGCTCTGCCTGGAGGTGAAGTGCTCAAGCACTCAACCCACAGGCCAGGGAGTTTGTGCCTGGGAAGCCGTGGGAGACCACACGGAGCCAAGGTGAGTCCTGGTACTTGTTCCTAACCTATCTGAACCAGACAGAGGAAGTGTCTGAGGTGTGGGGAGGAGATCATCCTGCGGACCTCCACATCTGTGCCTACTTCTCACCCTAAATACCTGAGGGCTTATTCCAGAGGTAAGCATTGGTTTCCAGCCATCAGTGAGGTTGTGGGATTGAGTTTGCTCAGTGCAGTGCCAGGATGACTCTCGGCAAACCCTTGGCTGTTGAGATTGTATCTGCTGAGGAGTCAGGATACCAGGGTGGCTTCTCAGCTGTGCCACACACATGTGGGGCCCTGGGTGAAACCCTTGCAATGTTCACTGCCTGGATGTGAGCAAAGGCCACGCTCCTTCTGGTTCACCTTTCATCTGGGGGGCTGCTTGGCGAATCTGTGCCCATCCAGGCAGGCAGAGGTCTCTGAGTCTCACCCAAGAATGTTCTAGCTTCTATGGGTGTTGGAACTGTACCAGTTTTTGGAACTTCTCCTGGTTTTCTGGACTTGAGTCTAGAGTTTTATCTGATGGTGGAATGGTTAAACCCCAACCAGCAACTAAACACTACAGAGTCACTCACTCTCCCCAAAGAATCTCAGCTGGACTGGGGAGAGAATCAGAAAAGCAAGAAACCTCATGGGTTGAGATAAAGAGTTTAATAGTTGAAATAAATTATAACAGTAATAGCAACAATAATATTGTAATGAAAAGGAAATCAGCAAAGAGAAAAATAAAACCCAAGAACAGGTGCTGCAAATACAATTGCTCAGCACTAACCAACTCATGCCCAGCCTGTTCCCAAGCAATGGTCCTCCAGCCAGCTCTCCCCCAGGTTTATATGCTGAGCATGATGCCACTGAGTATGGGATAACCCTTTGGTCATTTGGGGTCAGCTGTCCTGGCTGTCCTCTCCCAGCTTCTTGTGCAGTCCCCTCGCTGGCAGGGCAGCCTGAGAACCTGAAAAATCCTTGACTTAATGTAAGCCCTGCTCAGCAGCAACTAAAAGATCAGTGTGTTATCCACATCATTCTCATCCTAAATCCAAAGCACATCTACTAGGAAGAAAATTAATTCCATCCCAGACAAAACCAAGACAAGATGGCCAACTCTGGAAGGATCTCTTGGTTTAAGAGGTTGCTCTTGCTGCTTGAGCTTTCAGTAGGGGAAGGTCCTCGTTTGGTGTCTGTTCTTACTGAAACTTGGTTAATATTTTCAAGTCCATCTGGTGCCATGCTTTCTCCCAGCATTAGAGATAAGCTAGGAGAAAAGTGGTGAAAGCCATGGGCAATCTCCTTGCAGGTTCCTCGTGAAAGCTTGCTCCTTCTATTGCATGCACTGGGTGGCCAAGGTGACCTGCCTGTTGGTATGCAATGGCAAAACCCTGCTGATCAAAAGAATAACCAGAGGGCCTACAGCTACCTGGAGCTCCGCTGCAGAAAGCCATCAGAAAGGACAGGTAAGATCCCTGATCTGTATTTCATGACTCCCAACCCCATGTCTCTCCTTAGCTCTGCCCCTGCCACCTCCAGCCCTATGGAAGTGTCCCAAGAAGCCTCTGCAACATGTCCTAGTCTGGCCTGGGTCCACCAGCATTCCACTTAAAGGTTCCCTCTTTCTCCATGCAATTCTGTTCAGGACTCCTCTAGAGGTATCACGTGGAAGTGGAAAATTAAGTTTTCATTCTTGTCATGGAGCAAATGGGTTGTCCTTCCCCAGAAGGCCCCAGCAGAGTACAGTCTAAGTCTGGGTCTTCAAGTGATAAAGCAAAAGGGCCACCCAAGCTGGGGACCTCTTCCAACATATCATTAAATTCCTTATGGAGGTTTGGTTAACTGGAGAGATGGAGCTGGTCTGACAGTTGATGCCGTGGGCTGGAAATGATGTGTGGGTCACAACAGAATCTCCTGGGCTGCTGTGGCTGGGGGCTGTAAGAAAGCAAGACATTCTTCTTTTGCCTGGAAGGTTCCAATTGCCTGGGAGTTCCTCGTGGCAGTTGTGCTCACCATCCAGAAGCTCACTGAGGAGTGGCCGGGGCTGCACATGTGAGGATGCCCTGCCGAACGTCTGTCTGTCCCACAGAGTTCCTCTGGCCAGACATGGATGGCACAGGTGCCATGTATGTACACACAGTGCCCTGCAAGCAAGGCAGGACCCAGGTGGTCACTACTGCAATGCTGGTGCAGCTGATCAGCTTCTAAAAGCCAGGTGAAATTACTCATGAAACTCACCAGGTGCCCTTCTCCCGACCATAGCAGCTCCCATGTGTCCCATGTGGTGTTAGCACTTCCTGGTGTGGGAAATTGGAGCATGGAGGGAAAGGGTGAAGAAGCTGAGACTCTAGGGCTCAGGCACAAAATGTTCTCTCTGGACATGTGCCCATGTGTCCCTGTTTCATGAAGAGCTGAAGGTGCTCAGTCGTCCCACCAACGGCTGTACCTCAGGTCAGGGTGGGAAGAGAAAGCCCCTTCCATCGCCTTGGCATCATATTCCATGGGAAGTGCTGAGGGCAGCTCCTGCTCCTTCTTTCCTGGGCTTTTTCCTCCACAGGAGAAAGGAAGACATCAAAACCTGCGGGACGTGTGGGCACTGTCCCTGCCCAAAGGTGAGCCCAGTGTCCCGAGTTTGTGCTGCAACTGTGCTCAGGGAAAAGAGGGCTGAGGGTTTCATGGAGCTCAGGTGCTAAGGGTGTCCCATTCCCACAGCACCCAGGCCACAGGAGGAGCCCCCAGCACAGCCCTCTGCTCACTATTATGTGACAAGCTACGGGACCACCACCTTTGGGCCCAGCAGCATCCAGGTCACAGGCAGGTAAGGACACTGCTCCCTCCTCTTGCCCAGGGACCACAGTGATGGTCAGGCTCCTGAAATGAGGGGGTGCAGTTGCTTGCAGCCTGGGGAGGGCACACCACATCTTCAGGCAGCCCTCTGGTTTCCACACTCCTCCCTGAGATACCACCCCCTCTGCAGCTCTGAGCTGGCACTCTGGGTGTTTCGTTTTGTAGTTGCTGCCTTATTTTTCCAGAACATCTCCAGCAAGTAACTCTGGGCCAGTGCTCAGCAAATTACTTTTGTTTAGCCCAAGCCAAGCTGTCCTCAACACACTCTGCTGGCAAATCGTGTTTGCAGCCTTAATGCATGGAAATAAATGCATTGATAAATGCATCCCTTCACTCTGGGAATTCACCTCATCTACTCAAATTTAAGAGGAAAAAGACGCTGATAAAGCTCTCTGATACCAGCCCACCCCTGCAAGCAAGGACTTTGCTGAGACAAGGCTGGGCATGGACCCCTGTGGTTTTGGGGGTAGAAGGGGGTGGTGAAGATTTCAGACTGATGGCAGAGGCAGATATCCAGGCAACAGCAGCAAGAGAACTACATTTCTATACATATATATTTTAACTTGGAAAAATTTAAAAAAATAAATCTGTAAATTACCACTCTCCACAAAAACACACGCTAGAAGCTGACAGGGGAAAAGCAATGTGTGAACTCCAGGACTAGTCAGTGAAGCTGTCCTTGGGTTGGGGGGTGCTGGTTTGCAGAGCCTGGGATGCCCAGGGGGTCCTGCTGCCTGTGCCAGGGCCATGGGGAGGGGGAGGTGGGGTCAGCCCAGCTGCATGTTGTACTGCTCAATGAGCTCCATGAGGTCAAAGGAGTTGGAGAGCTGCAGGCTGATGGTGTGGCTGTCCAGGGAGGAGGCTCCCTCCTGCAGCACCTGATCGTAGTAATACTCGCAGAACTTGGGTACCAGCTGCAGTGGCAAAACATCGGGGTTAGGGGCAGGTTAGAGCAGCTGCCTGATATGGCTGCAACAACATGCTTGGCCCTGTCCTCCTGGAGTGCAGGGAGATGTCTGGGGCACCCTTTGTCTCCCTCAGCCCCTGAGGGTCCCTGTCCTTGGGCAGCTGCCTTCCACACCATCCCGCCCAGACCCCGAGTGTCCTCTGGCCCATCCTCGTCCCATGTTTTCCCTGGTTCCTAAGGTTCCCTCCCTGGTCATGCTGCCCCCATCCATGCCTCCAAGGGTCCCACTCCCCTGTCACTCAATTCCCCCACCTTTCTCAGCCCCCAGGCTACCCCCTCCTTGGGTTATCCAGATGTCCATCTGCCCCAGATCAGGACGGTTCCCAAATCCCCATCTCCACTGCACACTGAGGGACTCCTCTATTGAGTACCCAAGCACTCGCCTCCTTTGGCTCCTGAGGCCCCCCTGCCCAGTCCCTGAGGAAACTCCATCACCTCTCCACACCTAGGCATCCCCATCCCTGGGCAGCCAAAATCCCACCTGCCTCAGTCCCCAAGGGTTCCTCTTCAGGCACCCAGACCCTCCATCTCCCACCCAACTGGACCTTGAGGATGCCCCTCCTCAGGCACCCAGGGTCTCAGCTCCCCTGGCCTCCATGAGTATCTCTCCTCCCCTGGGCAGAAGTGGGATAGTGGGTTTGGCTGCTTCACCTTGACCAGGATGAGCTTGGACTCCTTAGGCTTGGTCTTGGAGAAGGCCTGCCCAAAGCAGAGGTAGATGGTGAAGTCGGGGGATCGCCGCCTTTGGCCATTGCGGAAGTCCCTCAGCTCTGCGAGGCAAAACAGGGCTCAGTTTTGGGTTGAGCCCAGTGGAACAGAGGGGCTGGGAGGGTTTGGATGCTTGTAATATCCTGGGGCTGGCTCCCATGAGCCCCAGAGCAGGCTTGGCAGGAAACAACACATGGGGAACTACATGACACACCTACCTACCTGTGCAAAACTCATTGAAGTCAAAGATGGGTGTTTCCTGGTCCCGGTAGAGCAGGTTGGGTGGAGGCTCCTCAACCCCCTCGAGCTGCTGGGACAAGGCCCAGAACACCTTGCACTTCTCCCGGCGGGTAGCAAAGACCTTGTAGGCGCGTTGCTCCAGCTGCAGCCCCGCGATGCCCAGCAGCTCCTCGGTGATGCGCCGCTGCTTGCCGTCAGCCACGCTGGCAGGGCTGGGGAAGTGCACCACGTGCCAGGGGCACGGGCTCTCCGGCAGACTGGGGGGCTGGTACGTCAGCAGGCAGCGGCTGCCCCCAACCACCTCCCGGTGGAACTCCTTCCCCCGGTAGTAGATGGTGACATCCAGGATGGAGACGATGCCATCTGCACCAGGAAGTGATCAGCAGCCGCATCCTCCGAACCAAGATGTTCCCCCTCCCCAGAGCACCCCCCAAGCATATTTACTGTTCATAATTGTAATAATAATTTATAGCTATTACTAACTAATAGCCCTCACCTGTGTTATCCAGCAGCAGCCGTGGCTGCGGCACAGGACTGGTGGCAGGCACAAACAACGTTGCCTCCGCCGCGTACTGCATGGGGACCGCGCCCTCCATCAGGTGGCATGGCGCTGGCACGGCCCCTGCAGCGGGGGATGAGCAGCATCAGCATCACCATTCCAGACAAAGCAGGTTGGGGGCTGCTTTGGTGTGGGGTGCTCAAGGCATCCCCTGGCCTCTTCCCACCCCACCATGGCATTGCCAGGGCCACATCCTGCCCCATGGCACCCACCTGTCTCTTCTGATGGCATGAGGCCCGTTGCTTGGTAGGTGTCCAAGGTGGGCTGCTCCACCGTGGGCACCCATTGTGGAAATGTCGTGGGAGGGAAGCAACTGTTTTGGCTGGTGTTTGTGTAAGGCTGGAGCAGGGTGTCCTGGTGAGGCTGGAGCACAGTGTCCTGGTGGGGAGTGTCCCCTGCAGGGAAGCCACCTGTGGGAAGGTGCTGGGATCACTCACCCAGGCAGTCACCAACTCTGCACCCTGTGAGCAGAGCTGGTCTCACCTGTGGGCACCCAGGGTGCGGTGAGCGGGCCAAGGACACGGGGAGAGATGTCACAGTGCTGCAGCAGGTCCTCCAGAGTCCTGAGCTGTGTGGGGTCAGTGCTTTCTAAGGGAGAGCACAGCGGGTAGGATGTCTCACAGCCCCAAAATCAGCCCCAGCTGAGCCTACTGGGTGTCCTCTCCCAAAGAAAGATTATGGGACTAGTGCTTACCTGGCACAGCGATTGCTGAGGCCATGTCTTGGGGGTGGAGCTCCAGCTGGAAAGGGAAGGAAAATGGATCATATTACTGTGGTTGCCAGGCACCCAGCCTCTCCCAGCCTCTCCATTTTGGCCAGGTGCTGGGCTGCAGCTTGGGAACAATACTTGTGGAGTGGCAGCAGGGACCCACCCTGGCCTGCTGTGCCCACCCAGCTACCTGCAGCTGCTCTTGTGCTGCCTGCTGGTCCACCGCAGGGTTTGGGATGCTGGAATCTCCCTCCGTGCTGTGCTGGAGGGTGGCTGAAAGGAGAGCACCAGGAATGGGAGGTCTTGAGATTGCCCACCCCACCCAACACAGCCCCTCCATGGGGCGAGGCTCACCTGAGACAATGGAGAAGACCTTGTGGGGGTCATCACCACGCTTGGAATGGTCCTGTTCCAGCTTGAACATGTGTGTGCTGCTCAGGGCACAACGGAAGTTGGTCTTCCACTTGGCCGGGTCCTCAGAGCCTTCCTCATAGCGCCCACTGACCTTTGCCCAGGCCTGGGGGTGCAGGGAGGTGGGCATGGGGTCCCTGGCTCCATGAGCATGGAGGTTTCCACGGATGACTGGTCTTCCCCCACCTTCCCAGTTCCCACATCCCCCCCACCCTGAAGACCTCAGCTTGCTGCTGGTCACCATCCTATCCCACACACCTTGAAGACCCTGAGCTTGCTGCTGGCGACCCCCACCCCGCCCACCTTGAAGATCTCCACGTCTCTGCTGCTGACACTCATCCCACCCACCTTGAAGACCTCCAGGTCACTGCTGGTGATGTCTTTCCTGGCGTTGTGTTTCCAGGGGACGCGGAAGATGGTGTGGGCAGAGTCGATCCAGCGCAGCCCCCGGTAGTTCCCGCTGTTGATGGCGTTCAGCAGCCACTGTCCGAACCGCAGCCTCTGCGCTTCCCTGTGGGCACGGGACCGTCACCGGGGGACCGGGGCCACCCGGAGACGGCGACCCGGGGCGGGCCGGGGGTGCTGGCCGCCGCTTACCCCTCCTTCTCCGCCGCTGCCATGGTGCTGGGTGCGCAGAGCCTCCCTGCCGAGCCGTGCCGAGCCGAGCCGAGCCGTGCCGAGCCGAGCCGAGCCGTGACGAGCCGAGCCGAGCCAAGCCGAGCCGTGCCGCGCAGGGCGGTGACCTGGACGCGGGAGGGGGGGCCGCCTCCTGCCCGCTCCTTTATCCACCCCTCCCGTTTTCCTGGAAATCACGTGTCCCTTCCGAAAGTGAAAGTGCCGCCGCTCCCACGCGGGGCGGTGTCGCCGCTCCCGGGAGCGCCCGCGGCATGCTCCGGCACCTGGGCTGCGCACCGCCTCCCCGGACTATTGAATTTTAATAATTAAAATAAATAAACCGGACCTAAAGTGGAGCGTGGCACCCTCGGAGCGCAGGGGGCCGCCCGCACCAGCTCCAGCCGGGACTTCCCGGGGCTGGAAACCCCCGGGCCAAGTCCAGAGGTTTGTTTTAATCCTTCTTCTCCCGGCTGCCTTGGCTTGCACGCTAGGGCCGTGCTGTCAAAAAAGACAAACCAATAAAGGCCGAAGTGCGGAGGGCAGCGCTCGGCACCGAGGCAAAGGCGAACCAGCCCATGCCCCCCACAGGAGGCGGGTCAAGGGCAGCCACAAGCACAGCCCGGCTCTCCCCGAGCCCTCTGAGCTCGGCGGGGAGCAGTGAAAACAACCCAGACTCCCTGAGAGGGTTTTCGAGCTCCTTACACAAGGACCAGGAAGGGGTGGAGGGGTCAGTGGGGCCGAAGCACGGAACTGCAGCCTTTTTCCCAATGTGCTGCTTGTTTTTGAGGAAATGTCTTCTTTCCAGGAACTCCCTACTGCCTACTAGGCACTCTACATGTTTTTTCAGAGCACTGCCTTTTGTTTCCCAGGAAATTTCCCACTTCCTTCCTAAAAAATCCCGTGCTACTCTCCGGGAAATTTCCTGGTCACTTTGCAGACTATTTCCTCCTTGCTTCCTGGGAAATGTCTTTGATGTTTTCTAGAGTCGTCCATTCCTGTCTACAATTTTCCCCTCTGCTTAGAAGATCTCCACTGCTTTCCTAGGAAATTTCCCCATGACTGTTACTCCCTGCTGAGAGGGAAGCTCATGTCAAGTACAGACAATTTGATGGGTGAAGGGCTGGGTGTCAATGTCTTTGCAATGGCTCCCAATGTCTCTGCTGACTTTGGGCAGCGAGGCTCCTGGCACAGACAGGGGAATGCACAGCCTGGCTCTCTGCGCTTTGGGGTAAAACAGAAGGGTCAAGGGCGGGTATGTGGTGGGCAGTTCGGGAAGGCTGTGCCTTCCTACTGCCTCAGCCAGTGGGGGAAGGAGGAGGGCAGCATGTGCCTGGAGTTTAGGACAAAAAGAGGCCGCTCCCTCTGAAACCCTGAGAAGGAAAACCCCACAGCTGTGTGCCCTGGTGGATTCTTTCCTCCCGTTCGGATATAGATGCAGGACTCCTCTGCCTCCTTTTTGGACATAAACTTCTGGCGTTTGTAGATTTTCCTGACAATTGGTGATCCTTCCACTGTCGGGTCTGACACAACACAGCAGGAGGAGCTGGAGGTGCCTCACACAGTTGCGGTGACCAACTCCCTTTGGCGCTGGCCAGCACCAGGAGATTGATTGGATTGGGTACCCGAGACTGTACAGGAGACAAAGGAGAGGTGGACCAAGGGCATCCAAGAAGACTCCATAGGCAAGGACCACTGGACATGGATGCCCAGAAGGGGCACTGAGGGAAAGTTGGGAAGGGTCTTGGCAAATCTCACTGGTGAGTGCAACACTGGGGAGTAAAACTTGACAGGACACCCAAGGCGGGCAACAAAGTTTTAAAAGGGTCTCGACCATAGGGATGGTGATCCCAAAATACCTCCGAAGGGTCCTTTGGGAGAATGTTGAGATGGTTTGCACATTCTCCCAGTAGTTAAGGACGTGGATGCCCGGAGGGGACTATAAGAGGCACCTAGGAAGGTCTCAGCAACCCACGGCCAGAGCAGGAAATATTGAAAGGGAGTGTGGAGAAATAGGGCAGACTATGGGGAAGCTGTGTGATCAGAACACTGGGGACTGGAAGTTCTCTGCCTTATCTTCAAAATCTGCTGTCTAATACAGGGCCAGCTGCAAGTCGTTTGTATTCCCGGCTTCCAGGAGAGGGAAAAGAGGGAGGTACTGTTCCTACACCCTCACCCCTCCCCCGGCCATTATGGAGCCAGAGTGGAGGATTTGGGTTTGTCCACTTGCTACTCAAGACTTAAAGGAGTTTCCCTCAGGTGAGGAGTGGCGAGGCCGGGTGTGGGAGCACAGGACCAGCAGCACGGGCTGGGAGCTGTGGTGGGCAGTTCGGGAAGGCTGTGCCTTCCTACTGCCTCAGCCAGTGGGGGAAGGAGGAGGGCAGCATGTGCCTGGAGTTTAGGATTAAAGGAGGCTGCTCCCTCTGAAACTCTGAGAGGGAAAGCCCCGCAGCTGTCTGCCCTGGTGGACTCTCTCCCTCTGTTCGGATGAAGTTGCAGGATTCCTCTGTCTCCTTTTTGAACATAAACTTTGGTATTTGTGGATTGTCCCGACACTGGGAAGCAAGAAATTATTTCCCAAGAAATATCATTCATCCTCTGCAGGCAGTTCCCCTTTTGTTAATCACCAATTCCTCCTTTGCATTCTGGGAAATTTCCGCTCTCGGAAATATCACTGTCACTTTCTTAAAAAAATATCACTTCTGCTTTTCAGGTATTTCCCAAGTATTTGAGGCAATTTCCTCCTTGTTTTCATGGATTTTCCCTCCTTTTATCTCTAGGCTATCCCTCCTACAGCCTTGTAGGAAATTCCTCCATTGCTGTCTAGAAATTCCCTGAACATTTCCCCTTTTGCTTTCAATGACTTTCCCCTAGTCCTCACATGGAAATTCCTACATTGTGTTACAGAAAATTTCCCCTTTGTTACCCAGGATATTTAGCTTTCTGGCTTCCTTTTTTGTTCCAGGAATTCCCCTCTTGGTTGCTAGGATTTTTCCTTTTTTTTTTCCAGGAATTTCCCCATGGGGCTTTAAGAAATTTCATCCAAACCCAAATTTCATCCAGGAAATTCCACAAGCCAAAACTGAGTCAAGCACCTGAACCCAGGACAGGGGCATTCAGCAGATCCAGCAAAATGTATCTAAGGGCAGTGAACACCATGAAACCCAAAAAGGAGGCAGGAGAGCCAGGTCAGGGTGGGAGCAAGGGACAAGGCTGGCATGGACAAGGTAAGACTGGTGTGGCCCGGGGTGGGTGGAGGAACAGGTGGGAAGAACAAGGAGTGGTGCTGGCTGCTGGCTCCTGCCCCAGGGACAAGCAGTGCCCAGGGAGGGGAGCAGAGGTTTGTTTATTTACTTTCATTCCTCAAAGCTGCAATCAATGCAGAGCGATTTCAGTTAATAGGTGACTTATTAAATTGATGGGAATTCTCCCATTTTAAACTTTTTTTTTTTTTTTTTCCTTTTTGCAAGCAGGACCCTGCCTGGCAGGAGAGGGGGATACCTGTCCTGCACAGCCCCAGCTGTTGTCCCCTGCCACCCCCCCGGGTCCTGATGGCTCAGGGACCTGTCCAGGAAGCTAAAAATCAGCCTCATTTAGGTGACCAGCTCCTGCACAGTGGAAGAAGAGCCGGAGATTTCAGGAGAAAGAGTCAGTTTTTTAAAGAAGTTTTTAAAAGCATCCCAAATGACAAGGAGAGCCTTCCCTGAACCTCAGCCCTTCATTGCACCAAATTTTCCTGCAAACTTAAACCCACCATAAAAACCTGCACCCCATGCACATCCCTGCAGCCACAAATCACCCAGTTTCAGGGGACAATCCTTGCAGGAAGAAGGGCAAGCTGAAACCCCACAAGTTTTATCAGCAAGTTTTATCTTTTGGGGACCCTCCCTGTAAATCAAAAAGCAGCAAGGAATGGGGCACCTTAAAGAAAAAAATAAAATAAACCTTTCTCTTTTAATCCACCCAAGGGAAATCCAAAGCAAGAGCAGCATTACAGCACTACACACAGCACAGACATCTATCATTGCCTTTGCACAGATTCCTTCCCAGATACATGGAGAAGTCATTAAGAAAAAAGAAAAATAAAATTATTCACATATGCAAAGTGACAAGTAACGAATCAGCCACAGAACAACTTTTTCAAAGAGAAAAAGGATGCATCAAGGAAGAAGGCCCTCAACGTACAGGTTGCACAAAAACCTAACCCAAGAATGGTGAAACAGAGGTGGTTTTCTTTTAAACATTAAAAACAATGGTATTTTTAAAATTAATTTAAATACACATTCAAAACACAAACACCAAGGAGGCGCCTGGAGAATAAAGCAAAATGAAGGAATGAAAAGTGTATTCAACCAGTTTAATTTCAACACCAAAGTTGGGTGGATCGCACCAAATGGAATAAATAATGGAAAAGATCACACTGGGTTGGTAGATCTCACACTTAAGATCACTTAACTAGAATTAATTACACAGCCCAAGAGAGTACTGAATGAGGAATTCCTCTGACAAGTGAATCTTAGCAGGGGCAGTGACCCTTTGACAGAGCAGGTTGTAGGTGTGGATTTGCCCTGTGCCACCCACCACTGATCCCACCCCAGGAGCAAATGGGATCTTCTTGTGATGCAGAGGACTCACCCCCTCAAGTGATGGACACACAAACAGCTCCTTGCTCAGAGGATGTGAACCCTCTGCCTCTTCCATGCCCGCTGGCTCCAGTCACACCCAAGGCAAACATCAGAACACAACCAGACCTTGTGTTCTCACCTGGAAGAGTGAGCCCACAGGTGCAGCATTTCTACTGTGGCTCCACGAGGTTGGGCAGTGCCAGAACTGGAGCCAGTGCCTCATTCCACACACCTGGGGTCAGGCTGGGAAAAAACCAGATCAGCTGATCTACACCTGCAGCCACAGCTTTATCACTCTAGGGGTGGCAGGTTGAAGGAATGTAAGTGGCTTCTTTTTGTTTGGTTTTCCCTCCCGACAACCCTGAACAACAACAAAAAAAAAAAGACCCATAACCCAAACAAAAAAAAGATGCAAAACAGAACTAAAGAAAATCCCCAAAAAACAAAACAAAACAAAAAAACAAAAAGTAAAAACAAGAAATAACCTCTCCCCGAAAAAAACAAATAAAACAACAATAAAAATAAACCAAAAAATCACCCCAAAACAAAAATAACTTGATCCCAAGTTCCTCTCCCTTCCATGCCTGTAGCCAAGCAGGGAAGCACCTTTGGACATTCATGTGATCCCAACAGACATGTTCCCTACAGAGCAGACACCTTATTTCTGCACCTCACCCAGATGTGCCTGTGACACCTAGTTAGGAGGGACATCCCTTTGCTTTAAAACAAAAAAAATTACAAAATCAATAGGAACAATCAGAATTCATTTAAGTCCAACTAGTTTTTAAAAAGGGAGAAGGGAGGACTGAAGGTTTCCAGGCCAAGGAACTTGCCAGATCCAGCATCCCCCCCACCCCTGCCTCCAGCAGCAACAAGATAAGCCCCCTTTGTGCAGCATTCACTCTTGACCCGAGGTCAGCAGACCAAGGAGGTGTTGAGGGGACACGGCTGCCCCTCCAGCTCCTCCTCAGACAGCTGGCAGCTCCAGGAAGAAAGAGAAACTGAGTGGATGAGGGTTGAAGTTAATTCTTTCCCATCTCTCCTCCTCCCCAAGACTGAGAGGAGACTTCTGCATCGGCAAGCCCACTCTGTGCTTACCAGTGTCCTTAAGAATGACAATTTAAAACCAAAAACCAGGAAATTAAAAAGAGAGATGCATAATTAAGTATTGTCCGTGGAAGGAGCGGGAGGGGGCAGGTTCCAGATGGCAGCAGAGAAGGGACTTTCTCCCTCCCCAGGTTTGCCCATCTGGGCACCAGGTCCCTTCGCGTCCCTGCGCGAACCCTTTGTGCTGTTGCTCTGACATCGATCGACACGGATGGCGAACACGGGGATGAATCCAGCGCTGCAGAGGGCGGGAGGGCACACGCAGCCACTGCGGAGCTAGGCCCGGCGCTTGGGGAGCATGTCCAGCAGGAACTCCGCGATGCCGACGAAGTAGACAACTTGTGCAATGCCGAAGAGAGGAGCAATGACCAGGGCTCGGCAGTAGGCCCCTTTGAAGAAGGCCGTGGGTCCTTCCCTCTGCCAGATCTTCCTGGGGAGAAATGGCACAGACTGGTAAGTGTCCAGCCCCCCCCTCCACTGTGCCAGGAGAGCCCCTGGCCATGCCCTGCCTTTCTGTCTCCCTTCAGAGACCACATCCAGGAAAGCGCTGTTGCCTGGCACAGCCTCCACAGCACATCACCCATCACTGCCCAAGTGCTCTGCAAGTGGCCGGGCAGAAACTTGGCCCATCCCTACATCTGGCTAGAAGCAGGAGCAGCTGCCTGTGTCTGCAAGTATAGCTAAGACAACCAACCCCATGCTTGCATCAAGAGGTCCCCTGCTCAAAAGCTCCACCCTCAGCATGGGACAGAGCCCAATGGCAACAGATTCTGGCTACCACAGAAATACAAAAGCAGAAAAAGTCCCTTCGTGTTTTGAAGCAGCCAGACCATAGTTTAGCAAAAGGTCAAAGGACAGTGCAGCTGGGGACAGCCCACTCTGGCAGTGCTGGTGCAGACATTGTGCAGAGCAGTCCCAGGAGGGATATGAGACTCAATACTGTAGGATTTTCCAACAGTGGAGCCTTGGGAAAGACTACCACAGCACTGCCTCCCTTTGAAGAAATAAAATCTCAGTGTTATGACTACTGGGGTTTGGACAGAAGTATTTAAATATAAATGCTCTGTTTTTCTTACTCAGTATGGTAAGTTCTCTTTTATACAACTGTATTTACATCTGCTCATATATCTATATATATCTCCAGATAGTCAGACAGAGATAAAAGCACAGGTTCAGAGGGAACATGAAGCACAACTGCTGGTTGGGTCTACAAGCTGCACTGCCTGCCTGGCAGCAGGCAGCAGCAGCTGCCAAACACCTGATGTGGTGCCTCTGTCCTGAGGAGTCTTACTTGGTGCAGTCCAGGATCCCCGAGTAGGTGTCCTCATTCACTCCTCTCTGCAAGGACTGCAGCCGCGTTTTGATCACTGGGGAGGGAAAGAGAGGGGAGACACTGGGAGTGAGGTGAGCACTGGGGGTGTAGCAGGCAAGAGCCACCCTGAGAGTCATGTATTTGAAATGGTCAAAACAAAATTACCAGGAATACAGACCATTTTCATATATTTGTCAGGGAAAACAAACCCATTCCATTACAAATGGATAAAAGGAACAAAAAGCCACCCAAAACCCAAGCCCTCACTCCCTGTGATCAAGGCTTCAAAAAGCTGACTTAAGCTTTAAACCTTACAAATTCAGATATCTCTCTGCAAAGTGGGAACTTATTTTCAAATGCTCATCTCCTTCAGGAAGATGTACCTAAAATACACAATTCTGCTCCTACATTTCTTCACACCTTGAAGCATGTGCAGTGTTGGGGAGAGAGCAGCTACTTTCCGGTGGTTTTTACGGGAGAGAAACAAAGGTGGTATTTAAGGCAGATGCTGTGGAGCAGGAGAAAAGGCCACAGATCTGAGGCTTCCCGTGTTTGTCTCAGACCATATAGTTTTAAGTGGTCTGCATAAAATCACTCCACATGGAAATGTGCCTTTCCTGCCAAGGATAACTGAAATTAATGACACCCTCTTCCTGACATACCTAGTAAGTGCTGCAAACTTCTGTGTAACCTGTGGCCAAAGCTCTAGCTGAGCTGAACTCACACCATCAGAGCCAGAGGCAGCAGAGCTGTCCCTCTCTGTGTGCTCATGCTGCAAAAAGGCTGGCATAGACACCCTCCTCCTCACCTGGCCCAGCCTGAGCCTCTGACTCCTGTCACTTGGCACCACCACAGGCTACCCAGGACTCACCATCACAAGGATTGACAGCCACTGCGGCCGTACTGCCGGCCACACATCCAGAGAGGAAGGACACATAGAACGGAGCCTTGACATTGGGGTCTTTCTGACCCAGCTTGTTCAGGTTTGCAAACAGTGGGAAGTAAACAATGGAGAATGGGACATCCCTGCAGTGGGGCAGGAAAAAAAGGAAGAACAAGGATGAGTTAAGTCAGCACGGGACACCAACAAACTGAGCAAATGAAGAGCTGCAAGGCCCACACTGGCAGCACAGCCATGAGTGCAATGCAGATATCCTGGCTCTGTGATTGCAGTGCAGACAGGAGCTGAAACGCAGTGGGGCACAAGTGACTGCACAAAGGCAACAGGCACATGGGAGGCATGCAGCCCTGTATGATCAATGGGCTCCCTCTTTTTTTCAACACTCAAACCAAAGACACCAGCGCATTCAGAGGTCAATCTTTCGTAAATTACAAGAGGTTCCATCCTGCCATTCCCCTGTGTGCTGCTTTAGTGCTGCCTTTGTTAAAGCTAGAGTAGAGTCACACTGTGAAAGTCCAGGCAGAGCGTCAGAGCAGGCACTGGTCCTTGCATCCAACATGAGCCAGCTCCCATTGCGCACTCTGGGGTTTCAGGCTGACTGTTCTACTTTGCCAGCTCACAAGGACTTCTGTACAGTGTGAAAATACAGGCCATGGGGCAGGCAAAAACCTTTCACAGAAAGCAGCACAATTAAATCTTCCAGGAACAAAAAGATGCTCTCCCTCACTTCTCTGACCTTCCCTTCTTTAATGTACAAAACCCGTGCATGGAAACCGAGTCCACGCACTCGGAAGCCAACGCTTCCTTTGCAGGCTCATTCCTGGGATGGGTGGTGCCTTGGGTGCAAGACGGGGAACGCCAGCGCCCTGTGCTCAAGCCCACACCATCCTACCTTAGCAGCGTGGCTCCCAGGCCCTTGTAGAGTCCAGCGATGCCTTTGCTCCGCAGCAGCTCCCTGGTTATCTGGGTGGCCGTGGTGCGCGTTTCCACCGCCGGCTCGGCCGCCGCGGGGGAGGAGGAGAGCTGGGCCTGCGCCGCCATCAGCTTCTTCTGTGCCGCTGGGGAGCAGAGCGCCAGCACCGGGCTGCAGGGTGCCCTACAGCAGCCTGCTGCTGCCCGGTGCCGCCAGACAGGGGGACAGGCACATCTCCAGGGGCAACACAACATGCAGACAAAGGTGCCCTGCAAGCCTTTGCCCCCCCATCTCCCTCAGCCTGCCCCAGTCTCTTGACAGTGCTGCCGCACCACAACGCTGTCGGCTGCGCTCTCCCACCAGCCCGTTTGCCCAAGCAGGAGCATCCTGTCACGCACCATCTGTGCAGTGCAGAGAACAGGAGCTGCTGTGAGCAGGCAGGGGACAGTCCCTACTTCCAGGTGTGTCCCTGAGCTGCCAGTAAAACAAACAAGATGTTCATAAACAAGACAGCTTCCCAAGTTCTGTTCTGTGCCTCCCTCCCCAGAAAGCAATCATTAACCCAGGGAGTTTCTCAGTCACATTTATAAACACATCCTGGTTTCTCCCACTTTTTTGTGGGAAGTGCATCCAATTGATGCACTTCGGCCCTTTGGCCAGAAGATGGAGAGCACTTCCATCTGTAAGTAATCCCTGGCACACCACAGCTCTCCTGCCACACAGAGAACAGGCTGTTCACAACATCGAAAACCTCTCCTGAACCCTCAAACCATGGCTTAAATCCTTCCAACATTTTAAAATAATACGCACAAAGAGGATAAGGTCTGCCGTAAAACCAGTGAAGAGAGAAAAGAAAAAGTAAATCCGTGATTATTCAGGAACACCACATCAAATGAGAGATTAAAGGACAAATTGGCCCACTTTCCAGGAAGGGCTATAAACATGGTATCTGACAGTGTCATGTAGGGCTCCTGGGAAGTGAGGCCATAGCCCAGACTGACCTCTGGAAGAGACTAAGGAAAGAGCAAGCAGCTCTTTCCCCCAGAGTCTCCATGTCAGACTCTGGTCTCCGCTCTCACCAGAAACACGCCACAGTGTTTCAGCCAAAAGGCACACTCCCCTCCTGCCTCTGCCTGTCAGCTCATGCCCACAGTCCCAAGAGTCTGATCCCAAACCTCCTTCAAATCCAGTGCACTGGGAGAATTTTATTTACTGTTTCAACCGAGACAACTGCTGTTTTTGTCAGGGAGAAAAAAAGAGTACAAGGGGAGACAAGTAATTTGGAAATAACACATCCCCTTGGGAAGCTGTTAGGGAGGTGCTACAGCGGGGTAGAGGAGAGAAAAAACAGACATCAGAAAACATGGAAATGGAGGAAGCAGCATGGGAAAGGCACTGGATCTACCAAGTTTGAATCACAACCTGACCACCCAGTCCTTTCTCCTGCCTCTCCATCCACCAACAGCATTTGCTGTTTCACTTGCCAAGCTTTGAGCAAAAAACCCATTGCCTATTGTAACTGCAAGGGCCTCTGCAAAGCCAGCTGAGCAAAGTGTTGGGGCAAGTAAACTGGGAAGAGGAGGAGAAACTTCTGCTACATATGTGGTATCTCTGACATGGGAGAGCAGGGGGAAGGAAAAGGGTTTTCTCCACTCATCCTCTCAGCTCCACCTTGAAAGCCCAGTCCCAGCTCTTCCCCTCTCCCTGCTCAGGGCTCAGGGAAGAAAAGTCCACGTACCAATGCGTCCTGCATCCTGCAGCTGGATTTTGAGCATCTCCATGGGAGTGGTGACAATCACCTGGCAGGTACCTGCACCACAGCCCGCCAGCATCTCCCTCAGCAATGTCAGCTTCTTCCTGCCCGAAGAAAAGAGAGAGAGTCCATCAGAGGAGATGGCCTGGAATTACACTTGGGCAGCTGCGTACAAGGCTCAGGGCACATCTCTGACCCCAGGGGTTACAGGAAAGGGGGCAGAAGAACCTGCTAGGCCTGACAGTTCAGCACAGTCCAGGCTTGGCATCTCTGCCAGCACCACCTGATATGGAGAACAGACTGATTTTGTCTCCAGAAACAGAACATTCAGAAAAGCCACAAGCCCTGTCAGAACAGCTCCAGACAGGAGCACACGGCCCCCTCCACTCACGGCCCGAGCACTGCAGCTCTCTTCCAGCCTGCTGGTGGCCCTGGTCAGGGCACAGCTTTCAGAAAGGCTATCACATCAGAGGGCAGCAGAGGACCTGAGCATTAAGGCGGATAAGCAGCTTTCTTCCTGCCAGCCTAGTCCTTTAAAAATTGTCAACAAGCACAAACCACAGGACAAGGAGCAAGGAGGGAAAATACTCTACTTACTGCTTTGGAGTTCTCTGAGAAAAGCACAGTAACTAAACAGTGAATATTAATTAGGGAGGCAGTTCCTCTGTGGTTAGGAGCTGCTTCATCTTCCCAGGTTTTCCAAACCTGAACAAATAACCTTTGCACTAAAATGGTCCTCCCTGAGAGACAAGGGATGGGATGGACCTCCAGCAATGAAGATTTGTACATTCTCTGTACTACAGAGCAGGGACTATCAGCAACATGTTCTCACTCATCAAAATGCAGCATTTCATTGTTCCCTTCATTCCAAAGCTATGAAAGAGTCTAGCTAAGACTAAAAAGAGGAACTCAGGATGCAAAACCTCATAAAGTTTCAATTTTCAGAAAGTGATGTGTTTTTGCCCCATAAAAAAAACCTCACGCTTTGGCACCAGGAAATACTGACTTGATTAAAAAGTACATCTGACCTACTCTTTTCTAAAAGGGTTTTTAAAAAAAGTGCGTATAAATCACACAGCCAGAGAGAAACAGCCTCCTCATTTTTCTGTTTTAAATGCAAGTACTATTTTTACCTCCCCCAGCCCTGCTCTGCAGTAATACCTCATTTTAACATGCTTAAGGCGCATCCCCACACTGTGACAGAAGCAGTCCCACAGTGATATTCCCCATTCCCTTGCACAGCCCAGGCACACTCCCCTGCCAGGGGCTTCACAAGCACACACACAGCACAGCTGTGGGGCAGTGGGCCAGCAAAGCAGTATCAATGCCAACCCTACATGAATGGGAGGGCAGATGCACTGTAATCCTGCTGGCCCACCACGTAACCTGGGCTGATTTCTCCACCTCTCATCTTCTCTGGGGAGGATATGAGAACAGGGGATTAAAGGCACAGAGCCACAACAGAGATTACCAGAGACTAAATATAGAGCTATCCTATGAGGCTGAAAGAAGGAATATTTTAGTCTCCCCTTTCCAAATTCCCCCACAGATGAGGAGTTGCAAAGAACAATCCCTCCCACGGAGTTACCCACACTGGTGCTGAAGTGTGCACAGTAAGCTTTCCTGCAGGTATGGGGGAACTAGAATGTGCAAATCCAGAGGTTCCCACTGCCACTGCCTCTTGGAGGTGGCCAACTTGTGTCTTTTGGCCTGAAGCACAGCACCAGTCTCTAAGTGGCTCAATACAGTCAGCAGCAAGGCTGCACAATCCCCAGCCTGGCTGTGGGAGGAATCAAACCACCCAAAGGAGCTGGCTGCCAGAACTCCTCTCTGGCACAGCAGAGCACCTCCCAGTTTAGCAAGAGCCCTGGAGCATCCCTGGAGTACATATCTTCTGGCTTTCATCCAGGGCAACTGCCTTGATAACCAGTTCAAAAGATCAGGAAGATCTGGCCTACATATTCATCTTGGACCATTATCCCAGCCAACTGAAGTCAGCCTTGACTTGACTGAACTCCATGGAGCTATGCCAGCATGACCAAGGAAGGATTTATGCATGTGAGTGTATTTTAGAGATGTCAAACTAGTACATCAAAAGCATCTAGAACTAGGGCTTTCAGCTTTTGGTTTTCACATCCTGGGTACTGGGGAGAGTCCAAGAAAAGAAGTAGCTTAAGATAAGCAAATCTTTTGACAGGAGGTTTAAAAGTTGCCATACAGGGGTCAAACTGCCTTTGCAAAACCTCAGCAGTCTGTACATAAAAGGAGCTTGAAAACTGTTCTAGATAATAAAGGGGTTTCAATATTTAAGGCACCACTGGCCTTATCCTCAGTGGTTTAAAAACTGGCACATCTCAACTAACTTCAAAAGCTGCAACACCAGCAAAGATCTGGTCCTACAAATGCAGAAACCATCTTTTATCACAGCAAGAGAGTGTTAAATATAACATACACACAATAGCCTCAAATTCTGCACTGGCAGAAATCAGTTGTTCCACATTTTTTACTGACATACTATTAATTTGTGACAAATCAAAAATGTCAAATGGGAAGGGGACAAGATTCCTGGTTGAGTTAAATTAATTTAACGAGTTTAAATTAGAGTTTCAAACTAGAGCTGAAAAATAAAACTCAAAAAGCAGGAACTAGAGATTTATGGAAGGCTTTTTGGGAGCAATCAGTTCAAAGTTAGGATCTCTGACAGCATTGGTATATTGATGTCACATGGGAGCAGTGTACGATTTTTTCAAGTTTCTGAAAAATCTTGGCCATGTGGGAATTTACTGTGTTTGGGCAGGGACCAGAAACAGTCATCCTGGAATCAGGATGACAACACTTCCAGAGAGAAAATCTCTGAGCTAAAGAAACATCCAGACAAAGCAATCAGTTTCTACTTCCTACCCAACAGGCTATTGTCCCCAGCTTGGACATCACCTTCCTCACTCATAAAATAACCTCTCCCTCTGTCTGTCAGTCCAAGAGATTGTAGAAAGCTCCCAAGGAGTTTCAAAGCAGACAGAGCCAGTTCCTCTCAAACAATTTAAATAGTGGATCTTTGATACGGATTAGAAGACCAGCACACGGGAGTTGTCCTTCAAAGAAGAGCACCCTCTCTGCCACAGACACAGGGGGATGTGCACATAAACTGCCAGTCAGTCCCTTTAATCCAACCCCTGATTTTCCAAGGGGGAACAACAATCTACTGCAACTGCACTTCAGAAAAGCTGGAGCTATGATGCTGGAAATGCAGTTCCCACAACTGAGAAGCTCCCTCTCACTTCTACTGCCAGCTCAAAAATGCCTCAGACAAGCCAAATAAAGTACTGATGTGGAACATCTCAAAGTAACACTGCCAGGTTAAATGTTGATCTGGAAGTCATTATTCCAGGTATGTGTAGGAGCTCTGTTGCATGTTTGGACTAAGTCAAGAGGAGGCTGACTCCGTACCTGCATCAGGTTTGCCCTGGCAGGAAATTCCAAATCTTTTGCTCCAATGTGAACATTTGTGGAAATGAACAATGGACGGGGTAACACGACTGAGCATGCTGAACACAAACACACATTTTGTCCCAAGACATGTGCCTGGAATGATGACAAGAACAATGCTCCCGTGGGTGTGTTCTCTGATTAAACAACACATCTCTATCTCCCTCCAGATTAACAGTTGAAAGTGCGTTTACTTTTTGGCTGACCTTTGATGTTAACAGCTTCAACCCACTGCAACTGCCTGGCCTCTGTGTGCTAAATAAAAGAGCTCTCCCTAAGCAGCTGTTCTGAATTGGCACAGTGACATTATCAGCTCCTGTCTCCTTCTCAAGGGGAAGGGAGAGATTTCCCCACTTCCAAGTCTCAGTGAGTTGGATGAGGGCTACCTACATTAAAGAAGTGGCTGAATATCCAGTGGAAAACTGCAGGAGAGGCTGCCTGGGCACACAAGTGCCAAAGAAAGAGCAATGTGTGTGCAGAGTGATAGAGCAGCACACCACCAGGACTAGCAGCCGCACTCCTTCCAAAATTGAGAGCCTCACTTTACAGCCTAAGAGTGTTCAGCAGCTCAAGGATCACCCAGGATACGCAACTGATACTTAAACTCATGCCACAGAAGACATGATAAAAGTATTTTAGAAGAGCCTGAAAGAAGAGCAGATGAAGGAAAGAGCCCTGGGGAGATGCATCAGCTGGGAAGGCAATAGACAACAAGCTCCAGTCCCCACATCTGCATAAGACTGGAAAAGTACCTTGCTTGTCCCAGGATTACCAGCTGGCTATTTCTCTTCTGTGTGCAAAGATACAAGACCGGAGGAAGCAGAATGGAAGAAAAGTTGCTAGTATCAGCGAAGGCTGAATTAAGTCAGTCATGCTGGTCTTCCTAGGAATCTGAGCTGCTAAGACAGCAGATTGCCAGCCTTTGCTTCAGAACAGCAAACAAAATAAAGGTCAAGATTAAAGAGGACAGGGTAAGTAAGGGAATAACACCTTGGAGAAGAGCAGCAGGAAACTCATCCAGGGACGCTGGAAAGTTTTTATGAGCAACAAATTGCTTATGTAAGAAGGCATGAGACACTTTTGACTGCAGCCTAGGCAGAATATTTAACTAAGAACCTGAAAAATGAACAAAACCTGGCAAACACATGCCCAACGAAACAGCTATCTGGCACTCCACACTTTGGAGAGAAACACAAAATCTTGTAGGACACTTTAAAGGAACGGATTTTATTAGGTGTTTAATACCCAGATTCGAAGAGCATATAAAAAGCAGGCAATACTTAAATCAATCAAAGAGGCCTCACACAGTGAGCAACCAATAATCAATAATGTACTTTAAATGCTGGTGTACTATCAGTCTAAATTGCCTTCTCAGCTTCAAACTCAAGTGCTTCACTTAGCCCTGGTGACTCCTCACACCCTCCATTCTGGACAATGAAGCCACTCCTACTTTAACAGCAGCCATGAGACTGAATCTCTCAACACACGCATCTTCAAAAAGCCAGAGTTAAAAAAATCCCATCTGTTTCCAGCAGCCTGAAGACTGAAACTTTCCCCTCTCTCCACATTCTGCCTTCCCCCAGCCTGAAAACTCTTCCCCACAGAATGACACAGGAACAAAGGCCTGCCTGGAGACTCTTCTGTGGGTCACCTTCTTCCCCTGGCAACTGCTGAGGCTCTTAGGTCAAAATCATCACAGGAAATCACTTGACCCTTATCACCTTTTTCAATCATGGCCATGGGGTGCCCTTCAGTATCTTGGTCTCCCTCCTCTCCTCCATGGCATAGCAAGCATGTTTTCAGCACTCACACAGCTCGCTCAGGCCTCCCTCGTTCCTAAATGACCAGGACAGGTTGGGAGGACCAACTCAGTTTTCTTTCTTGAGAAAACAGAATGCTGTAGCTGTAGGCTGTCATAATGGCCTTCACATGAAAATAGAAACTGGCAAAGAAATAGAAACTGGTAAGCAGAAATTATGTCCCCCAGCCTGTAAGCACACACGCTCTCTGCACAAGGGAGGGACAAAGCACGGTAACAGGCAGGAGTGCTTCCCTGAGTTAGTCTCAGGGTGGAGAGAGCTGCAGGAACACACACCTGCACACTCGGAGAGAGGTGCACCAACAAGGGCAGGAGATCCCTTGTGAGGACCTGCTGCCCCAATGCTCTACCTCAAGCAGTGTCCAAGAGCAGAGCCAGGGAAAAGGGAGTCTAGCACAAACCTGTAGTGATAACATCCCTAAAATACTCTTCCAGCAATCTGCAGTCAGGAGCTTTCTACACCACAGGTGCTGTTTCCAGTCTGGCCTTTCAAAAATAGGCTTTATGCCACTTTTTTATCCTAGCAGTTTAAAAGCAATTTCAACACTAAGTTTTTCAAAGGATAAAAATAAATACATTAATCTAAACCAAAAGCTGTTGTTTAACTTGAGGCTACTTTGAGTCATGCTGGATTTGCCACACTCTTTCTGGTCCACACATGCCTCCTCCTCTTGCACACTGAGGTCTATTTTAATACCACATATTTTCATCAGCAAATACTGGTAGAAAATGCACATTTTATCATGCCATGCAACATATTTCAAGCAAGACAAGTGCTAGATGCTTAGCACAAAGGCATTCAATATAAACAGGTCTGGAAGACTTCTGCAACTCTGAGTCAGAACATCCTTTTAGATACTTGACCTAAGGGCACGGCATCTATGAATGCACACAGCAGACAGACTGGCTTGTGCAAAAAGGACTTTGGTGGAGCTCAATCACGGTCTTACTGATCCAGCCTTACACTGATCCTAGCCCCACCACTGTGTTTTGCCCAGTGTAACAGCTTGACTGATGCAATTACATACCAAGAAATGAAACCACATTCATGTGCCAGGCAGCTCCAGGCTTAACCTTTCTAACCCCAAGCTATTTTGTTGTTTATAACTAGGCTTTGGCTGGTGAAATAGGTGGCCCAGCCTTGTGATGTGCTAGCAGGTATGCACCCTGTTGGGTCCTGGGTAGGAGAGACCTTTAAATTCCAGCACGGTTAATCCTGCCCCATCTTACTAAGGCAACTGGGGAGAATGGGACAGAAACATGTCAAGGGACAAAACTGCCAGATCCCACATTCAAAGCCTATACCAGCCACAGCAAACCTGGAAGGCATTTTTCTTCCATCATATTTTGGGGTGACATTTCTAGGTAGAAACACCTTAAATCATCTATCACAGTAGTAACAAGGCTCTGCCTCTGCCTCTCTGTCCAGCTCACACTGGCAACCCTCAAGAGCAGAGCTGACCAGATTTCACTCATTCAAGCCACCCACAGCGGATAAATGAGTGACTGACTCCACATGCTGCCTAGTTCTTGTCACCTGTGACCCAACCTCTCTTTTCTCTAGAGGAACTAAAATTTCTCTGTGTTGAGACACAAAAACCTCCCACTACCTGGGTGGTATCATGCTCCTGCTCTACATCACTGTAGTGCCAGACCCATCAGTATGTAAGATTTAGGGGAACAGGGTGCCTTGCTTTTGGAAAAATTCTCTAGCTCTTTTATTCTGAATTAAGTGCAGCACATCATCTCTGTCATGTGTGCACCAGCCAGTGACCCAAAAGTCAAACTGGAAGAGGTCTGAGAGAAAACCTCAGCTGCTCATGGAAACAGCTGCATCCCACTTACCCAAAGATCTGTTCAAAGCTGGACTCCTCACGGAGGCAGACACACACACTTGTCCTCTGAGGAAGCCTTTACTTTTCATGGTGCAGGACATTGACTGACAGACACATGTCCTTTTTTAATGGCTTAAACATCACAGCAGTGACTGCTCTCCCAGAATGCCAAATATGTTGCAATGCTAGTCTGATTTCTTCCATGGAACCATTCCCTTAGTGGCAGTGCAAGGTGTGGCAGCTTGGCACCCTGTTGGGCCTGTACAAACTACTAAGCCCCCACTTTGTAGGTGGTGGCAAAGAGCTGTGCTGGTGTTTACTGCAGAACACCAAGGTGTCCTGGGCTGTCTGCTGCAGGGATGAGACTCCCCGCTTGGTACAGGACATCATTACCTCCCACTGTCTGAGCAGAGCACAGAAGAGAGACTATTTGAAGACTTGAGTCAGAAAATCACGAAGAGCTGTGAGCCGATGAGTCACGCAGACATATGTTAGCTGCTACTTTAAAGGACTCGAGAACAAAAGAGAAAAAAAAGACAAGGTACAGGGGAAAAATGGATTCTCGATCTGTGTCAGTCCACAATCTCCACTGAAGTTGCTGAGACACTGATCTGCAGCAGCCAAGACTGACGTGATATGCTTTGGGAAGTTAAGCCCAGTAATTGTGCTGGAGCTTTGCATTTTCACTGAGGCTCCACCTCATAACTGTTGATGGGAATTATTGGGATCATATCCCAAGCAGGCTGTCATTCTAGCTACTGTCACTGAGGACTGGAGACAATGCCCTTGTCTGCCTCTGGGGAAAGGCCTCTCTCTGATAGGAGACACAACTATTTCCCATGCAATTTGGAAAACATCTTGGTGAAAGCAGCATTAAGTATTCAGGATCCAGCTCCTCTCAACTGCTCCAGCTTATGCCTTTTACACACATTTAATTCACATGAACCAAACTTGCAAGCTGAACAGGTAATTTTATTCCTTCAGCATTTATTTGAAGGTCAGCTGCTGCCAGTGCCCTTAGTCAATTCAGATTTACTACCTCTCTAAAACTATTCTCAAGGTACAAAATAAAAAGAGGGGTGCTAAGTTTGAGGTCTACAGAACTTGACTTGATACCTCTTTGAGCCAGACGAGCACAAGCGGATGCAATAAGATGCTGAAGACAAGAGTCCTCCCAGCAGCTGTTTGAGCAATGATCAATGACACTGGGTTCCTCTCAAATACTTAGACTACACATTCTGGATCTGCTAACCTTGGCTTAAATCTGGGACTATTTTTAGAAGCTTGAATAAAGAGCAGTCATCCAGTGGAATGCTTCACGCTTCCCATTTTAGACATTGCATCCTTAGCCTGAACGTAATCACCAGCTGAGCTGTTCAAGGTCAACTCATATTTCAGTCATTGCACTATCCCAGCCCACCTTTTCCTGATGTCTCACCAGACATGTTCCAAGTGTCGGTGTCTTTTAAGTTGACTGCAAAAGGTCAATTCCCTACTCACCCGTCTTTGGAGAGGTGATGCCGGAAGAAGTCATTGGCTGCCAGTTTGATAGCCTTTTCTGGTGTCACCAGAGTCAAGTTCACTGCAGCCCCTGGACAAGGAAGAGAGAAAGGACATTGGATAATGAGAATAAAAGGATTGTTAACTGAGTCTTTCAGGAATGTGTTGTAACTTCAGCACAAAACCAAGCACAAATGAAGTAAAGCTCCCAGTGCACCAAAAGGATTTAGAAATACAAAACACCACTGAAAACAGTATTTCTGTCTCCCAAAACCTTGGATTTGTGAAAACATCCCCAGATGTGTTTCTGCTCCATTTGCCATATGTATTTTGTAATTTCTTCAGCTTTACTACTACCTCCCACCATGTATACACGCATCCTCATCTCTCATCCAAGGATGCATTCCTATGAATTCAGAAAGATGCAAGATCAAACCTTCAGAAAAGGAGTACAAGATGGTTTAACAACCAGTTTTAACTCCTTTGCAAATATTTTGTGATACTGAGAAACAAAAGACCCCCTGCCCTGCCTTCTCACTGGATCCCTTCCCTGCTTCCTCCCCAAAAAACACCAGAGCAGCTCGATTACCAAGCTGCTCAGAAAAGGCAGAGTCATTGAAAGATCTGGAGGCTGGCTGAAGTCACCGTGCTCATCTGCCCAGAACCAGCTCTAGACCAGCCCTTAGTGCAAAGTGGCTTCCCCTGTGTATCACCACTGGGTGTCACCCTGTAGTGGTTTAGGACACCCTCAGAACAGCCACCGCTGAAGTGGCTTTTTGCCCACCACAAGCTGCAGCACACAGAAATTCCTTCCGCGCTCCATGGCAAGGCTTACTGGGGGACCTGGGGTGTAAACAAGCCTTGGCTCCCTGCATCCCCCACCCGCTGGAGTGCCCTTTTGTCAGGAGCTACAAACAGCAAATCCCTGCATTGTGCCTGTCACAATGAAAGGCCTGCATGGCCTGGCTGGCTGCTGTGGGCCCTGAACACCAGTATTAGTGCAACATTAGTGCAACACAGTGGCTGGGAACAGCTTTCAATCTGCCCTGGGGTAAATGGGGTGAGGGAAGGGCCAGTCCCTTCCCAGCAGCGTGGAGTTTGCACCATCAGATTTAACACTCCAGAACATTCTCCTCCATTTAAATCCTACGGCTCAAAAAGTCCATCAGTGGATAGCCTTAAGCTCTCCCTACCTGCACTGAAATGTACTGAGCTCCAAGCCCTCCAAAGGAGCTACACTTGAGACTTGTTAATGGCCTAAAACACCTTTGGTAAGGACAAACACAAATACAGGCATTCATGCTTGCCTCTGAGATTTAAACAATTTATCCCAAAGATTCATATTCCAAAGAGAAGCAGCCAGAGAAGCCTGCACCCCCAACTAGGCTCCAAAGACCTGGTAGTGCTAATTTTCAGGACCTTTGAACCCAAGCTGACAGGAGCTATAAGGGCCAAACACACCCACAGAAAGTGAGTTCAATCCTCTGTTTCTTGGGATGGACTCTCCTCAGATTAGGAAGCAAAGTCACAATGGGACTTCTGCGACCACTACAGTGGGGAGCGGGACACAGGAATCCTTGACTCCACAACATCTGCTTGGAAGGCACGGCTCCACCATTCAGGAAATTGCAGCAAGAAAAGACAGCCTTTTGTGCACAGGGCCGGGCACCCCAACATATCTTCCACCCTTTCAACTCCCATGTTCAGATTTTGCAAAAAACACAGAGTAATGCTGCCTCATAGCAAGCCAAGCCAGTGCATTAATTCCACACTGGTGATGACACCCAACAAATGCCATCATCTTTTACAGTAGACAAATCAACTAGCAGGGAGCAGGGCAGACCTCTCACACTTCTGATTCTTTGCAAACTTTTAAGGGCACCAATGATTGCGCTGCTTCGGTTTGATGTTCTTCCTATACATCATGTCCCCCTGCCATGGCTCTTGCACATGAAGAGAAACCACACAGAAATGACCTTCACGTTCCACATCCATCTCTTCATGCCAATCTTATCAGGATCTACAAAGCAAATCCACAAAGCCTAATTCTTAAGTTGAAGTGGCCACCCATAAAGTATTTCCTCAAATGCCAAGCTGAAGACAACTTTCAATGACACTCCCAATGGCTATGAAGTATAACACTTGTACACCAAAACGCAGCATGAATAACCCTTTCCTTGGAAAAACAAGAGAAAGAAAAAAGCATAAACCTGCTACTCTTAACACCAGTGCAAAGGGTTCACTGAAAGACAGCAAACAAACTCCAAACCACCAAGCAAGAAAGGTGCACAAGAAGTTCACTCCACATGCTGACCTTCAGGAACCAAGAGGCTTTCATAGAAGATTCTCTTCAATTGAAAATAAAGCAGAGGGTAAAAACACGCAATATACAGGAAAAGAAGTTAATGAACCTGGGTTTTCTCCTACATCGCTGATATTTTCAGTAAAGCTGCTTAGCAGGGAATGGATAATCCCTGTCCTGAATAATCCATAACAGCTTCAATTTGCTGGAGGAAGAGAAATTAGATACTCCAGCTGCTGGCTGTATGCTTTCCACAGCATCTTCTTCTTTTTGTACAATCTTCTCAATTCTGCCCACACCAATGACTACTTCCCTATCTAAAGTCAACCTTGGCCTAAAGGCAATGCTACATGTACCACAAGCAAAGATGGACAAACAGAATGGAAACATAAATAACTATCATTAAAAAAAACAAAGCTTTTTGAAAAGAAGTAAGGAAGCACTCTACAAACAAAATCAACCAGGGGCAAAACCAGTTGTTTGCCAACTAAACTTGTAGGCGCCCTCTTCTCACCAAGCCTTGGTTTTTTATTAAAACACATTTCTCACAGAAGCCCTTATACATCACCAGCAACCTACATAACAGAGGATTGAGTCATCCCCAGTGCAGCACTGGGAGATATTAGCAGAAGCCAAGGAAGGCTGCCACACTACTGCAGCTGAAGTGCAGCTACCCTCCAAACATCACCAACAGCAAAGGGCACCTCCTCAGCCTGATCTGAGCCTTTGGTTCCTGCCAGCTTGGCTAAACACTTGGTCTGCAAACAGCACTGGGATTGCTCAGAACATGTTCTGGCATCTTTAGGTAGCTTCTGGCTGGACTGCAGTAGGAAGTTGAAAGAGCATCTCTGATGTCCATGGGGACCAGGAGCCCCCAGGCACTATGGATTCATTCACTTGGTGTCATGTTTTAAGGCTGCACACCATCAATTCCTTGAGCACAGACAGGGCCAGACAGCACCATCCAGCTTCGAGGCATTGCTGCTATACAGCTGTTACGGGACAAAACATGAGGGAACGAACTCCTCTTCTTCCTGCCCCAAACAAATCCAAGAATCCCTGTAACTTTTGGTGCGTTCTGTCACTTTTTTTGGGAAAGAACTTCAGAGAAATGTTGGGATTGCCTTATACATCACACAATTTGCTATGGGATACTCATACAAAGCAAAGACTTTTTGCCCACACAAACACCTTAAGAGGTGATTTGCAGAAAAGCATCCCACAAGCACAAGCCACTCTCCTGTGTGCACTGAGATTTGACTCACACATGAAGGAGCCCTGAAGTCACATAGCAGGAATGGCTGTGCCCAAACAGACCCTTTTCTGTCCTCTGACAGAGGCCAAAGGATCTGCAGGGACAACTGACGTGCTTGTGACTCCTCCATGGGGAGCAGCAGCTGCTACTTTAGCACATTAACATATAATCCTCCCAATTTCAGCTTAAAGACTGCAAATAAGAGCTTGTGAGTCATGCAGCAAATTCTGCTGGGGAACTAGGACAGCTGGAGGGAGCAGGAACAAATCCCACCACCTGATTTCCATCTTTCTCTGTCTGCAAGGCTCAGACATCTCTTTACCTTCTTTACAGAAAAGTACTCACACAATCTTCATGGTCCTTGGATGTATTTTACCCACCAACCCTCTCCTTGAGAGGGAGGGAAAGGCTACTCATGTCAGCTCACAGAACTGAGGCACAGAGACCAGTATTGTTGCTTTTGGGAATACTCACATTTGCACCCTGGCCATGCTGAAATCTCTATAATTTTCTGGAAGGAGCTAGAGCTATTCAAGAAAGGCCTCTCCAATCCAACTCCCTATTTATAGTCAGAAGTCATTTCAAGCAACTATCAGCACCCTGAACAGAGTTAGGGACATGGACCAAGCTGACCAGACTTGGGAAACACTGGGAAAAGAAAGAGGTATGCAAAACCCTCTGCATTCTTCTGCTGGGGGACGACAAGTGGCCTGGAGATCCACATCCTCTCTACCACTCTATGCCTTAAAGGACTAAGCTGTCTTCCCAAAAGACAGCTTCCTGATTCTCACAAAAACTCTTGGTCCTACAGTCTCCCCTGTAAGTTTCCCGAAACAGCTTCTTCCTTCTGCCTCCCACCAAGCACAAAGCCTGCCATTGCACATTTACAGCCAAAGTTAACACAAGCTCAAACTCCTCGCTAGGAACAGAGAAGCAGCCAACTTCTGGAAAAAATCAAAGGGGAACACGTCACTGCTAGCATCGAAGACGGAGCTTGCCAGGGTTCCTTGAGGTTATTTGTCTTGTTGCCTGCTCCCAGGAAAGCTGATGCAAAGCAGCCAATCCATCCCTGCCATCCACCACACTCCCCTGAAACGCCCACCAGGAAGCTGGGCAAGTGACGCTGCCTGAATATCCAGTGCCTGTTCCCGGGCTGGCCAGCCACAATGCCTGTGTTTCCTTAGGAGCAGGGAAGAAGCAGCAAGAGAAAACTACACATGTCAAGAGCAAGGCACCAGCATCTCCGGACTTCTGCTTGAAAAAACAAAGAGCAAGGAGTCAACTTAGTAGCGTAACTTTAATCAGGCTTTATCGGTGACTGAGTGCCACCAAGAATGCGATCTGAGCACCCCAGATAAAACTGCATATGCAGGCAAGTGACTATCAGGACACAAAATGAACCAGAGCTCAGTGTCAATGAAGCCAGCTGGACTGTGCTGCAAGCCAAGAAGGTATTCCACATTTTCTTCTGCTACAAGTAAAGTCAGGATTTGGCCTGCTGGTCTCCTCTCCTCAAAATCTTAAAAAACTTACAGGGATTTTGTGTTTAAACTAGAAAAGTTAAAAAGGTACAATGTCAGCTGAGGAACTCACTGCTATGACAGACAGCCTGAGCCAAGGAGCCAAGAGATTTCTAGCTGGTCAGCACACAACAAACAGCTGAAGCTCCACCCTGAGCCAACCTCTGATTTTCTTACATCCCAAGGGAGTTTTTTTGGAGGGCAGGTTATTTTTAATGTTTTTTTTTTAAACTGCAGTTTGTCTGAATGCTTGAACAAGGCACTTGGGCATGCTTGAGACAGCAGGCCTGACCATGCTGGTGGAGGGCTTTGATAAAAATTCTATCATTAACCACAGAACTTCAAGAGTTGGTTTGCTACTGGCCCTGTCAAAAGTTACCACACGCAAAGTGAGAAACATAACAGACAGTCGTGAAACAAAGTCCAGCAGCTTCACTTAAACTACTGGTAAAGATGAACTTCACTAAGTGGGTAAGGTTTAACAGCAAAACACTCATGAGGAGGACACAAATCTTCAGTGGTAGATATCTGAATAGACACCTGCATGGAGGAGTTTATTTTCAGAAACACCTGCACTGTTCAACCTCCTAGGATACTGCCAGGTTACTGCTTTATGTGCCAGAGAACAGAGCTTTTCCTCCTACTTATGCACCAGTGCTTCCAACGCAAAAGCTGTGCTGTGCCTGAGTCAGCTGTACTTACCTCTGTACATGCCAAAGTAGCCTTCCGACCGAATTGTTTTAATGAGGCAGTCAGACCTGCAAACAGAACAGAGGGAGATTAACCACAGGACCTCAAAGGTGGGTGAGCACAGAAAAAAAACAAAGCAAATTTCTTGGAGTGGTTTCTATTTACATTCTGTCAGCAAAACCCCCAGCTGAGATGGGAACTGCGTCAGTCTCTGAATGTGCTGTTGTTGAGGCCGGAGACCAATCTCAGCCCCTAATTCACAGGGGCTTTGAAACCCCTGGCTCACCCTGCACACACTGTCTGCTTTACAGAAACACAAAAGGGGAAAGTGTCACTGCAAGGGCTGTTCATCCAGGGCCCCTGTGGCACATGTTAGCACATGAGATGTTCTAACAAGCAGATCCTCATGTACACATTTTTAAATCCAGCTCTGGAGAGGAAATAAGGGGGGCCAAAACTCCCCCCAAGCTGACTTGTTTGACTTACTCCATGAAATTTAACACAAGGCACACAAACACAAGATGACCTGAACACTCAGTCATCTGTGGCCTCCCACGCAGATTAAAGCACGCACTTTTAACACATCAAGTCCCACAGCAGGCAGCAAGCACTCAGGCTCTTACCCTGAGGAGAGCACGGCAGGGTACCGTGCTCTAAGGGGAAAACTGTCACCTTCCTCATTGCAAACACATTTACTACCAATGGGAAAACCCTGCAGAGCACTGGAATAGCTCAAAGACTTTTGAAGGCACAGACACACACACCTAGCAAATCCAAAGGCGTGGTTCAGGAAGGCTGCACAGATTCCCAGGCAGAGCTCCCCTCTCTGGACCACAGCTACATGATACCTAGATGCTGGCTGAAAGTGGCTTTAGGGTCCTTGGGAAGAGAAAGGTACTTGCTGTTGCCATAGGGGAAGGGAGAGGTGCACATGCATGTATGTGTACATAATTTAAGGAGCAAAAGGCTCTTTTAAGCAGTAATAAGAGAAGTGTGGCTGATGAAAACATGAATACATTTTTAAGACATTTGGCAACACAAGGAGTAAACTTATTCTCAGCTCTGGAGTAGTGCTGAGGTGGAAGAGAAGGAAATAACAGCTCCCTTGAGGGCTTTATGGCCCTGCCTGGGTTATTTGTGAAGAGCTCATCCTGCATTGCTGCCAGTCATGGCAATGAGTTTCCCCTCTCTGCCGGGACTCCCTGAATACTTTGGCATCTCATTTTTCACACACTCCACCCAAGCCCTGCAACTTGCAACATACTCATTTCCTTCTTCCGAGCAGCCCCTCCAACACATCTGCAAGCCTCCAAAATCTCAGTGCGTCTTTCTCCTACCCCTCTCATCAAGTTCTCACACTGCAGTGCTGGAGGCAACACATTTTCCCTGAGCCAGTGATGCTGCTTTGAACAAGCTGCAGCAGGGAAAGGAGTGAGAAGAGCTGCTCCCCACCATATTCATACAGCCCTGCTGCATCGGGATACAGCTTGCATGTCACTTAAAGCCCCTCAAGCTGCAGCAGAATGAGATGCAGCCAAGGCCACATCCAGCTTTCTTCTCTCTCTGGAAAAAGGGAGCCAACAGCCAACTAAAATTATACATAACATACCTGGGACAGCACAGTCCAAAAGTCAAGCTCTCTCCAGCCCTCAGAAGTCCTCCAGTGTCTTTGTCTTTTTCAAGTGAAAGATCTCTTGAGCCAAGCTCAAGAAGTAAGGCATACTATCTTAAAGTAACAGAGCTAACATTTTAAAGGAACTTGCTGCCTTCCTGGGTGTTCAGCAGATACCAGGTAATTGGTGTAATCAGGAAATCCAGTATTGATGGGCATACAGCATTTCCAGAAAAATAAGCCCCCGTAACAGGGGAAACTTTCTTAGGAAAGCTCAGCCCTTCCCTTTCTCAGACGCAGCCAGTTCAAGTACACAATGAAAATCTTATGTATTCCTTAACAGCCCCTCATCTTACAGAAATTCCTGGCTATGGACTTGACTGCTGGAGGTCAAAAGCCTCTCTCCTACAGAGCTCTCTTCCAGGCATGAGATATCCTGGCATGCAGTTCCAAGGGGTACCTACAAGTTCTTCAACCTGCCCAAACTCCTGTTGCTGTCACATGCCAGGTCAGGAGGATAAGTGATCCTCAGGGAGGTGATGCAGTCTACTGCAGGAACAGGACACAACAAAAGGGGAGGCAAAGCAAAATGGGCGGTCACATCCTGCCAACAAACCAGGGCACACTGACAGTGCAAGGAGCAGAGTGCAAGGGAACCGTCAAGGGAAGCACCAGAGCCTACAGCCTGAGCTCATGTCATCAGGTAGAGCAAGAAGGCACAGAGACTGAAGATATCAGCACAGAGAGAATTTCCTTCCTATTCCCCCTCTGCCTCAAATTTTTCTGGGCAGGAAAGAGGGAAAGATGGTGTGGAGGAGCAGGAATCAGGTTACACTAGTTCTAACCAAAGTGGTAGGAGGACAGGACATACCTCACCAGTCCCAGTCCCTTTTCCCCCTAAACACCATGAATTCTTTTGGAAAACTAAGGCCTGTCTCTGGTTCCCAGGATAAAGCATCTTGTGCTGAGGGTGGTACACATTCCCAAAGCAGATACACAGCCCTAAGCATCCAACACAAACTCCAGGTGAATTTGGTGGGCTGGATACACTCACGCCTTCTTTTCCTACAACCTGCAGTACCTGGGGTTTTTCTGGACACAGGACTGCTGGTGTAACTACAGCATATATCAACCTGTGATCCTTCAAAAGGTCCACATACGATGCTCTAGACTGGGAATGAGTGACTCCTTCCTCTTTTTAAAACTTATACAGTAAAGGAAGGATCTCCAATATCAGAAATGGAAACAGAGCAGAGGCTGAAATTCCCTCAGGCACCTGACTAGCTCAGGAGACTTGTGTTTGGGATCAGGTGATCAGGATTCCTTGTGCTTTGGTTCTGAGCCCTGGCAACAGTGAATGCACTGCTCCCAAGCAAGGGATGCAAACAGATGTGGCCTCTGCAGAGAACTCCTCTGCTTGGCTCAGCAGCCTCAACAGCTGCTCTATTTGCTTTATCTGCTCTAGCACAGCTTGGCTCCAGACTGTCCCGGGCTTTCCTGAGGATAGCCCAGTTCCTAGAGATGCTGAGCTCACCTGAAAGAGGTATCAAAGTGGAAGGACTCCCTATGGAAAGCCCTGAGGGATGGTGCCCATGTGGGCAGTACTCACAGGCTGGTGTACATCCGTTGGCCATTCTGCTGGTTCTGCAGGCGAGTTTTTGCCAGGTCAATGGGAAATACACAGGTGACCCCGATCAGCCCAGCTATCCCTCCATTGATCAGCTTGGCAGGTAAACTGTAAGGGGATGAGAGAAACAGATGTCTTAGCATTGGGTAATAAAAGAGAAGGGAAAGAAGAAAGAGCTCTTTTGCATGAGCAGAGTCAATGCATCGCTGTGAGACAAGGCTGTGCCCCCCAACACAAAGGTAGCTCTTCTACAAAGCAAAGCTTGGTTCCTGCTGTGTATATGGGGAGACAGAGAAAGCAGCACATACCATCAGGACAAACCACTGATAAGTGGAGTGGAGCCAAACACCTAACCCACACATTACTAGGAGCAGGAAAAATTCTGTTGCCCAGGACCCAGGGATTTCTGCTGTGCCTAGAGGAGAAAAGACTGAGTGCTGGACCATGTACCACATGGACAGACTTCAGTTAGGGCCCGATGGCATCCGAGCCAGCAGGTTTACTGACAAACGCTTTCCTGCACCACAATCAGATCTGCAGCTAATGAGAGGTTCGTGACACATCAGCTGCTACCATCATGTGGGAATGGGCCCAGCAGAAGCACCCAGCTGGCAGCCACAGAGCAGATGGCTGCAGCCACGGGAAACTGCTTCCAGACCCACCGCCCAGGGCCAGGGGAACACACACAAAGCAGCAGCCTGGCGAAACCACCGGGCCGGCAGCCCGCACGGCCGCAGATGCGGAGACATGAGCTCATACCTCTGGGGGAAATCAAAACCTGGCTCGCTGCACGTGCTTCCGCAGCACGGGGCTTCTTCCACTTTCCCTTGTGTTCCCACAGAGAATTCTTGCAAGTGGCACTGAGTGAAAGCCACATCAGCTAAACATCGGTTCCCAGCAAATTCAATTAAGAAAAACGTCCTGCACTTACATGCTCAATAAACCACAGCGCACAGAGACAAAGAAAGCCTGTTTGAGTCAGCTCCCTCCAATAAAGCACAGGATATGGCTCCCTGAACACAGGATGTGTCAGATATTAAACTGGTGGCTGACAGCAGTCCTAGACTGCAGCTGGGTGAGCCTGCAAGACCTATCCTCCCACCGAGGGAACCGGCACACTGCCTTTCATGACAGTGACTTGCTGCTCTGGATGGGGGGACAGACTGCATGTGGAACCAGCAGTGCTGAGGCTGGCTGAGGCATGGTGGGGTGAAGCCCTGCAAACATCTTCCCCCCAAGAGCACTCCAGATCACTCTGCATCAAGAAGAAATGGCAGAGAGGATCAATAAGCAGCCATGCCTGAGGGAAAGGCAGGATATGGAGATTCAAAGTTTCAACTTGAAGGGCTCCTGAGGGAAGCAGACAAATGAGGGATGGAAAAAATATAAAAGACTTTGTCCACAAATGCTAAGTATGATCTTGACATCTCGGGACTGACATAGTGACACTCCTTTCAGCCTTTGCTGTCCTGCACCCAAAGCTCCTTCCTCCTCAACATCTGCCTGATATAACACACAGCCCCAGGACTGGCACAGCTGGAAGAAGAGGTGCCAAGGACAGGCACACAGATCTGAGCTCAGCCTACAGCTCCAAACTAGACAGTGCTGACTGAGATTAAATCAGCACAGTACTTCAGAAAGGCAGGCCTAAATCAGTACACAAGCTCAGTGCAGAGCCAGGCTTTCAGACCTCAAAAGCTCCAGACTCTTGCCTCAGGGATCTTTGTGCCACAGTCTGAGAATGGAATAGATTTGCCTGCAAACTCGTACACTCAGCTTGTTCTCAGGACATGGGAAAATTTCGAACAGTAAGCTTCATATCATTATGCTCTCATTATTTAACCTGGTCACACTGAAGGAGGAGGTTAGAGACCAGATAAAAGTCTGCCAAGATGGAGACACCATGGAGAAGGAAGGTGTCTGAAGACAGATTCACCTTAACCTCCCCAAATTCAGCTCTGAAGTCACTGTTGGCAGGTCACAGATTGCAGCACAACCAGCGCCCCTTCCAGCCTCAGCACTGTCATCGCTTCTCTAAGAGTCCCTGAAACACCTGGGACAGGCAAACACTTGTCTTTCTCAACCTGTTCCAATAGTGAAATCATCACAGGGCTTATATCAGGTTGGACTGAGACACAGACACAAAGGTCCTGACTGCTGCTACTGTTAAGTGCATGAGATTCCCCAATTTCAGCCCAGACCCCAGCAGTAAAGGGGAATGGTCTGATGTGCCTGGGCAAGCCAAAAATTTGAGGCTGCAGACAGCCTCTTCCTGTGGAAGAGAAACTCTTGCTGAATACTCCCATCCCACCTGAATCTACCCATCCAGATTTCCCCATGAACACTGCAGGGGAAAACTAGTATGGATGGACTACAGGGCAGTATCCAGCAAGACACCAATTAAGTTCTACATGCACTGCTGCAGAAAATGCAGTGCCCTTGATGTCACCTTGCAGCAAACCACTGGTGTTGATTTTAGTCTTTTGCTATCAATCTTGTTCTACTAAGGGGTGACAGAAACAAATTTCCTTGGCTTGGCTGCCTGTGACCACTGTAGACACGTGGTCCCATCGACTGGAGAGATGACCAAAGCAGAAGAGGTGAGGGATTTGAGGCACTGAGAAGAACATGAGACAAAAACCATTCTACCTGAATCAAAAGCTTTTTCCCCTGTGACTGAGTCATCCCACTTCACGTATCAGTACTCTCTGCTCTCTCAAGGGATAAGAATCCACTGTGCCTGGTCTCTCTGTCCTATTTAGCTTCTGCACAGCTACTGCCTCTCACTACCTACGTGTGCAGGGCTTAGTGAAACAGCAACAACGCAGGCCAGCATGCAAATGAAGCCATTTGCTTAGTTTAATACAAGAGGGGATACAAAGGTATCCCAGTTCTCCTCTTCTAGTACTCCTACTCAGCCCTTTTAACTAGTCCCTGTAGCCAGCAAGCCCCTGCTCACACTGCCAAGAGCACACTGGAGGAGCCAGAGCACATCTTTTTGGACACATCTCCTCTTGTAGGACATGTTTCCTCTTCCTTCAAAATACCAAGCTTCAAACAGTCACAGACATCTGATCCTTTTACTTTTGCTGAGGTTATCAGCAATACAGACCTGTCAGGCTCCATGGAGGTGAATCTCAGCATGCCCTTCATGAGTGTGTTGGGAGAGTTCCAAGTGCTCTCCAAATTTGGTAGCGGATGATGGCCAAATCTAGGCACACAAACACTCCACAATACTGTATTTTTATCAGCACAGCTCAGGACTGTTTACATTTGCAGACAACAGGCGTACAGGAAGATATCCTAATCATGGCAAATGCTAAGAAGGGGCAGACCTGTTGCCTCCAGCATTCAGGCACTGCCAAGTCCTGTCTCTCTGTCACCAAATTTCATTCACTCACTCACCCCACCTGTCCTGAACCGGTACCCTGGAAAAGATAATGTTAGAAAAGCAACATGAAAAACCACATAGGAATCCCACAGCATGTAGGAGTCACTTAGCTGGGGCAACTTCACAAGCAGCAAAAAGTTAAAACCACATGGAGGACTGTGCAGATCCACCTCACAGAGCTCTTAGGAAGCAAAGGGTACAACTGTGTCTTTCTAGGAAATGCATCCCAGTTCATTCCCACAGAAGACTCAAATCCAGCCTTTGCCAGAACCAGTGCTATTAAGTTTCCACTGTTCACATAAGTGTCAGTAATCATCGGTGGTGCTTCGTGTTCCTGCTATCACTCAAGCCTTGACTGTCTGAAGAGTAAGGGCACAAGGCAGCACAAGGCTACACGGACTTTGTCATTACAAGTACTGCATCCTTGGCTGGTCAAGGACCTGGCTTTGCTCTCTTGATGCCAGCAGCTGAAGTCAGCAGGTCAGGGTGACCTTTGGAAGAAGAAACAAAAAGAAGCAGACTCATGCAGGGTAGAAAGCAGAGGGTAGAAAGAAAAAGGCAATGAGAAAAAAGAACTGAAGAAAGCAGAGATTTGACAACATGGCAGACACAGAAAATAAGAGAAGGTTCAAAAAAAAGCAAAATTAAGAAAGGAGAAGAGAAATAATCAGAACTGTTTAAGGCCAGAAGAGATGGGTCAAGTGATTTCCTCCAACCTCCTGGATCCCAAATGTAAATAAGTTTGAAAGATTTTAAATAAAAACCTAAAGCATAATTAAAAAAAAAAAAAATTAAAAGTTACCTGATCTGTTTATCAGCCATTTAATTCAAACTTGATCTTGTTAAGAAATGAATCTGTTCCTTCGAATTGTTCTTTTTCAGTCACTTATTTCTCACTTCAGTTTCTTCCTGGGAAGGGACAGAAAGACACCAAGAACACAAAGTTGAGACACACTCTTCTTAAAGCTCAGGGGCTAATTGGAAGGTAGGCTGTAGGGTTAGGACAGCCGAGGCACAAGTGACTTAAGGGAGCACCTGATCTCCTCAAAGAGGAGACTGAGCTCCAGAGGGAGCCTTATAAATGTATGTGTGTAAATATAAATATACAAGGACATATGGAGGGACGAGTTGCCAGGGTCATCAGGTTCTAGCAGCATGTGAGGAAGGAGAGCAGCCAGGCAGGGCACAAGCTCTGCCCAGCAGCCAGGACAGCCGTGTCTGCCACTTCTCTTGAACTTCAGAGAGCATTTCACACCATACCATGTACATCCCCAACCCTCTGCATGTCCACTCAGCCAGCCCAAGATAGTCAAGAGTCATCACAAGACTCTTTCAGCACTTCCCTTCAACACATACATGCTGTGTCCAAAGGACAGCCTTCAAAAAACTGCTCTTCCAGAGGTTTCTATCCTTCCCCTCTTTCTGAGCTTCAACGAACAGCCCGTGTTCAGCCTTGTGCCAAAATTGTCTTTTAAGCAATGCCTCTCCCTCCCCAAGCTACTGATGCCACTTTGCCCTTTGGACCACTCCTTTCAGCTCAGTGCCAGACTGCAGGAACCAGTTCTCTCTAAGACTCTTAATTGTTACTGTTTAATGAGAGCTGTTGAAAGTCACCACACAAAGAAATCTGGACACCAGAGAAAATTTTAGAAGTGGCCACAGCTTTCAGCTTTCTGAAGATGCCTTCATCTCCTCATCTCCAGCCTGGGAATCAGATGCCCTGTGCTTTCTGCAGGTGTCTCAGCAGTATTCAGCCAACTTCCTCTCTCTTCCCTTTCACCTGCCACCTGGATGTTGAGCCAGAAGCAAAGGAGGTACCTTTGCCCTTTGCCTCTAGAATGAAATTTGCTCTTCTACTGCAGATTTCCTAAGCCACAAAGAATCTCACATCCAACAGAGTGGCTTACGGGCTGACACTTCTGCTCTGGAGATACCTCTGGCTCTCAGTGCATTCCTGAGAATAAAAAGTCCCTGAAAGTGTGAACAGCTAGTGATGGTGCAAAAACAGGTATGAGAAGGAATTTAGGTCCCCTTCCTGTTAGATCAAGTGCCAAGGATAGGACAGCATGAAACCATTTGTACAGTCCCACTCTTGGACAACATGAGACTGAAACTGCCTTTTCTGCAGCCCCACACTTGACTGAAGCTGTGAGAGAACAGCACACGGAGCTCCCTAAGGAAAGGCACTTCTCCTCAAAACAGAGCATGCCAACCTCACTCACTGCACAATGCTGTTATACCTTCTGTGACCTCTCTTCAGACAGTTTACCTGATCTCAACTGATCTGCAGCTGCAGACTGGAAAAAGCTCCAGGTCAGCTAAGTCTGCACTTTCCAAGTGAAAATCACTTACACCCTTCATTACATGTGCTTTCATATGCATATCCACAAGAGCAGCTTGGTTTAGGTTAATCTAATTTTTTATCAAATTAACCAGAATAAGACAAAAATATAAAAATACAGGAAGACCAGCAGCTGAAAGCCTGTAACTGTCATAAACAAGCTGTGAATAATGAGAACTCACTTGACAATGTCTACACCCTCAATAAACTTGTGTTTATTGAGACAGGCCTGACAAAATACATGCACCAAGTGGTCCTGATAGCCTACTCCAAGCTCTGGCAAAATGCCCCCCTTGTTGCCTCTGCTGCACCCTTCCATGCAGAGGAGCATTCAGGAGGACAGGCATCCACCAAAAAGGGCAAAAGCAAGAAAAGATAGCAAGGCTGCCAATATTCACCACAGTCAGGCAGTCAAAAGAGTCTGAGAGACAGTCAAGAGAGACTGAGACAGATGCACAAATACAGGGCTGTTTCTTACCTGCTGACACAAGTAGGGCAATGGAGTCCCTCTGCACCAAGACGGACTTGGGACAGTTGAGTTTAGTTCTCCCTGGCCTTTTTTCCTTTTGACTTTTGGCTTCAGCTCACCACCTGCCCGGTAATTACAGAGTCCTCCTGCAGCTGTCTGATCCAGCTGGAAAACTGCTGCTGCTTTCCACCAGGGAACAGATACTCCTGCTGCAGCTGCACAGCAAGACAGGGTAAAAACAACCTTCCTGGGTTTTAAACTGGGCAAAGTTACAGGTTTCCTTGGTGCTGGCTTTACAGCCAGCAAATACCAGGACTAGTATCATCTCCCCTAACAAAAGCCACTCAACTTGCGGACGGGTGACGGGAAGCGAACAATGTGATCATTTTACAGCAGACACCAGCACTTGATAACTGTTTAAACAGCACCTGGCACAGAAGAGGCCTGAATGTCTGTGGCCAGGGGATTTTAATGAATTAAGGGATTTTAATGCAATGAAGTGGAAAGTTTATTTGAGCTCTGTTTGTTTAAACAGAGCTCCAACGAATGATCATTTGCAAAACAAACCCTAAGTCACCCCAAGCTCTGACCACTTTGTTGTAATCTACAGAACTCCCTGAGTCCCTTGAAAGAGGGTGAACGATGAAGCCTCCAGTGGTCTGGCCAGGGAGTTTCTGAGCTGAGTCAGACCTCAGTTGCTCCCAGGGCAGGAAAATAACTGCTACCATTCTGCAGTCTAAGAGGGGGGAAAAATGGGCTGGGAATTTTGTAGAACACTTAAAAAACAAATCCAGAACAACCTTATACATTTAACCTAGAAAATAAAGAGATTAAATAAAGACCTAAGTATATCTTCCCAGGAACACAGTGCTCTCAGGAGCCAAAAATCACACATAAAAGCAAGCAAGCATCTGCAGCCAAGCAGGGTGTAGCTCCAAGGCTTCCTGTGGGAGAAGTGTCAGGGAGCAGGGTTTGCATCTTCCTAGGAAATCTCCCATCAGGGCCTGTACTGGGGCAGCAGACAAGCCAACAGCACCAAAAAGGTGCTGATGCCTCAGAAAGTCTTTGTATGGTTAAACTTCAGGACAAAGGCACTGCTGGAACTGGGAACCTGCATGGTAAAAGAAGCTGAGGAACTGAGAGGAAACTGGTAGTAGGTGAAACAGAGAATCACCTGAAAGCCAAAGAGGCTGAGCAGCCTTCATGGAAGGGGATCCTAAATTGAACATCCCGTAATTAAGAGAGTGAGAACAGCATGGGAGTATTTCCTTCCTAGAGTGCTGTTAACACAGCTAGGCATGGATTAATGCCCCATTACTTGCACACCAGGACATCCCTTTTACATTTATTAAAATGATCAGGCAAATTTGTTTCAGAGCCACACGCATACCACTGCAGTGCGAATGGCCCGAAGCTCATGCTGACACATAAAAAGCCCAGGAGCCTCCTCAATCCTTCCTTTCCCGTTTCTCACCTCTCAGAAGTCAGCTCCAGATAGCGACAGAACAGCCACACACCACAATGCAATCCTGGACAGCTCGAGAGGAATCTGGTCCTCACAGCCTAAGCCATCAGTGAAGTAGTGCTATTTTTTTCCCCAGCCTTGCCACACATCTCCCACACAAATCAGGCAGCGAGGCTTTCTCCAGGAAGGCCAACCTTTGTATCTGCTCTCCTGATCCCATGGGGCTGAACTTTCAACCTTCAGTTTTTGCCTTATCACCTGAAGGAAATGTTTACTAGAGAATCACAACCCAGTGTGAGGCATGGAGGGGAGCACACAGACCTCATCACGTCTCATGAATGCATCACACCAGCAAGCTTGGATTGGAGACACAGGCACCCAACATCTCCACAAGCCATCACAGGAGAAGAAACAGGTTAAACTTACACCTCTCTGACCTTGCTCATTGCATTTAGTGCCACCACACTGCCCTATAGATGTGGGTTGCCACCTCTATCCCCAGATGCCACTGTTCTACCCCCAGTCTGAGCTGAGTACAGCACCCTCCTTCCTCCACTCTTCCCCTGCCAGGCTGCCAGAGCCATAGCTGGCATACTCCAATCCAGCTGTGGGCTCCCAGTCCACCAGCTCCCCCACTCCTGCAGGTATCACCCCCACCCCTCCCAGATGCCAGCACTCCACTTCTGCCCTCTGCCAGCACTCCCATTTCCAGATCCCCTCCCCAGCAGCTCCAGGGGCAGCTGAGCACATCCTCTCAGGCTCAGACTGCTGCACATGCTGATTTATCTGAGCACACACAGGCTGCCTATGTGTAAAGAAAACCTTTAGCAAATGTCAGCTGGTGCTGCGGCCGAAGAAAGCAATCTGTCTTTCCCTATAACCAAACGTGTTCCCATCCCTCATTTCATGCCAGCACAAATATGTGCTGGGCAGTCAGACAGGAATGAGACAGAACTGGAGCTCCAGCATGTGCTGGAGCTGTTGCTAAAAGCCAACTTCCAAACTACAACCTTGACTTAAGAATAAACAGCAGGAGAGGAAGTCATGACTCCCACAAATTTCTATTTGTCTTGAGAGCAGACAAACTCAAAGCCCTAGTGAGAGAAGATGATGTCAAGAAGCAGGGCTCAGAAGGTGAGCAGAGGAAGCAAAGCTGTGCCAGCATCCACTGTGTCAAGAGGACACAGTCACACAACCATTCACAGTCAGGGATGGCAGGGGGAAGCAATCAGTGACGAGTACCTGCTGAGAGACGAGAAACCCTCTGGGATCAGCACACTTTCCTTCACAGCACAAATGCATCTGAAGGTGTGGACACTGCCAAATTTTGTTAATGACTGGAGCAAAGCTATCATCACAATAAGGTTTAAGGGGTGCAAAATAAACTTCAAGTGTTTCCTGAGAGAAGCTGCTTTCTAGATGCAGGCACAAAGTGCACAAGGGAGATGGCACCAGGTAATGTCAACTGGGGAGAAGCTGTCAACTTGGCTCTTGCCTGTTCAAGAGATTTTGGGACAGAGAGGATGGAGAAAATAGGTGACAGTTTAATCTGCTGCCTGCTTGCCTTTAGGCCCTTGAAAGCAGGGACTGCCATGAATTTCCTGCAGGACCTGGCAAGGAATTAGTCCTCAAGC